CAGACAAAATAAATAAATAAAATGCTTAGAAGATATTGTTATCCGGGGTGTGGACCCGGGGCAAACGGTAAAACCCCCACCTTTTTAAAATTCCCCCCCCCCCCCCTCCCCTTCACCCCCGCCCGGCGTAGATTACACATCTCGCCCACACAGCAGTTTATGGTAAACACGGAGGAGGAAGAGGTCATTAACTCCACAGTTACCTTTGAGTTCAGCCGGTGGAGAAAAAGCTACGAATGGATATTTTTCCTTGCTCCCCGCAGTGCTGTCTATTGAGAGACTAATTCATCTGGCTGTGAGAATTACGACGATGCCGAACACGAAACGACGGCCCACAAGGACGTGAGTTACGTCACGGGCGTAGTAGTCCTCTGATTGGCTGTGGGATGCTCGGGCTGTCACGTACAGAGGTGAGGGAACGGCTGGTGAGAAATCATTCACCGGGGATGGATATGCTGAGGAAACCTCGGGATGTTGTGAAGGAGCCATGGGAAATGTGATGATTTCATTTCATGTCATTTTAAATCACTCCTACTTAAAGATTATCATTCATACATAATACATGTGCTGAAATGTTTCTTAAATAGCTACATTTATCGAAATAGTTCAGCTTTTGAATACTTAAGAGGCAAATTGGTCCCCTAATTTCCCAAGTAAAAAGGTGAATAAATATAAAAGTTTAACATATTTACAGAAATCAGAGTACAACAAGTAGGAGTGCACCACCTTTTTTATTGTGTTTGCAGACAACTGTTTTTTAAGTATCCAGCACACACACAGCAACAATGTCAGTTGTTTGCATCCCATCAATGTTAGCCTGACTTTAGTCAGATAGTCAACCATACAATAGTTAGAATGTCCATCATCTCCTGGGGAAATTGAGGCATTCTGTTGAAAGAAATCTTTTTAAAATACTTTTTACACAGCAGAAAAGAAAAAGAAAATCCAAAAGATGGTCAGGCATGCAAGCATGCCATGTAAAATATTATAAGTTAGTTTAAATTAAAGAACAATAGCAAACACAACAACCCAAAAACACTTTGATGTAAACAATAACACGTGCAAATAAATACATATCTCAAGGAGAGTGAAGACCATCTGCCACCCTAAGAGAAGAGATGGGCAAACAGATGTGTTAGCAACACAACAATCACATTTTGACAGCTCCAGCTTGACACTAGCCGATTCTCAAACTGTTAATGTCAGCACTAATAATCAATAAATGATAAGCCCTCCTTCATTACCTTTACTGGAGCGAAAATGATGAATAAAAAAATCAAATAAAAATGCATTCTTTTTTGAGTGACTCTGTGCCCTTGCTTTATTAGATTGATCAGATCAATAGTTCTATAATCATTTTGACTGAAAAATAGTTTTACGTTTTTTAAATTGCAAATGTGTTTAGTGAAGTATTCTAAAATACAGAAAAATGTTAAAATATTTCACAGAATGACATGTACACTCAAACCCATGTTTGAATTAAGCAGATACCGTCTACGTCAGTAACAAAGAGGTGTGATCAAATAACACAGACTAGCAGTATCAAACTCACATGTCGCCTTGTGGACCGTTCCATATATTTTCTCTGAGCTCTAGTTGCCTTGGATCCCTCTGATAGGAATAAGAAATAGTTATTAGGTCTAAACAGTATGGCCACTTTCATTCATTAAAAGACATTCAACAATGAATCTTCCAGAATTCACCCTACTTACTGCCTCCAATAATACTATGGGGTGCTCTGGTAAGTACTCCGGCTTCTTCTTGGCCTCAGGGCAGCTGGCCAAACCAATCAAAAAATCCCTCGTGTAAGATATTCTGGCTGCAAAGAAGGTAAAGGAAACAGTTTACCATAATTTTTTTAAATAAAAAAGGTGGGAGATTTTTAAAACAAATGCATTTGTGATGTTATAACCTCTCTGTTTACATTTGAAACAATATCAGACTAAAAGTGGACATCTGGTGGATGATCTGAAATGCACATATTTTAAAGACGTCTTACCATTTTTCTGTTTGCAGATGTTGACAATCTTGCAGAACTGCTCTATACCAATATTTGTCTGTCAATTGTAGAGTTTTAAACATTTTTAACATCTTTAAATAAACATGATTTTACAGGAAAGGTTTTTAAAGTAATTTAAATTAAATAGTACTGTCAGTGGATATTAACAATCTAAAAATTTGACATCTTAATTTCAAATAACACAAAATGACTATTGCTTCAAGTACATGTTATTTGATGATGTATCATATTTAGGATCTTACCTTTTGTTCCATCAATGTCTGCACACATGCTGCAGCATGCATTTGTGGCTCTATATATGGAGTGATACAAGTACTCCATTTAATGTCATCGCTTTCCATTTGTGAATGGTACCTTGACACTGAAAAGCCATTGCTGACTACTTACCAATGTCCTCGTGGATGAAGCGACGCAGGGGTCTGGCTGGCTCCAGATGTTTTAAGAGGGTTCTCCTCCTCGATACCTCCATTCTGGTGTATGTAAGATTACTTTACATGAATCCTCTCCACCTCCAACAATTTTGTATTTACAGAGTAAGGCTAATATTAAAACAACACGTTTTTGAGTGCTTTCCAAATAACCTGTGCAGTGGCTCTAAATCAAACCGGCCTCTTAGAACACCTAAAAACTATTTTTGTGAATTCTATTACATTTCTCAATCTTGCTTTGTATTGAACTTCTGATCTGTTAAGTATTACTGGAAACTATAAAGACTCAAAGCACTGATTGATAGGATCTTCAGTAGTCTATAAAGGTTTAAATTGCGAAATTAAATGGAGTTTAAAATTATTATTATTATTTAAAAGTATTAAAAAATGAGTTAAGATGTGGCATGATGAATGTAGCACAGCAGCTAGCTTTGAGGGACTGACAGGACAGCAGCATCTGCCCTATTAGCTTAACTCTCGTTGGTTAACAGCAAACTAACTTTGCCTAAAAACCTAATAACCTAATCACTTTTAGCAGAACGTCGCTGTGAAATGCGAAATTCTACTTACACTTTCACAATGCAGGAAAAAAAACTTCTGAAAACAGGTGTAACATGCTCGTTTCCCGTTTTGAGGCGTTTCGTGGCAGGGACCGGGGTGCAGACCGGGCTGTGGGGGGGACACACGGCTAACGGCGTGCCATTAGCCGTTAACTTCATCGTTTAAGAGCCACCGCTCATTTTTACGGTGGGACACCAGGCATTATCAAATTATTTAATATAAAGTTAGAACGTGAGAGATAATTGGATTGTAAATGAGTTGTCACCATCAAGTGACTATCAAGTGTGAACTCCCAAAATACTTTTCAGGGACAGCGTATTAACTTCTTGCTGAGAAATGTACGCCTCTTTGTGATATGACGGGAGGGTTTTATTGATAAAAACCCCCCCCTCCCGTTGACACTATTTTACATACATTACTTTTCTTTTTTACCTCTTGTTCTGTCAAATTCCCTTGGCGTGGTTTTCTGCCCGTCCACCAAGCCGCTGTTGCGTTTTAACTTGTGACCGTGTAAACTTGCGCCTGCCGGTGGTTGCTGTTAGCTACAGCCGCAGCTACAAAACCGGAAGAAGCCTCTTAGCTGCCCTGGTCGATGCCATGTTGTTTATGTCTCGTCAAAATCCTGTACTGTCGTTATGGAGTGTGGTAAAAAAAAAAGTTCATCTCAGTCGATACACGAACAGCATAAAACAGTCCAAAAGAAAAAAGCTGTACAATGTCCCCTCATTTAACTTGTTTTATCTAAATTTCATAACAGATCTAATGCATTTGTGGTTTTTTGATATAGTGCAGATTTTCCAATAACAGCAACCATCGACACTTCACACAGTCACGGGTTAAAACGTAACTCCTGAGCTGTACAGATTTAGGTGATTTCCCTGAATAAAATAATATGATATAAAGAATTTGTGCATACTCCATACTTTGTTCTCCTTCGTGCAGTATTAAAGAGGAAGCATGCTGCATCATATGAAAGTCATGCGACAAACTGCGGGAATTCGTCTACCTAAGATTATGGAGGAATGCTCACTCCCTCCTTTTGCATTTAAGTAAAATTGATCTCTATATCGAAAAGTTTTTGAGAAATTTTGATTAGACACAACCAACATGGCATTGATTAGGACTGCTACTACTCTTCTTCTCGTCGCCCAACAGTTTCAGTCGCTGACAGCAGACACCGGCGCGCTTAAAGGCAGGTCGCCAGTTAGCACAGTCCCGGTTTACACCGCAACACTCATGAACGCGTCCAAAATCTGTGACTTCCGGTACCCTTTAAAAATAAAAGTGTGGATGTAATGCCAAACGACTGTAACTGACGACGAGTACTCATCATGCATGTTCACTGACTGACTTTTTAACATATTTTTCCATTCTAAAAAATCGATCACTTGACAATAAAGATTTCCTTTTACATTAACCTCAGCTATACACAAAAAAAGTTGGATTTCTGATTGTCTTCCTTGAATCAACACAAGTATTTAACTTCTTGGTGATTAATGCAGTCTTCTGCTAAACTTGAAAGATACTGACTTTTTGATGACACATTATTTTCTGGATTGATTTAGGAATATTATAGAAGGAAAAAAACAATATTCTTTTAATAATTAGTAAACTTAAATACTTTTTCTTTTCCTGATAGAATGAGGTCCAAAAGCAGCAAATGTACAGGCTTACAAAACAAAAACAATTACATAAAATCATTTGATTAAAAAATACTCCTGTCTTAACTATTAACATCCTTCTTTTTTGCAATATTTAGATATTTAAAAAGGTTCATTCAGCCAACATGAAGAAAAAGAAGACGTGTAATTTTTTCCCTTTTTAATTTTAATTAAATGACAAAGTAAATTCCAACGCATTTTCACCACACTATTCTAGTTTACATAAACTATCTAAATGCACAAACCTAGTCAGGTACTATCTGAAAATGTTTATTCAAAATTTTATGGCACAATCAAAATCTCATTATTACTTCAAGCAAAAATCCCAACTGCAATGCTGGGCTTATTCCACCTTATTAAAAATAAACACAAAACCCCCCACCAAAGAAATAACTTGCAACCATTCTTCTCAGATCATCTCTGTATTGGTCAATACAACATGCATATACTCTACAGCATGTCAGAATCTTTAAAGGCAATGTCACTTTCACACGAGTGTGAGCTGTACTTTTCGTGGACCGATCGGTCTTCCACTCAGTTCCTGAATTGCAGTCATTGCCTCCTGACGAGATTCGAACACCAAAGTGGCAGAACCTTTTGACCTTCCGCCTTCGTCATACTGAAGTGAAACAGATCCGGGAATGATTCGATATCCGTAGCAGAAATCGTAGATTTCTTCACTCCTGATTTGAAATGGTAGGTTGACTAACTGAACACATGTGGGACCATCAAAGCGCTGCGCTGAAGAGCCAAAGCTCCCAAAGTCACCGTTGCCCCTGTCTCGTGGAGAACGGGACCTTCCGGCGCGAGGTTTAAAATCTCCATCTCTGCGGAAATGTCCTTTCACAAAAGGCCCTGATGCATTACCGTCCTTGGAATTCCTTGAATCAGAATAGAAGTTTTCCCCAGTGTGGCAGGATGCCTCGCTGCTTCTGCTACGCCGGCTGGAGTACTGCTCCTCTCTTGGTGATGGCTCTGGCTCTGGCGTCAAGGGTGGTTCAAGAGCCAACTTCTTCATCTGAGATCGTGAAATGCATTTCATTATAACTTCTGACCCAAGAAACCGCTGTCCATTGAGAGAGAGTGCCTCCATAGCCTCCGGCTCAGACCCAAAGAGAACCAAAGCCTGTCCAACCCCAGCACCTCCATGGTCATGCAGTACCCACACCTTGTCCTCGGTGACATTAAACCCATGAAAGAAGTCAATTATCTCAACTTTTCGAACATCAAATGGCAAGTTCTTTACAAACACACAGGCTTTCTCCGAGTCATACCGATCCCTGGGATATAAGGTAGATCTCTCATTATATCTCTCAGGATTTCCAGGATGTTTGATGGCCAAACTCTGAGATTCCAAAAGGTTGATCATATTCTCTCTCGAGATTGGACGGGTATAAACACATCGGTTAAAAAACTGTCTTTTTTCGTGACTCAAGGCCTCACAATAGTCGCGCAGACTCCTGAACAGCACAAATGCCGATCTGGTTCTTTTCCCGTTACCATCAGTCAAATGCAGGATCTGGTCATTCTCCAGCCGGGCATTATGGAAAAGCTGTTTTATATCCTCTTTTTCCACTGAAAAGGAAAGATTGTCCAACAACACACAGTACTCTTCATCAGAAGAAGGAAGGTCTCTCTGGGTCCCAGGTGATGGAGACCTCACGCGATACTGTGGATTTCTCTGGTTGCGAACAGGTGATCTCCCCCTCTTATGGCCACCACCGTTGACCATAAGTGGCATTCTGCCTGCAGTCCGTAGCCAATCTTTACATGTTGTGGTGAAAACTTCAATATACCTTGATCCAATGTACTGCTTATGCCTTTTTAAGCCTTCCAAAGCATCCTCTCTTGATGAAAGACTCACCAAACCCTTTCCATTGTTTTGTCCGTTGTGATTTTTCAGAAGGACAATTTCATAAACGAGTAACCCACTGAAAAAATCACGGATTTCGTCCTCAGTCACAGAATAGGGCAGCCCAGACAGAAACAGACCGAAGAAGTTTTCTTCATCGGCAGCACTCTGATACTGGACAGGAGGGGTATAACTGCTTCCTACTTCAGGCTCCTGAGATCTTCGAGAGTACCTCATATTGTCCTCGGGTCGTTCTCGGGTTGTTCTCTCAAGAACATTCTGCATCTCTGCTCTACTGCTTAATAGCAATTTCACGGGCACGCCTTTAATGGAACCCCCGGACCGGGACATAGCCCTTCTTGCAGCCTCATCTGAAGAAAAGATAATGAAAGCCTCCTGTAGTGCCCCACCGATTATATGTACCCCTCCATCTGGAATTTTGAGGCCAGTGAAGAATTTCCTTATATCCTCAGAACCCGCCGTGAATCTCAGTCCCTGTAAACGGATGACGACTTCCATGCTGAAGCACAAACAACAGCACCTGTAGACAAAAGGGTGAAGAATAACATTACTGCCTACAGAGCACCACTGGATCAGTTTCCCGGTGTTCCAACGTAACACCAGTAAACCTCACTGGTAAAAGCACCAGGCCCTCCATTCACAACAATGATATGAGAGAAAGACACTGTTTCTGTTCAAATTCAAGGCTGGCAGTTGGTCTGTTACCATCACCCGCCTACACCAGCACACCATGCAACACTCAGATGGATCCCAGTTTGCTCAAAATGACCATCTGAAGGAATCACCATGGTTAAGCGACATAACAACCAACAGAATTCTCTGTTACTTGCCATCATCTCGAGCATAAATAGCACACGGCAATGTTGTACAATATTGTATTAGGATGCAACAAACACAACAGGATCTTTCCAAGGAGACGAACAGCTTCTCAGAGCCAGCGGAACCAAAACCTAATAAGGAGTCCCCGAACACCACGTCACACTCCCCATCTCAAAAACAAACAAACATCCATTTCCAACTCCCCTTTTTAAGTGAGAAACAAGGCTTCTTTCGTGTAGCAAACTCTGGAATCAGCTACCAGCTAGATAACTAAGCATTATCCAAACTGTTTCCAACACAACGTTATGGAACAGAAAACCCAAGTTACAAAGCTGGATGTGAACTCACTCTTAAGGCCGACTTGAATGATTTGAAGATCATGCCTGTCTCATACCTAATCCCAGTAGGAAGTTTCCACAGCTTTTTTTTTTTTTCTCCCCACAGTGTTTATAGTAATTCAACATGTCCAACAACGAGAGATTTCTTCCCTGTGGGCACTCCTGACATGGATGACTGTTCCATGAGGCACGCAATACTGGTCATGAGAGCAACGCCTTAAAAAAAAAAAAAGAGAAAAAAAAAACATACAAACACTAAGCAACAGGATCACGGTCTTGTCCTCCTTTAAGGTTTTTCCCATGCCGGGTTACATTGCTTTAGGTCCTCCAACAAGGTTCCCAAATTGCTCCATCCTTTCACCACCAATGTGAACGATTGAATTAGCTTATTTAGAGGCTTCCAGTTTTCAGCTCACTCCATCATAACAGATACATTTGCTTATTGAAATCCAGATACCAGGATAACAGCATGTTATTCCTCAAAGCAACAAATTCAGCCATAGACAAATTGTGCATCCCTGAATGAACTGAAAACCAGTAACTTCCGGGAAGGTGCGCCAGCAGGTTCTGGAAAATAGTTGAGAGGTATTCAAGCATGTTATGTGAATTTTTTGTTATCTGTACAAACCACCACCCACAAAAAAAAATGAAAAAATATTCACATCATAAAGCATCCATCCAGATTAGCCCATAATAGGATAGTAAATCATCACATACTACCTCATTTTCCAAACCACCAAACATTGTGGGTATTGATCATGTGAAACTAGTGATTTAGCCAGCAATAATGCAAGAAAGCAACCAACGGCAGAAAACACATTTGGTGGCACAATGTTCAGTCCAGGTAGTTGTATGCACGAAAAACAAAATAAGTCGGAGAAAAAACGTCTTATGACAGACGCTAATGACACATAGCACGTAAAAGCCATGGTATCGGCGGGCCCACGGAAGTCATTACACCCTCACTAAAAGCAACATCAGAAAGAGCAATGTTCATAACAGCTGAGCCAAATATAACCCGGAAAAACTGTATCTTGGAACAATGTTCAACGTAATTCAGTCAAAAAAGTGGGTAGCAGGCACTGTACATACTCTTATAAGTTTACTGAAATGACCGAGCTTAGCTAACTATTACATTCAAGCAGGCCTCTTGTAGCTTTAATGCTAGCTCACTTATCGGTCCAATCTAACACTCTGCAATGTTCTGCACGAAAATCATTAAACAGATTAGCCATCTTACTATCGTCGAAACTTACACAAATGAAAGTCAAAGACTTTTTTGGGCAGGGACTAAAGACTAAAGCTGTACATATATTCTTATTAACCGAATTCAGCGCGATGTTCTTAAGCCTTCGAGCTGGTGGGAGGGATTTCGTCTTCTTCTTCTTCTTTAAATTTGGACTACGATATGACGTAAAATCTCCCGGCTGCACTCTACTATAACGGCATGAATGACACCATGATCTGAGGAGGGCTTCGTTTTGGATCTAGATATCGCGAAAATCGATTTACGCCTGTATCCCAATTGCTTTTCTAAATAAAATCCATTTTCAATAATCAGTCTCTAACAACGTATCATTTTCATTTTGATTGTATATCAAGTTAAATTCAGATTTGTTTTCTTAAACCATTTTGCGAATGGCCGAATGTCATAATCTTGAAAACTTCTTATGCTGAATCTATAAAGATATCTCAGGACCAACTCTTCCATGGAGCCATCTGGTTCCACTTTCATTTACAAAAAAGCATAATACAGCAATGTGGTGGAGTGTGTCATATTTCTTGTTTGACATCAACATACAAACAAAATTATTAGGCAATATATTATCTTAGGTATCACATTTATTAAGGAAATCTCCAGTGTTTCTCACTAATACTCATGAAACATTTTCTTTGAAGAAACTCATCCAGATGACAATCATTCCATGGCTACGTAACTTCAGCTACACTACAAAGAGATGCAAAAGATTGAAGGTAAATTCTGTCCAGATGTGCCATGTGCAGAAATGGAGACTCAGCATAAAAAAAATTGGTCTTGTCCACCAGTAAATCAAATTTAACTCAGAATCACAAAACTTTGCCGCCATTACATAGACACACCAGTCTTCGAACGTTTGATTTATCTCTGTTTCCAACTTGATTTGACCTCATTCACCATTAACTATGCTTCGTTCAAATAAATACCCATTTGTTCTATACTTAAATCATTTCTGACAACCATCATCAACCACAGGATAAGGGCGTTTTTTATTCAGTGAGTGCCCACTATTCAAAGTTGATCTAATATCCCTGTTTAAGCGGTTTAAAGAGCCTGGGAGCTTCAAGAAAAATCTCTGAAAAAAATTAACTGACTCAGAATCATTATAATAGAACGTGTCCAGGTGCCAATTACTAAATTGATTATGTACTAAATTGTTCCCTTTGAAAGAGAAAAAAAAGGGACTGATTTGTAAAACTCAGCTGATAGATGTGTCTATCAAAAGTACTATATTTATCCGCATAACTGTGCAGGGTTGGCGCCAGCTGTGCTCCCTCACCATGTGACGCTGAGCACAGCAGCCTCTGCCAGGGGCACACTGTGAGTCAGGGTGTGGAGCAATAAACATCCAAATCCTTTGCTACGAACGAGGTGTTCAATTCCATAACTGACAAACTGGCCACACGACTAGTTTGGCGGTTTGTTTATGGTCAATAAACTTGCTATCCCCCCCCCGTACTCGAACTCCCTGCTAACTGTGTGAGCACATGCTAACTCGGTTGTACCAACATTCACCCATGCTGAAGCTGGGGCGCAGCACCAGCACTGGAGCTACTGACCCGCCGATCATTTCCGACAGCTCCGTATGGATTTGACGTCGATATACGTTGCTGCTTGATGTTTTACGAGGGGGCAATTAGCGATTATTTTGAGGATGGGGGATCCTTGTGATCTTAAACACTTCATAAAGTGAGTATCTCGTGAACCACTTATGTCTATTCAATGTTTTATTCCTTCTGATCAAACAAACTACCCAACAAAACAACAGTAGCTAGCATGCTAGGCAAGCTGAGTGTACAGACTTCAGCATACGGGTGAACTGTATCCTAAAATGGAAGTATAAGTAAAACCATCAACACTTTTTCGTTTCATTAGAAAGTGGCGAACCGTCACCATTTACACAACTGTCTTTGCTCTGATCTTAAAAACTTCGCGCGAATCAAAATGGACTAAACAAATGTACAATAGTCACATTAGCCTACAGGCAGCTAATTACAGTGGGAGCACAAGCTAACACTGCTAGCGTTAGCTCCTGTTTTAGGAGTTAACCATCAGTGTTTTACAAATGTGATCGTTTACACGAGCCACGTTTGAGGAGAATCGTACAGGACACTTTTCTTGTCGTGTGTGGTTAACCAAATTGTCGACGTGTCGTTTCATAAACGCAGTACATAGTATTTTATACAAGCTAAAGCTATCTTAAAACATGGCCTCCGAAAGCTTTCTGCTAGCTTACGCGAGTTAGCTCAGCTGGTTCTAGAGACTACTAAAGTAGCACCACTATCGGTTAGCTACGTTTTTGCGTCTGATCTTACAAATCTGTTATTCATCAATCGTTTATAGTGGCTAGTAAGTAAATCCTGGCATTGTTTAAATGTTTGCAACACATCCTATCCTCTTCACTGTGTGGTACATTCATGCGTTTAAAGGCCATGTATTGGCTGCATCCTCCCACCGTAAAGGCCAGGCTACCGTCAGAAACTCGTTTTTGAATTAAAAGTCACAGTTAAAGTGTTTTTTTCCACACACAAACGTGGAAGGAGTAGGCTTTTATTGTCCCCGAGTGCAACTAGCTGGCCCCTTAAATTGGATAACAGGGTGCATGCTCTCCACTCGCCCTGCATCCATTCATGTTTCCCTTCTACCGACTATGACGCTGTAACACTATTTTTAAATCGTGGTGGGTTAATGTTACCTCCTTGTTTTCTTATAGTCAACCCAATGAATAGCAACAGAAAACTTCCAGCCCAGCAGGCTAAAACAAATGAGAGGAATGCTCGTTTACTATCTGATAAACATGGGACGTGCAGCTACATTGCAGCATAAGATAACAGAGAGCTCAGGAAGCATGCCAGAAGAGGTACTTTTCTGTTCAACGGTTGATTCCCTTTTTGGACACGCTGTTTGACTCTTAGCTTGTATCCATACTGAGCACAGTTACATGTTGATAGTCTTTGCAAAAGTCTTTATTCTGTTTATATGTAATTATCCACAGGTGACTTTTACATTTGTGAAATGAGGAAGGGTGTGCACAGAAATACAAACCCAGCATGAAATAAGCGATCGCCTCAGATAAATTCAACGAAATAGACATGTAAGTCCAATTACACACCAATAACATTTAAAAAGAAACTAACATGAACAGTATCCCAAATAAACAATGACATTTTTTATCTAAATTGGCCTAACTTTAAAGGTTAGAACATCAAGATCCTTCCAAACAGTTCCTGGAGAAGGGTGTTCAAAGGTTTTGATCACAAATGGGGAAAAAAAATATCAGTCACTTTTAGCCACAGCATGTGGATATACGCGCGGCTGGATTATCACCAGGCCCACCACTGCTTTGAGTCACGCACCAGCTGGGAGGAGGCGAGCGCCCCACTTTGGACCGCTGTCACCCAGGATGAGCGGGACCTCAAGTGTGTTTTCACACAGAAACGGCAGAGAATTTCTGGAAAATGCATGGCCATGCCGGTACGGACTCCACAGCCAAAGATTGTTGCTGGAGATTCGTTCCCATGGCAGGAAAGATTCCAAAGTAGCCTGGAGGCAGGACAAGCACATTCTTAAATGTCTCTCCATATGCACCCGACCAGAACGTGTCAGAGCTGGAGGATATGCATGCAGGAAGAGAGCTCACCACAGGTTCTTCTAACTTCTGCTGCAGTGTATCTGTCTCGTCAAATGCATCCAGGCCCCGAAAAACTGGAAGATGATTATGAACAGATTACAACCACTTAAAGCTGGATGGATAGCTCACAGCAATCCTGGAAGAAAGGAGTATTGCGGTCATTAAATATGTTGATTTTTAATTCAAAGTTAACTAAATCCCTTTCCCTGGGAAATGCTTCATGTGGAAAGGCAGAACTTCCGCTTTTATTTTGATTATGAGCATTGTGCCCTCTTAATATTCTCATCAGGTTGTGGAAACAGACTTCTGCCTTGTTGTTACTGTTCCTGTTACATACAGTGTTCTTTCTGTACAAAGCGGAACACCGTGAATTTTCTCAAATGGTCAAAGTGATGCATTTGTTGCACCTTTCTTCTGACGTTTGCCGATTATCAAAGCATAAACTGACAGGATAGCTCTAAGCTGTTGTGGGTTCAGAGGCTGGGTTCACTGCAAACCTATTTTTCTTTTTGTCAGGTGTTCCGTCACTTTGGAGGGCCGGTTTCTCTGATTCGGATTATTCTTGCCCAGCAGCCTCCTCAGGCCTACTAATCCTAGACAAGTTTCTCAATGGACACACTGCTCAAGTCAGAGATCAGGTATTAGACAGAAAAAATAACTGTGCTTATCAAGTTGTGTGATCTTAGCAGTCTGTGCTGTCATTTCTTCCATAGCGCCTCTCCATGGCATGGTCCGGCTCGGCTCGGCTCTGTTTTCGTAGTAGACGGTACTCGATCTCATGTAAAACCTCAACCTCCAAAGGAACCGCAGCTCTGAACTCAATCACACACACACACACACACACATACACCCAAATACACACCTCCTTCTGAAAAAGGCATTTGATTTCAAACCTGTTTACGCCGTCGCGGGACATTTACGAGCACGGCTTTTACAACCAAGTGTACAAATGCCGACTCTTTTTTGGTTTGTTTAGTCCAGTCACACATCTTTGTGGTGGCAGACTCGCACAGCGCAGCCCTGACTGGACGCACGCACACCAGGATGGGGTTTTTCTCGTGTTATTGTTCTGCAGTGAGGGGCTAATCTCAGCCACTGCCTGCATGAGAGAAGAGTCGAGTTGAGCCGTACCATTCACATCAAGCCTGTCTTTTACTCTTTTTGTTTTTCTTTCTTTGAATTCAATTCTCATGCTGAAATAAAATCAACACAGAATCATTCTATTACCAGGACATGTTTGGAGCTCAACCAAATGATGGTGTCTTTTTGGGTCACTACACTGAAGTGATGATTAACAGTTGAAGGATTTTAAGTGGATGACTGTGTTTATCTGGTTTGAAGCAAGAAATGCTTGAGCATTGCCACTGGAGGGGCATTAAGCTGAGCGGACCAGATCATTGGTAATTTGAGGTCTCGTTCAGTAAAGATGGGATTTTAAAAGCTTCTCGTGTTTATATATAACTATGTCCCCACAGAAGTTCCTCATTTTAAAGGGCAGAGAGAAACGAAAGATTAAGTCCTGTGGAAACATATGACCCAGTTATTGCTCAACACTCACATCCAGCGCACTCCACGGGAGATACTCACATTTAAATAGAACCAAAAGTGGAACAAAACCCACTTATTCATATTCATCGCGTCCAGTGGTTTTCTCGGCCTTTGTCTGATGCGTTATGGAGCTTTACTTATCCTTCAAGCTCCCACATACACAGCCCATCACTGCCCAGTTGAGACAGAGCCCAGAATCCCCCTGACTACTGCAGCCATTCCACCTGAGTTACAGTTAGAGGCGTTTGCTTTACGCTGGGAAGCCGGTTATCCTCATCTGTTGGGGTTGTTTATGTAAAGCTGCGTCTTACTTGGTAAATGCAAAATTAAGTGCAGAGACACCCAACCTTTTGTTGAAAATGGCTGCAGTCAAAGGCCTGGCAAAGCAGCATAAAAGGAAGAAAGGGTTGTTTTTTGTGTTTTTTTAACTTGGCAATAGAAATAATTCACCTTCTTCCGTTTATTTCGCCAAACCTGTTAGCTTTGAAGCTACACTGTCATTAGAAGTGCATGATCATTATTGTTCTTTTTGCTCTTTAGGCTTTGTTCTTCAGTTCACTTTAAAATCAAAATGGCATAGACAGACTTTGGTGCAAAGGACCATGTCATGACTGTACGCTCAGCAGAATGACCTGAGTCTGATTTGAATATGTTTTGGATTTGTCTAGGCCAGGCCAACGGAGAAAAACATACGGATATTTGTTTTGTGAGCCTGCTCACCCTGTTGCTTTGTAAGGCACCTTTTCAGAGTGTGTACGGGTCGTCTGTCCTCTCCTGTGTGTACATTGTGGGTCCTTTTGTAGAAACATTTCCAAATGCCTACCTTGATGATGTCAGATCAGGGGAGATATCGCTCCAGGGGAAAGTTGTGACTTTTTCCTGTTATGCTTTATATGTTTAAGGATTACTTGCATCATAATGTATTTAGAGTTCTGTTGGTCAGTAAACACAGCAACACGTGGAGCTGCTTGGCTCCTGTTTTCTGTTTGTTTTGTAACATGGACCCAGTAAACTGACCCTACCTTTCATCTTTTTTTAATGTTCCCATGATGTTCTCACGTTATTATAGAGAGGAAGGGAGTGGTGCGTCGGTAAGTTGACTTCATACATTTTTTTCATCATTTTAGTAGCGTCTTGTGTGATAGTGGTAGTTTTGGAAGAAATACTAAAGTTGCGTTTATTTGTGTTTTTTGTTTATCGTAGGTAAAGGTCGAAGGCCTATCCAAATCAGCCCTAATCAAGAGCTTGACTCCAAGAGTCATTCTATCCAATCACCTTTTGCCGAAAGGGACCAAGATGAGGGTCAACCTAGAAGATCAGGGTCGTCAGAAAGTGTCCTTCAGCTTCTCACAAACGAAGAAGCCTCTGCAGAGTCCGTTCTTTATCCCTGCCAGTCCTGAGAAGTCTGTTCCTGAACCACTTGCTGCCTTGTCACCGTCCACCTTGGATAAAGCAGGGAACGACACGGACATCAAAACTGAGCAAAAACTGACTCCCCTGGTGCCAACATCGATAGAAGAGACTCAGTCCGAAACATCTGTCTCCTCCTCCACTAGATTGAAAACCAACTTAGGAATGATACATTTCAAGAAGCAAATTTTAAGCGAGTCTGTGACGGAAAACACAGAAACATCTGTTACACCAGAAGAACTGAGCACCTCTGATTCGAATGTTTCGACAATTAAGAGTGAAGAGGAATTACCACAGCCCGAAGTACAGGATGTCATCAGTGTCTGCCTCTCTGAAAACACTCAAACTGAAGCCACAGAGACAGAGCGAAATCCTAGCCTCAACAAACCAACTGATTCCTCAGGAAAAGATGGCGATAGTCCCAGCAGTGCTGACCCGGACAGTGATGTATACAAAAGTAAAACCAGGTTACAGTCGGAAAGCGCCCCCCCTTGCTCAGAATCGGATGGAGATTTAGGTCCCACGTCTTCCAGCCGCAAGTCAGATGATTCCAAATGTAAAACAAACTCTGAAAGCAGAAGCAAAGAAGTTAAAAGGTCTTCCTGTAGCTCACATGTGGGAGAAAGAGAAAAGGTTTCCTCTAAGCGCTCCGAGAATCACGAAAGGTCTTCAAGTTACTCCAAATCAGACCGCGATTGTAGAAACGCCCCCTCACGCTCGTCTCGATCAGAGAAGGATCGCAGGAGGTCCAGGTCTAGATCACGCTCTAGATCTAGAGGGTCCCGAACGAGTTCCTCTCATTCCAGATCAGAGAGATCCAGAGGGGACCGAGGGTCTCGCTCTGATAGATCATACTATCATGAGTCTGATCGGCGATCACACAGGAGTTCCCCACGCCGAGAGAGACGGCGCTCTCGCTCTCGCACCGACAGAACTCGGGATAGTTCGGACTCCGAGGAGGACCATAGGAAAACCAGGACGAGGGCGAGCGAGTCCGGCAGGTCATCCAACTACTCAAACTCACACAGAGAGTCAAAATCATCGTCTTACTCAAAATCCGAGAAAGCCTCCAAGTCTGTGGACTCTCCTCACTCCTCCGAGTTTGATAAAAGAACGCAATCTTTAAAGTCTGAACGAACTTCAAAGCGATTAGCAGACTCCGATTCCCATCACAAGTGCTCCCCTGATTTGGACTCCAGTCACCGTAAATCCAGCAGTCACCACAAGCCTGAGACCAACAGTAAGTCCTCCACTGTTCACACCCGGTCTCAAACACACGATAGACATCACAAAGGTAGCTCCAGTGACTCTGAGGCCGATAACAGGGGGCTACCACAGCCCTCAGACAAGAGCATGGGCTCTTCGGAGAACTGTAGAGACCCCCAAAAGAAAAGCGGCAGGCCTGAGTCAAAACAAACGACCCCCTCTAGATCCTCAGTGAAATCTCCCGGCCACGACAGACAATCAAACGATATGTTTCACAGTTCCAGCAAAGCATCGCCGTGTTCAGCCACCACACAGTTGAGTGCTCAGAGCGGAAAAGAGAAAAACAATTCCCTGCAAAGTGCAAATGAAGGCAGTATTCAGGCTGTTATGGAGAGAGACTCATCTACTGATTTATCCGCAAAGGAGCCAGAAACAAAATGTAGACTTGAAACAGAAAACACAAATGCCTCAGCTACAATTACAGGGGAAAGCTTAGCGCCAGTCACTCTTGAAAACGCGTGCGGTGTGCAGGGTGGTCAGACCTCTGGTAAGCAGCCGCTTGTGAGTTCAAACGCAGCTGTTATAGATTCGTTTAAAAGTGATTATAGTGCAATGTGCAAAGAGGACGGGAACATCTCAGACTGCTCAGCTGTGCCAAAGTCCTCTCTTCATACTTTAGATACCCCCCTCACACACTGTGTCCAGCAAAACACTAAACCAGAGATTGTGGAGCCAGATAAAGATATGAATGTTGACAAGCAGCCTGAAACAAGCGTGCCCCACCAATCTGATTCAGCCGCTCTCATGTGGGAAACTCAGCCGGCGCTGGCACAGCAAAATCCAGACACTGTAAAGAAGAGCAGCAGCGCGACCAGAAAGTCCAGGTGGGACATCGTCGGCCAGGACGACTCAGAGAGCAGCAACGCGCTCAGAGTAGTTAGTGTGGAGAGCAAGCCTACTGTGAAACAGGTGATTTCACTCAAAAAGATCGAGTTTGCGAAAGATGGCAGCAGCCATCCCGAGTCTGACGACAGAGAGAAGAATTGGCAAGAAAATGATCCACATTCCAAACTGCTCCAGCAGGAGGAACACAGCTCGTCCGTGACCTGTCGGTCCAAAGACCAAAGCCAGCCCTCCCAGGCAAGCCCCAGCATCGACCACTGTGACATCAGAGCTGCTGCTCCCCAGAGGCCGCAGGCAGGCGCCGCCAACACGGCCGCCGCCGCCAACACGGCCGGAGCGCCACAATGCCACTTGGCTTTGGACACGCAAAAGTGGCACATTGACGACAAACAGAAATCCAAGGAGAGCGCTCAGGAACTGTGTAAAAGACCGGCCAGCCTGGATGCTTCAGGAGGACAGAGCGAAGCCAGCGACAGTGACAACTCGGAGTACGACTCTGACTGCGATAAGGCCATAAAACAGCTGCACTCTGTGGTCGTGGTGCCAAAGAATTCCTCCCTAACAAAAGACGACAGGGGTGATTCCCCCTTCAGTCGGACAAATAATCCAGACCTCCCCAATGCTTGGGCAGCAGACCGAGTCAGCCCGCAGAAAAATAGTGACTCTCTGGGCATCCCGGGGTTTTGTCAGTCCCAGAGCAATATGATCGATAGCACCAGTCACTCAGAGGGCCCCGGCTCCATCAGGGCCGGTCATTTCAGCGCCCATCAAAGCTCAACAGCCCACACGCCCCATAATTCCGGCAAGTGCGAACAAGGGCTTGAGCAAAGGCAGTTAAGTAGAAGAGGTGAGCGGATGTACTCGCATTACCAAGAAGGCGATTTCTCCAGCGCTGACAATATCAGTGACAAGAATGGGTTCAGCCTGGGCTGGGACTTTCCCCAACCGGAGCAGCCCACGAGTACATGCCAGCAGCCTGACAGCAGCCACGGCTCACAGGTGATTAACACTAAACTGGCAGGAGCCAGTTCAAAGGAGCAAGAGCACAGGCAGACTCTTGGCTTCTGCACAGAACAGGCCCCAAATGTCCTGATTGGCAAAAACCCTTACCTCCACGCACACGAGCTCGACCAAGAGCCATCCAGTGAAATCCACCCCGACTCCCTCACCAATGACCACGACGACTACAGCAGGGACAAATCATCATCCAGTTTGAGTAAAGCAGTTGTTGAGTTCCGCGCACACAATACTCCGGGGTCATCGAGCTTCGTGCAGGGTCATGAGATAAGCAGCAACAGCAGGGGCTCTGCGGTACCCGACCCCCCCAGGGAGGACACTTTCAGGCCCCACAGAGGGAGAGGCCCGCCCAAGAAAAGGCGCCCAGAAATTGAGTCGGACTCGGATAACGAGGCCGAAGCCGGACCTTTCAACAAAAGGGAACGCTCTGGAGACGCTGACGACCCAAAAGAAGCTCTGGTCAAGCCCCCCCGGCCGTCACTCACCCTGCAGGACTTTCAGGACGCCAACAAGTGGAAAGACTACGCCAAGTCGAAAAAGATGCCCCCCTACTTCGACCTGATTGAGGAGAACCTGTACCTGACTGAGAGGTAAGCCGCTAACCAACAATACACACGTCTTTACAAACTTGAGAGGTGCAAAGTTTTCTATGAACAATTTCTGCAGAAAGAAAAGCAAATCTCATCGAGACATAAAGAGGATGCAGTGCGAGTGCCCTGTGCTGCCCAGAGAGGACCGCGCCAGAGGAGTGTTGGCGTGCGGAGAAGACTGTTTGAATCGGCTCCTGATGATCGAATGGTACGTCCATGACAAGCATTTGCTAACTCTGTGGATGGGGGAACCTGTGGTATGGGAAATGCTGCTCAGTTAATGGGAGTAGCTGCAGCCGTGGCTCTTAGTTAGACCTTGATATTTGAGCTTCATGTCACAAAACCAAGAATAGTTCCACCATAAACGTTTTTGCAGGCAGCAACATCATCACTGTCTCAAACTTTTCACAGCTCATCGCGGTGCTTAAACGGAGCCTACTGCTCTAACCGCCGCTTTCAGATGAAACAACATGCGGACTTCGACGTCATCCTCACAGAAGACAAGGGCTGGGGACTACGTGCGGCCAAAGACTTGGCAGCGTAAGCTTCTTCGCAGTTTCTTTTGGCACGGCAGAAAACACTCAGTGCCTTATGAATATCTGTACTGAAACCCACTGGTCTACAGCGACATCTTAAAAATGTCTTTGTTCTTTTCTCTCAGGAACACGTTTGTCCTGGAGTATTGCGGGGAGGTGTTGGACCACAAAGAGTTTAAAACACGGGTCAAAGAGTACGCTCGCAATAAGAACATCCACTACTATTTCATGTCTCTGAAGAATAATGAGGTGCGTCCAAATGCTTGTTTCGACCCACCGTGTGTTTGAATGATTCCAGCGACGTGAATGGCTGTTCTTTTCCGTCTCTGCAGATCATTGATGCCACCTTGAAGGGGAATTGCTCTCGGTTCATGAACCACAGCTGTGAGCCAAACTGTGAGACTCAAAAGGTAGAGATGCCCAGAAAAAGTCCTTCTGTACACAGTAAAAAGTTGTCTTTAAAAAAGAAAAATCGACCGATGCCGCTTTCTTTGTTGCTTCTTTCTCCCGTCCTGTTTTAGTGGACTGTTAACGGCCAGCTTCGAGTCGGGTTCTTCACCACCAAGACTGTCGCTGCAGGAACTGAGCTGACATTCGACTACCAGTTTCAGAGATATGGGTACCGTCTCCGACTGAGATTTTTCTGCTTAAGTTGAACTATTCTAAACATCAATAGATGCCTGGTGTAAGACATTTTTCCATAACTCAGTCTGCGTTCCACCTTGCTCTGCAGGAAAGAAGCACAGAAATGCTACTGTGGGGCACAAAGCTGCAGAGGCTTCCTAGGGGGAGAAAACAGAGTCAGTGTTCGAGCAGCTGGAGGGAAGATGAAGAAAGACCGCAGCAGAAAGAGCGCTCTGACCACGGTGAGTCGTAGCGCTGACGTCCGAATGTCTTTTTGCTGTCAGTTTGAATTCTACTGCTCGCTTCTCTAAAGAACAGTTGTTAGAAAAGAAGTAATCTCACACTCAACTTCAATAGAACACTATTTAAGAGTTAAATTTCTGATATTTGAACACAAAATCAGACAAAAAGAACCAAATCACACTTTTTCTGAAAAGTTAACAATGATTAACAATGTAAATTTTGAAGCTCTAAATGTTATTTCAGTAACTCAGTAATTTATGAATACAAAATATCAATTATGTTTTCTGATTTGGTAATTTTTGATGGTGCTTAAATGTATGAACACCGGTCAAAAGGCTTTCTCTCTGTAGAATCATTTGGCCTCATGTTGTCCTTTACCAGGTGGATGAAGAGCTAGAGGCGTTACTGGAGAACGGCGAAGGCTTATATGATGAGAAACAGGTGGTGTCTCTCTGCCGACTAATGGTCCGAGTGGAAACCATGGAGCAGAAACTCATCTGTCTCAAGCTGATTCAGGTATGACCCGTGCTGCGAAAGCCTTCCCTGTGTTGTTGGGTTTGATTGCTGTCCTCACCGAGATGTATTTTCTGTCTGTGTGGCACAGGATACTCAGAACCCATCGTGCCTGAAGCAGTTCCTTGACCATCATGGGCTATCTCTGTTGTGGATCTTCATGGTGGAGCTTTCTGAAGCCAAAGGCAACTGTGTCAATAACATCAAGCTGCAGTTAGAGGTGGGATTGGTCATTCTCTTTTCTTTTTTTTTAAACAAATATTTTATTATACCTTCTATACGCCTTCTGCTTGATAACTTCTGGTCTGGTCCGTGGCAGATTATGAAGACCTTGGCTGTGCTTCCCATCTCAACTAAAAACATGCTGGAGGAGAGCAGAGTCCTGACCTTCATTCAGCGCTGGGCTCAGACAAAGATTCTGCCCCAGCAGGCCGAGATGGACGGCTACTCCAGCGAGAACACCTCCCGGGCTCAAACCCCACTCAACACCCCCGATGGCTCATCCAGCAAACTAGGACCAGAGCTGGACGGCGACGTTTCAAAACCCGCAGTGTACCGCCGTCTAAAAATCATCAGCGAAAACAGCCTGGACAGCGCCCTCTCCGATGCTAGCAAAGCATCAGACGGCAAGGAGGAAGAGGAGGAGGACGAGGACGAGGAGGAAGAAGAAAGCTCACATATGGATCCTCCTGATGGAAAGCCGCTGAAGGAAGAATCTTTGGACGAAGCTGCGGATCCAACAAAAGAAGCAACGGAGGAGTCTATGGCTGAGGTCATACCAGAGAAACTGGAAGAGGCGGGGATGAGTTCAAGCGGTCCCGAGGAGCCCCAGAGCATCAGAGTCCCAGACAAAAATGAGTATGAAGTAGAGGCAAAGCATTCAGAGACTGAAGAAGACAGAGCTGAGAGTCATATTGATGAGCCAGAGGAGATGAAAGCTCCTGATAATGAGCAGGAGGTGGCAGAGAAAGCAGAGAGTCCAACAGTGCCAGAAACAACACTGGAGGGAGAGCAGCCCACTGAGAAAATAAATGAGCCGGAGACTCCGTCCGACCACACTGAAGTTGCTGAGCCTTCTACAGGGGAGTCTTCAGAGAACATGGAGACGCAGGAAGAGGAGCAGGAGTCTGAGAAACCACCTCCAAGCAGCGAGGCCCAGTCTGGCGAATCTGCCTCCGATGCTCCGCTGAACTCGGACAACCCCGACGCCCCTCTGCCCTCTGAGGTCACAGCGGTGCCAGCCGAACCGTCGGTGATGGGAACTCCTTCCCAGGACGAAGAGGAGGGTGTCTCAGATGTTGAAAGCGAAAGGAGTCAGGAGCCCCAACTCGGTGTGTTGGACATAAGCGGGATGGCTGCCAGGCTTCTGGAAAGCTGGAAGGATTTGAAGGTATGTCTACTCAGAGACAGTTTTTAAGGCAAACGGTCTGTGAAGGTCAACATGTGATGACTCATCGGTTTTGTTTTCAAACTGTTTTGATGTCATTTTATTCTGAAGTCAAAGTTGAGATTGTCTTTGTAGGAGGTGTACAGGATACCAAAGAAGAGTCAGGTAGAAAAGGAAGCCAGAGGTAAGGGTTTCTACAGCCTGTTTAGAGGAGGACATTTGTTTCCTTGCCTTTTGTTATTTGCAAACTGAGCTGACGAAACGTTTCTGTAAAGATCGCAGCCGAGATCGTGATATATCTCTGCCACCACGCGCCACCTCTGGCAGCCGAGAACGTGAGAGGGAGCGAGAGAAAGAGAGGGAGCGTGACAGGGAGCGAGACCATGACCGAGACAGGGACCGGGACAGGGACCGAGACTGGGACCGGGAGAGAGACCGGGACCGAGAACGGGACAGAGACCGGGACCGAGACCGGGATCGCCTGTCAGACAAAACTCCACGCAGCTCTGAGCGTCGAAGGAGACGCTCCCTGTCCCCGCCCCCATCATCCTATGAGAGGAGCAGCAGGCGCACCGAGGAACGGTAGGAATTCTGGGGAAGGGAGTTTATTTGTGGAGGGTTTTTATAGAGCTGTTTTCTTCCTGTTATGTTAGTGGCTCAACTGTAGTCTTGTTCTTTGGATTTTGAAGGTTTGACCCCTCAAACAGCAAAACACCAAGAGGAGTTGGAGGCAAAGAGCGCAACAAGCTGTCCACAGAGGAGCGTAGAAAGCTGTTTGAGCAGGAAGTTGCTCAGCGTGAAGCCCAGAAGCAGCAACAGCTCCAGCAGCAGCAGCTCCAGACTATGGCATACGACCCCAACCTGGTCTACGCCTCCAGCCCCAGTTTCATCACCTACCCGCCCGGATACCCCATCCAGACCTTCGTGGATCCCACCAACCCCAATGCCGGAAAGGTCCTCCTCCCTACCCCAGTGGTCGATGCCGCCCTCAGCTATGAGCAGACCCCTCCACAGCGAATTGCCTCTGACCTCGCCCTGACCTCTCCATCTTCTACATCACAGACCGCTGCAGTCCCTAATCTGGCTCAGCACATTACCACTACCGACCTCACCTCCGGCACCCCCCAGCAGTACACCCAGCCCACTGTAGCAACCCAGGATGCTGGAGTAGCCGTCCTGTCTGTGCCGGCCCAGTCAGCCCCACAGGTCCAGGGCCAGCAGAGCTACGCCACCCTGTGGGATCCAACCACGCAGCAGGCCGTGACGGTGCAGACGCAGCCCGCACAGCAGTACGCCACAGCTCCAGGACAGGCCCAGACTCAGACAGCCATCTATTACCAGGGCCAGCCATGTCCGACCATCTACAGCATCCCCACCGCGTACCCCCAGGCCAACACTCCTGTCATACAGGTAGACTTTTTGTCTCCTTTTATCATTTTGCATGAATTTGCTTTAGACTTAAAATGTAATTTCTGTTTATCTAAACTGTAAAACTAGCCAGTTCCATGAATGTTTCTCCTCCTCTCTGGTGATCTGATCAAGGTTTGGATTTTTTTAACAAGGCGATTTATTGTTAAATGGGTAAAAAAATAGCTACAGTTAGCTTAGGAATTAATGGAGTATAGTTTCTACAGGTGTAATCATGACAGCTTCTTTTTGATTGTTTAATCCCAGCATCCATCTGGACATGCTGAGCTACTTAAACGATTCTAAACGTTGATAGGATCTATCTAATCTCATTGTGCTTCGTGTCTTAAGACGTACACAGAGCCCGCAGCCAGCTACTTGCACAGCCAACCGGTGTACCCTGGTCATCAGCAGGGAGTGGTGGTGCAGCAGGGAGGCACAGTCACCACCATCGTCACATCCCAAACTGTCCAACAGGTAACCGAATAACAATCTGTTCCATATACGAGGTGCATAGAGTGAAGACAAATGTGCTTCCTTCAAATGAAAAAAAAAAGAGCAGTAGGCATCTCATTGTGGGCACTAGGGGGAGTATATGCCTGAGTTTTTTCTGTTTTGAAAAGCTGCGCCTTTCAAACGCCTGCCTCCTGCAAGGAGAGAAAACCGCTGAATAGGTTCCAGGTGTCTTCATTCTTTGACTGTTATCCACTTCCTATTTATTCTGCATTTGCTATTGTTATGTGAACTATTGGAAACCCCCAAACGCAACAGAACATTGACCAGAACAGTGCTCGAGGAAAACAATTACCGGACATCGTCAGGACCGAAAGACCACCTCTAAGCAGCGATCAATACTGGGAGGTTTCAAGGCCTCCTACATCGAAGCTTGTAATCTTATCTTCGTGGTTCTATGGTCTCAAAACCTCTTATTTAGAAAGCCATTGTTTTATATATATATACAATACGGTTCAGGAATAAATCCCATCATTTTACAATCCCCCAGATTTAATCTGAGGGAACAATGCGACAGTGAAGTTCCACATACATCTTACGCATACATGGTAATTATTTTACATGTTGTTCCCCTCACCAGGAGATGATTGTACCCAACAATGTGATAGACCTGCCTCCTCCCTCTCCCCCTAAACCCAAAACTATCGTCCTACCTCCTAACTGGAAAGTGGCCCGGGACCCTGAAGGCAAGATCTACTACTACCACATTGTCACAAGGTTGGTATAGCATTACATTACATGGATGTCTGAGCCATGAGATAGTCCCTCAGCACTCTACAGGCCTGACATTATTTTTTTCTAGGCAAACCCAGTGGGATCCGCCCACTTGGGACGGAAGTAGTGACAACGCTAGTGTGGACCACGAATCTGAGATGGACCTGGGAACACCCACCTATGATGAGAATCCCTCCAAGGTCATTTTTTAGTTTTGATTGTTGTTCTCAGTCATAAAAAACACATTGTGATGGGTTTGTGTGGGTTCATCACGCTTCACCCATCGGCGTTCTGGATGCAGGACGTGATTATAGTGTTTGCTCCTTGAGGTAATTGAAGATGCGGCGTGGTTGATTACTTTCAGCTGTTATGCAAAGTGGAAAAAATTAGAAATGTCCTCTGCATCATACCGCGGCCAGATGAGTGTTTATAAAAAACTGGGTGATGAACAGTGTCCCACAAAATGGCCTCGTGGGTTTGTATGAGACAGAAATGTGAAGTGTCCCCGCTCACCCCACCCACTGCTTAGCTTCCTGTCCCTTAGCCTCAAGGCTCTTAGGGGTGGAGACTGTTAAGCTCATCTCCTCTTCTTCTGCCTTTCTTTCCTGACTGTGGATAGTGGAAACCATATGGAAAGTCTATAAGTCATTGATTTCCAGTCTCATTTAACAGTATTGACTAACCCTTTTTGGCCGCATGAGTCGTCTGGACTAAAAAGGTGTATTGGAGTATCAAAAAGAAAATGAGATGATCAGTTATTTAAATTAAAGTACAGCTACAAGGTTGGCAACCGTCAAAGGCATAAAGACATGATACACAGTCTCTAACTGTTAAAACGCAGCTTTACTGCTTTTATGTTTCTGGCTGTAGCTCAGTTTGTATTTGAATGATTTTTTCCAGGTTGCATGTTGTTGAGGGTATAGACAATCAGCTGTTGCCCACTTGCGTTTGTCATAGAAAGCTAGAGCCAGAGCGATAGAGGCATCCTGGCAGGATATCCTTGCTTTGTTTTAAATAGAAGGGTGACAGGTGCTGTGGGATGGCCCACTGACCTTGGCAACGACTGTCCTACAGCTAGCTGTCATGTTTGATTCAGCTGATGTGCAGCAGAAAATCAAAGACAAAAGAAAAAGACATTCCTGGATACACAAAAAATACAGTTGAATCATTTGCTCATCTCATAAACCTCTTATCCATTCACAGCAAAGTAGTATACTTTTTCTATACTATATAGTAGTATAGAAAATATAAGATAATCTGAATTTTTAAGGCAAAACATTTTGAATCAAAAGACTTGAACAATAAATAATAGTAAAAAATACCTATGGAGGAACCTTTTGGACATAAATAAGTTTGTGGCAAGTGAATGTAGAAAAAAACTCACAGCACAGAGTAGTACAGTAAGTAAGTACAGTAAGTAAGGCAGAGGGTCAGCATTTTGCAAAGTTCCACCAGTCGTAGAGCATCTAAGGAGAGTGCCGCTTGATGTTCAAATGCAAAGACATGGACTATAAATCATCAACCGTACACAAAGTTGCTCATGTGTCTGATCACAGGCCTCAGTATTGAATGCCCCAACCTTTTTTCTGCTTCTAAGCAGTTGTGCGTGAGCATAAAGACATCTTGAAATTAAAATCTGGATTTTATTAGAGCAGAGTGACAGTCGGGAAAGGCTTTCAAGGCTTCCCAGATGTTCACGGACTGTTGCTAAGAGGTGTGCTACCCAGTTGTAAACATATCTTTTATCACATCAGAAACAGTAGATGTGTTCTCTGGGTTCTTTTGTGAATCAAAACACAGAGATTTGTAATCAGTTGCATTTTTTACCTGCTGGTAGTGCTGCCATTGTACACTGAACCTCCATCTGACGGGCAGGGGTTTAATGTGGGGTATATTAAAGATTTGCAGTCATTTTGCTCACCTCTTTGATCTACTTGTTGCAGTTCTCTACAAAGACAGCCGAAGCAGACACTTCCAGTGAACTGGCTAAAAAGAGTAAAGAGACATTTCGTAAAGAGGTGAGGCTGGTTCCCTGTATACATAATCCCCAACGAGTCGGACTCCCCCCCCCATGTTCATCAGTATTGTGAACACCTGTAACTGCAGAGGAGCTTTATTTTGACTACATATTCTCTTCTGTGTGAAATCCAGATGTCTCAGTTCATAGTGCAATGTTTAAATCCTTATCGGAAGCCAGACTGCAAATCCGGACGCATCAGCAACACTGAAGATTTCAAACATCTGGCCAGGAAGGTAAGCTGGAACACAACATCAGATTTAGCCCAAGCTTTGGATTTATCATGGACCTGTATGACGCCGTAGAACAATGGAAGCAGAGTTTAACCTTTGGCTTGTTTTGAGTGATTAAGTTTCCTCGCATTCTGTCTTGAAATGCTTTCGTTTTTTGGGGGGTTGTTTTTGGAGGAGGACATTGTAATATAAACCAACACAACACGTCATTTCTGCCCTCTTGCAGCTGACTCACGGTGTTATGAATAAGGAGTTGAAAGCCTGCAACAACCCCGAGGACCTCGAGTGCAATGAGAACGTGAAGCACAAGACCAAGGAGTACATCAAAAAGTACATGCAGAGATTTGGCTCCGTGTACAGACCGAAGGAGGACACAGAGGTGTACTGACCAGCTGCCTCTGCGCTCACACAGGAGAAGCACACATTTGCCTTTCCATTCCCTCCTTTGTGTACGATTTTGCCAGCCTGAACAGTGAAGTAGTTTCTTTTGTTTTTTTGTATTTATGTCTAAAAATTGCACTGCTGCCTAAGAAGCTCTCCAGGCCTTGTGGATGGCACAGGTGTGCTGCGGAAAAAGCTAAGACTCCACATGCAGTGTTTGCGAAGGAAGACACTGAGGGGTGCTACAGAGACTAATGTTCTAACTGTTTTCATTTTTTTGCCTTTTTCATGTTATTTGGGCTCTTCAATGTTCCTGAGATGATCACCTCAATTCCACTTTTTAATCTTGTGCAGCCCCAAATAAGGATTATTGATGAAATGCGCTCCTTATGGCTTTTTCCACTGTTAACATGGATCAACAGCAGGCAGTCCGGTCCCTGTTCCTGGCTTCCTTTCTCTTGTGCACGCCTCAGCCCCCCTTTCACTGACTCAGTTTCTGGTGCTGCTTTTAACTGGGCTGTGGAGATCCAGGCTTCCACTTCTCAAACCCAGCCTTTGGAGTGTCTTTTGTTTGATGAATGCATGTTGCCATCTGGGGGCATGTGTGATGTCCTTATGGGAATTTCATACATATTTCGCACCTCCTGCTAAAAGTAACGAGCCCTCACCGGGACGAGCGTTTGCTTACAATCGGTGAGGGATCAGCAAATGACGAGCAGGCAGGAATAGGGGTCAGTAATCCATATTTTCTGGACTTTTATCAATTTAGTAACAAGAGCAGGGTTTAAATCCATCATATGATGCCGCGTATCTGTTTGTTTCCTGTATTTCTTATCAGCCCCTCTCTAACATCTCTTTTCTTACTGGAATGATAATGAAAATGAAGGTTGTAGCGTTGGGGTTTTAACAGTTGCTAGAAGATTTTGTGTGTTCTGGGTCTTTTTACCACAGTTAGTTCTCGTTAGACGTTAGAGACACTCGGGTCAGTCAGCCTTCCTCCTCAAACTGTCCCTCATTCACTTCCAAGAGTTTCACAGCTGACGGCCAAGGCTAAGGTCGCTCCTTTAGCATTAGGTAATCAGTCTCCCGACAGCCCGTCAAATTGCATTAAATTTCCACCACATGTATATTACATTGTATGTGAATATATTGAATAATAGTTTTGGGAATGTTTAAATAAGCAGACACTTTGTAAAAGGATTATTATTTCATGATTGAACGTGTACATAATGTGTAAAATTACCAAAGCTGAATGCAGGGGAGAAGGGTTGCACCACCCATCCTCACCAGCTCAGCCCTCCTGATGCAGTCCCCACATCTGTCAGACTCACAGCCCTCTTATTTTATTTCAGCGGTCGAGGAGAAATTCATGTTTCGTTTTGTTTTTTCTCTCTTGTTATTATCGGTGGTGTTTTTTATTATTTTTTTATGTACAAAGTTCCACCCTACTCTACTGTAAGTATTGTGTAAGCACATTGTCATACCGAGTGTACAAACATTTTAAAAGATAATAAACTTTTTTTGTAAAATTATAGCCATTTTCTTTGTGCCGCGCAGCTGAGTTGGGGTTATTGGGCCACATTTTCAAGGAAATATTGCTAGATTTCTGCCAGATGATTAACAGCTTAGTGAGCCCGCCTCTCATACGTTGCGCACATGGCACGAATTCCTTTACGGCTCGGTTGTACAGTCCTCAGCCAGATGGTCGGGGAGCAAAACGATCAGCCGCCTTCGTTAGAGACACTCACGTATGCTCTAAATATGGGGGAGATCTGTGATGAGTGGAGAGAAGCATTGCTGTGCTTCCCCTCACCCCGCGGTCCCAACCCCCTTTCCAGAGTGTGCACATTCCGCAGGGCCCATAACTGCGTGTTCCAGACCGCAGTTAAGCAGTCCCTTCTGGAGTGGGTGACGGCATGTAACGCTGCCCCAGGCCATGCACGATGTCTGCTCCCACTTAGAACTGAAGGCAAAGAGATCATTAACAGATCTGAGTTCAGAGCTGGAGGGAGGCAGGGAGAGGGACACCAGACTGAGCAAGAGAGGGAAAGAGAAACATTTTCCCCAAAAACGTTTTGGATTAAGTTAATGTTTTGATTTCCCCTGAAATTATTAAAACCCTCTATAATGACTTTCCTCTGGGTTTTGGACAGGAAACATTCCTCTACACCAAATCCCCTGATAAGAGGTAGCACATTCCAAGTGTGTTCAGACTTATTTACTTTAATCCACTGGTTTTATACTGACAGTCAGTATAAAAACTGTCAGTGTGAAAGAGCAGGACTCGGTTCATGAGTGGGAGATGTCCTTACCAAGTAACCTGCCACACTTACAATGATATCAATTTATTGTCCATTAGTCATTTAAACCTTGAAGTTTGCACTGGAGGTATGACGCAAAAAGAAAAAGCTCAAATTCACGACACATTCTTTGTATAAATAGCTGTTGCACAACTATTAACCAAAGGTTGACAGAGTCCAGCCTCTGTCCTGCAACACCAAAGATTGTCAGTGCTTTGCTTTGATTTTATTTACTTTCATGCTTGAAACGGTGATATTATAAATACAAAAGCAAGACAGCAGACAGTGGAGCTGGACGGGAGCATTAATGTTGACAGCGTATTTGAATCCTAATCTAATGTTTTTACAGTCAAATAATGCTTATTCGTAAGAGCTTAGAAATGACTTACTGAACACTAGATAATAAAAAAGGAACACACACACAACAAGGTTATACATTTTTTAAAAAGCAATCTACGAAGCAGTTCCTAAATACAAAATAGATCAAATTTTTCCAATAAAAAAAGGAAATATGAACATAACTGTCCCAGGCGAGAAGGTTCAACCTTCAACGTTTACCACAGTTGGAGACTCTAAACATGCTTTCTTCTTTAGCTTAGCTAAAGTGAGCACACAAGCAAATATCCCAAAAAGCCGCATCATGATGGGTGCAGCGATACTCAAGGAAAGTATGTATTCTTGGCAAAAATCGGTTCAAAATCCAAAATGGTTGTTTGAGATGTAATTCATAAAGAAATCCAACCAAACTAGAAGCCTGATGACAACTGCAGGAGGGGGTAGATCTGATTTCTGTCCAAACATGTAAACAGCTATTTGTGATTAATACTCATGCAACATCTGCAACACATGACGTTTCATCCACCAGTTAACGGAATATTTACAGTATTTCTGTTCGAATAAACATTACAAATGTGGTTGCTGCGGCATATGTGAGGGTCATTCTTCCTTGTTCCAGATGACTTGGTTGTCCTCTGTATATTCAGTCTATTAATTTCCTGCTGTGACAGATGATTTGATCTGTGGCAAAACACAGCAGGCGGTTCTTTCATACAGTCAGATCCACTTTAAAACAAACTGAGTCATGTTTAAGAAAAAAAGGAAGAAGGGGGGAAAAAAACCATCAGTGGCAGTTTCCAGCAGTTTTTGGAATAGCTGTAATCAGAGTGCCTCTCTTTTCATGTCAAAGTTCTTCACTTGAGTTTGTGAGTGTCATGTACAGGGCTGACAAATGCTCAGACCACAGAAACACCCGGGGAGGGGCTGTTCAGAGCTGTGACCACATCGGGCCGGTCAATGCGGGCCAGTGCCGAGCACAGCAGTCCCAAGGTGGAGCCCTCTCTCTGGGCCCAGTTGGAGAGCAGCGTGTGGGCCGGGGCTTCTCCTCGCCCGAACAGGTCCAGCTGCTCGGGCTCGTAGCCCAGAGTGGCCCCCAGGTGCCTCCAGCCCCGGCCGTTTCCCTCCTGCAGAAGCCGCTCCACCTCTTCCTGCCTCTGCTGGGGCAGGTTGGTGTACAGACGATTGTCCGGCTTGCTGTCTCTCCTCGTTCCTGTGAACACAGGAAACCTGATGTCACCGTTTGGCCAGACAGAAAAATAAGGCAAACTAATACAGCGTGTTCAGGGACTGAATGACAGGATCGTAAAACCGGCCACAAACTGTTCAGGGTGACGGGTTTGAGAACTTCCACGGTATCTTCATAAGCCTGCTTTGCCCGAGCTCTGTATTTTGGATCATCGACCTCCCTCAAAAGGAACATTTTATGGGGGAAAACAATTTCTCTCTTTTGTCTTTTTTTATGAATCAGATGCTGTTGCTGAGAGAGTGCCAGCACAGTAAGTGACATCATTCAACCCCCTCAATTTATCATGGGGCAGCTTACAATATCTAAATACTGAGCTGTCGAGATCCCAAACGTCAGTTGGAATGTTTTTTTTAATGGTAATGACGTGCATCAAGAGTTATGAAGTATAATTATGTCTGATTTGTTACGTTTGAATAGAGCAGCACAGTCGAGCTCAGAAGTTTGGAAAAGCGGGCGGAAGAGCTACCTCTGGGGTATTGTTACCAAAGCGTTTCTCAGACGTGATATTCAGACCACAGGATATTGTGTCAGCCCGGGACAAAGCTGTTTTGTCTTCTTTAAAAGCAGTAAAACTTAACACTGCGTGGAGGAAAAATGCACATGGTGGGGTTTATTTAACATCAATGTTCCCTTTTAATTGCCTTTTGTGTTTCTGTATTTATGCAGTCATAACACTCTTTGTGGGGTCAGGTAAAATCCTTTTCCTGAAAAACACATTATGACTCAAAGCAAATTGTAAGAGAGAAGGTCTATTAAAACAAATCTTGGAAGCCAGTTAGATTTATGGCCAGAGGCATGCAGGGGGCTGGAGCCTACCCCGGCTGACATTGGTCTAGAGGTGGAGTACAAACCTGGACAGTTTGCCACGGTTCATCACAGGGCCACACACGCACACATTCTGTGAAAGTTTTATAAAAATGTCATTCAATAAGTGGTTTCAAAGGGCAGAGTCGCCCTCACCTTTGCTGGGCTGGTTGTCCTGGAGACTGTAGGAGTCCAGAAAGACGCCGCTGTCACTCTGGAGCTTTTCTCCCTCTGGAGACGCGCCCAGCTCGGCTGCTCGGGCCTTAGACAGCGCCTTCTTCTGTTTGCACGATCTCCAGCTGAGAAGAGCAGTGGGGTGCCATTAGAGGGTTATCCTCCCACCTTATCACACGTTCATGATTCCAGAACTCTGAACTCACCATTTATAGGCGACATAAATGATCAAGCCCAGCACCACAGCCGCCAGGACGGACACATAGATGAGAATGTTATTGCTGCCCTCGTCCTCTGGGCTGAACGCAGACGTTTCTGGAGAAGGACTGGCCTCCTCCTCCTCCTCCTTTACGCCATCAGGGGCCACCCAGCGGGGAGTTTCATCCGTCTCAACAACGGGAGACCGAATGTGGAGCTTCCTATCTATAGGGAGTAAAAAAAAAAGAAAAAAAAGGAGGACCATTACTGCATCTGCACATGTGCACATGGGAACACTTGGGCACCATAAATTAAGCCTAATGTAATGATAGCCACAGCCCTCGCGGCCCCCCTGGGGTTTTCAAACCTCTCATTGCCCCCGTTTCCAGCTTCTTCCAACCTCTTGCGGCTGGCCTATTTTGGGATCAAACGCCACAAAGTACTGAGCTGACCTGCACGGGGTCAAAAGGCATGACATGTGGGCTCACAGTGTGTACAGATGACCTCACTCCTGGGGAGCAAGTGTAGCCACTGCGGGGCAAGCACATTAGTGGTCAGAGTGGGCAGCATAGCCTGGCCTTCAGGGGCACTTAAGCTAAATACCTGTCAGCCTCGTATCAATTTGATTTCAGTGCTAAAAAGTTGTGTGTTTTTTTCAGGCCTTGTGTTTTTCATCTCAGCGTATTTTGAGGTGAGGTGTGGCTCCAGGTGTTGACCACATGCCCGGACCCTTTTGCTGCTGATCTTCCCCTTCATTCAGCTCACTCTTTTATCTTTTTATCTGCTTTAGCTTTCCTCGCCTGTATCAGATGTTGGAAGAATAAAGCTGCCACTCTTCCTGACTTCCCCACTGTGCCAAAGACCAGCGGCTTCTCTTTACAGAACTTTAAGCTTTCTTTCGCCTTTCTCTGGCATTTGGTGCGAGTTCCACAAAGACAACAGATGTTTTTAAAAGGCATAAAAGGCATAAATGAACAGAAACAGAAGCCTCAGAGTTGGTGGGAACTAGTTTCAACTGCAGGACTTAGGTCCACCCACTCTGTTTTTTGTGGCTTTTTTTGTTGAGAATAAAGGAGAATGTAAAGAGAAATGATCCTGCTTACAACTCACCCATGCAGAGTGTGTCAGACTGAGGCATACAGGACCGTATCTCCACCTCGCTGTCGGAGCACTTAGTGCAGGTCTGGCAGGGCTTGGTGGTAATCTCCTCTTCAGAGAAGGTTCCCGGGCCACAGGTCCGGCACAGCCTGTCTCCCTCGTATCCACAATCCCGGACGACCCCCTCCCCGTAACTGCACTTGGAGCAGGGCGCGCACAGGCCGTATTTGCCAAGAAAGAAGAAGCCTTCGTCGCATTCGCACTGCGTGTCGCGAGTGGCCGAGCAAAAAGCCACCTCAGGGACGCTGGGCGGGCACTTGCTGCATGGCAGGCAAAGGCCAAGGTCTTCAGACGGGGAAAATGTTCCTGGGAAAAACAGGTCACAACAGGTTACGATGACTGCCTTAAAAAAAAACGGAGAGACGGGTATACAGACAGTAACATTAGATTTTAAGTGCTCACCCTTTAGGCACGGTGCACATTTGGTATCCTCCTTCCCACACTCTTCTGCCACTCCGTAGCCGGCAGGGCACAGGCTGCAACACTGCCCCGATTCAGTGAACCGACCACTGGCACAGGCATTTCCAAGAGTAACCTGAAGTAAACACGTGACATGGTCAGACAAATAGCACCTCTGTGAAATGTTTCAGGCCATTTTTATTCAATTGTTTCAGCTCTGACACTACAGTTTTTCTTCAGTTTTCTGTCGTACAGTTTGTGGGAAGGATGTCACATAAACATCCCACCCTTTGCAACCAGAGAAGGAGGCAATGAGGTGAAAGCTCGTTGTAATCTCTCCATCTTCCCCAGTTTTCACTCTTAAGTGCTCTTAGTCCTTATCTGCAAGTGGGTACCAGAGAGCCCCGCTTGACTTATGACATGAGCCATAGATCAGATGTTCCTAGCAGCTTTTGCAACAGGGTTGGTGTCTGGCATGGGTGTCAGATGTTTATCAGCTGGCTTTAGATCAGAAGGAAGGAAAAAAAGCTAAGGAGAGAAAATTATACAAAAAGGAGGGAAGAAGACGTCGAGAAGAGTTTCACATTTTCAACCTGATTAGAAACAACAACAAAAAACACCACGGTGAATAAAAGTTTTTTTGTACAAATAAAGTGTCTGTGGAGGGAAGGGGTGGAGTATAGAGCTCCAGTGGTGTCAGTTAACCAGGGGTGCCCAACCTGAGGGTGTCCGTTTGGGCGTGAGCATGACTTTGAAGTCCCCAGGCCCTGCAGGTGTGTCTATTAAGGTCAGTATTTCACTAACACCCCTTCTACAGGCTCAGAGCAACGGCATCTTAAAAATGCACACACTTTTAAAGGATATTCGCCCTCTCCGCCCGGGGCCTGACGAGAGCAAACAGATGTCTAACAACTAACCTCCAGCTGAGGACAAAAGTAACAGCTAAACAGCCCAATGATGTCTCTCTTTGTCTCTGAAGTTTGCCAAGAAACACTGGGAACATGTGTGAACCTGTAGCGCCTCCAACAAAAGCCCACCAGTGACACACACACACACGCACACACACACACACACACACACACACACTGAGCCATGCCCCCAGTCACAAAACACTAAAATGCTCCACGCTGATACCAGAGGAGGAATGGCTTTGAAACGGGGCTCGGCTCATTCCAAAAACAACATCCAGTGCGACTGCGCTGCTTCACAGAGGAGCCTGATGATATCTGGACGCCACAGAGCCCAGATCAGAGGAATTATGGCATCGGGGCCGTTGGCTCCAGCAGGAACAAACCAGTATGGCGTTAAGACTGTGACCAAATCTGAACTCTAAGAACCTGAAGCATAGCGGTAACCTATATTTGACTCCTCTTCATGCAACAGCTGGGGTTCTTCTCCTCAGCCCTTGAGCTAGACTTTGATAAATATTTAGTAACAGAGACTGTTTTGTTTTCACCTAAAGTTAAGACTTCTATTATTTTATAGAGCCTGCTGTGCGTCTGAGCTGGTGGAGCTCTATAAACTCAGCCGGCCTGACCCAGAGCAGGAGTCGCCTGAAGCCTGGCATTTCACCCACTGGGGCCCAATGAGCAAAGAATGATTTAAACCATGCTCCACCGGAGATGGTCAGGAACAGTGATCTACTCAGGAGAGGAATGACTAAATCTACTGTATATGTGGTATGAAGTAGCACTATATAAGGATACCATTTGGTTTTTGTTGGTGAGGGGAAAATATTACAGGAAAACTTGGCACATTCTGTCAAAAGTGCCAGACGGTGACATCTGACACTCGTCTCAGCACACGGTGGTAAAGTAGCTTAATTGGACACTCACCAGCACAAAAAAAAGGTTGTGTTTCACCAATATTTGTATATGTACACTAATTACACTTCTTGGTAACATGCACTCTAAATGTTTGCTATCAAATTTTAACTGTTTTATTCTTTACTGTAGCATGCATGATGGAGCAAGGGCCCCTTTTTCAGAGTTTTCAATTTCAGCTCTTCACTCTTCAAAATCAAATTGTCCCTTGCATTTATGAATCAAAGTTTTTGACAGACTAGTCAGTCAATGGTAATAATAAACGAATAAGTAATGCTGACCGGTTGAGTTGCTTCTTTTTCTTTCCATTTTTCCTGTCTAAAAAAAAGGCAAAAGTGTTAGCATTATCAGTATGTAAACACATTTTGGGGAATTTCTGGGATTTCCGACTAATTTTGTTTATCATGTTTATTAGTTGTTGTTTATTTCAGATTTCCTGACCCCGTGTTTGGGTGTGCCTTAAAGGAATGGTAATTATCTATGTTAGCTGAACTGCTGCCTGTTTTAAAGTCAGGGCACTGTTGTAGATTTATTTTTAGATTAATAAAAAAAAAAGATCATAGAGACTCAGTGAGTGGTGAGCAACAGAATGTCATCATTCAACTTTTACCCTTTTTGAGTTGGTCAGTCAGCATTTGACCTTTTCAGTGTGTTTGCTTGCGTTGCTAAAATGCATTATGTTCATTATGTTCAATTTTCAAGCAGACTTTAATTTGCCGGTCATGACCCACAGAGAATTCATTCTTATCTGCTGGATCTGGGGCCTAAAGCCTAAAGGCCGGAGAGCCGCAGTTGCTTTTTCCATTTAGGTAAGAAGCAGCAATCTGAAGGGATTCCCCAGTGAGAACAGACGGACCACCGTGGAGCACGGCTTTCAATGGGCCTCTCAACTCCACGGCTGCCGCAGTCACTCAGTCATCGTGGATCACAAAGACACACACACACACACACGCACACACTAACACACACAGGAACACACTTCCCGTAAAGCCTTCTCAAAGCTTTAAACGTTTTCTGTGCCCATCTGAAGGGAGAGCATGCTTGAAGGCTAGAGTTTCCATAGTTAATCTAATCTGCGTGAAAATAAACACACAAAAGGATGTTCTCCCCCTGTGAAGACGCTTCCCCGTGAGCCTTCACGACCTGGCTGGGCTCTTTCTGAGCAGAGACAGCGTGGGCTGAGGAGGATTTTCAAGCTGCACATCCCTCCTTCACTGATTACTGTTAGCGGTTTACAAGCAGCACAAGGGACAAATTAAAGGGCATCAGTTTGTGCTCTTTTCCCAGTGGAAAGTTCACCCAAAACCATAGTCCCACTCATACTAGACAGCACAAAGAGATACAGCAACCATCTCTCCACTGATTTACAACTCTCACCAAAGTGTCATGAAATGATTAGCATTTGCAAATCATCTTGAAAGCTGCTAACTCTATGGAAACGAAAATGGTTGTGGTGAGGAACTTAACTATACCCCCGCACGAGCACATAAACACCACAAGCTGGGGGAGAATGATGATAATTGCTTCACTCCGGATATCCCAGCAGTACTGACTGCTAGGCCACATTTTCACCAGGCACTGTGTACAGTTAACGACAGAGGATGTGAGCCGTGGAAACAGAGGTAACAATGGAGGATCTAATCCAATAACCCTCTGCAGTAAATCACCCAGTGAGTAATAAGAAACTCATTTGGCAGAACAAATGCTCACTTTTCCAATTGAGCAACAACCTCTTGGATTTCAAATAGAACATTTGTTGACAATAAACCCTTTAAAAGCAATAAAGAGATATAAATCTTTTATGAAAGACCAAGTGTCATCTGAAAACCCGGATCTAACAAAAGTGCTTTAACTGTAGAGCGAGTCTAGACAGGAGTAAAAGCCCCACAGCCCTTTTGAGGTAAATCAGTGTCAAGCAAAGGCATGTGGCTGTGGAGGCAGGGGCTTTCTCTACACCCTGATCCTGGCTTTATCGTATACAATCAAACAGCACCACAACCTATCATTTCTTCATAATATACGCCATCTACAGCTGTGTGGAGGATAATCTTGGTAAAATATCTGCTCTGTACGTGCTGATGGGCTGCAAATGTGCTGTGCTTTGTGTAATATGTCTTAAAAAAAACTTCTTTGAGTGTTGGCTGTTCATGAAAGAGAGGATTTCCACATATTTCAAGGATAAACTGAAATCAGAGAAGTGTTCAGCATTGGTCGGTTCAAACTTTTGGAAAACTACACAGATATGTCACATAGACAGTTGGATTTGATCTTTAATTGGTGTCTCCTCTCATTCTTTCCACGGCAACAGAATAACAAGCACATTCAACATGGTCTGAGTGACAGAGCCCTGTGGTGTGTACCAGATTTCCTCTGGGAACAATGGTGAGACTCAACTTGAATGGTGACGTTTACACCGGCAGAGCTGTTTAAGAATGATATATTACCTTTAAAAAAAAAGATGGAAGAAAGTGTGCGAGAGAGCAGCATGCGTGATCTGAAGTGCACAGAAACGAAACGGGGCTTACTTTTGCCAGCAGAAGCGCGCATATGACCACTGCTCTCATGTCTGCGGGCTGCTCGCTCCTCACGGGATCCGTGCGCACGCCTGCGAATCTGTTTCTGATCCCAAAGCCTTCAGCCGCGGAGACAAACTCCCGTCCGGACGTCCAGAGCGCAATATCTGATCAGAGACGGCAGCGTGTCGTTAAAAACTTCTGGTCCCGCATTCTGATCGTAGTCCTGAAAAGTTAGAGGGGCTTTACGAGCTCCCGGCTACAGCGCAAAAGACGCATCAGTTCGTACCTTGGTAAAAAAAAAAAAAAAAAAAGGAGGAAAGAAAGAAAGAAACTGGGTCCTTCTGCTTGCAAGATGCACGGAGTTCGGTTTCTCCTGCAGCCCTGCAACAAATGAGGTACAGAAATGCAAACTCTCCAGGCCCCTTTTTCCTCCCTTATTCTCAGCTTTCAGGGAAGCTCCGTGATTGGCTGCATCCCCGGGACTCAGAGTTGGAAGGCAAAGGACTCAAATCCCGTCCGTCACTGAACAATGGGACATCTGTATCTGTTGACTGTTGTTTTAAACTGAAACAGATGTTCAAATGATACATTTACAGTAGTTACTGTTTGTAAAAGTGCTCAGAGCCGAAAGAAGAAAAAGAGCATAACCCCGGCAAAATGGAAATGGAGGACGTTTAATCCAATGTTTTTAGTTGAGTTTGGAGATGATGGAAACGTTGTTTTTTATGAGTCTTTTAGGAGGTTTAAAATCGAATTACAGAATTACATTATATTTTGCACCTCTACAGGTAAATCTGTAAATTTGCCTACAAATCAAAGAACAATAAACATAAAAACAACAATAACAAAGTTTAATAAAATCAAATAAAAGGAAAAGTGTAGTCTGCAATTACTTTCTGGCACCTAACTAATAAGGAATTGAAGTGCTAGGGAAGTTCAAAGCTAAAAAAAGAGAGTGTAATATGATCACCTGTGTGTTAAACAGATTTCTGGTAATCTGAAGAGGAAATTGTGACATATTTTCAAGACCTCTCAAATTCAGCTTTCCTCTTAAAGTTACCACTGTCTCAAGAAGTGCCGCTTTACCACAAAACACGTTACACTTGAAATCTGCTCCAGTGTGACTGGTTACATTCAGAGGTCAAACTGCACATCGCTCTTGTCTGACCTGCATTTCACTTTTAAGAGGAACTGGAGTCCTTTGATGATGGTTTTCTCTTTTTTAGTTTACAAGCAGTTATGGAAAATAAGGATTTACACTCTGAGCTGTGTCACAGTGAACTCCTTATCACAGTGAATAGCGTTTCTCTGAATCCTGGTAAAATCCTTATCAAATGGGGGTGGCAGCATTACGGTGTTTTACAGCCCTCCAGGCCCTCTTTCACACAGCTGTGATCAGCTGTTATCTGAAACAAAAGAGAGCATGGGAATCAAACAAGGTGCCCCAAAGCAGAGGAGCACGTTTGATCTCAGGGATTCAAAAGATTAGAAAACCAACGCAGGGTAAATTGCACACCTTATAAATTCTTGTGACTGCATCGCAGGGGGGCCAGGAGACTTCAGAGGAAAACAAATGGGGCGATCTCTCAGACACAATACCACTTGCACTTCAAAGCCTGTTGAGGGAGGAGAGAGAAAGGATGTTCCTACCCTGAAAAACTTTGAGACAGAGCAGTCCCCTATTGTGTCCTAAAACTGCAGAGAATACACTTTCCACATACAGTAATACAATACAATACTTATGTGTACTACTTACACATAAGTAGTACTTGAACTTTATTCATAACAGAACTCCACCCTACAATGGGGTGGGCATTACAGTGTCTCATTGTGTACTCAACACATAACTAAATTCAAAGAGCCATCATTTGTGCTGATCAGTGATGGAATTGTTAAGAGACACACATTTAATGGAACATGCAATCAGCCATGCCCTTGCCCACGTCCATTTTTGGTTACTGCATAATTCATTATTTTCATAATTGTTTTGTCTGAATTAATTTTTCCACCAACTTTTTGAACATGGCATCATTTGGAAAATATGTGCTGTTATCCTGGGTGCATTTAAGGATTCCTTAATTGCTGAAAAATAAGTCATGTGATAAACAGAAACATGATTACAAAAAAAGCTTATTACAAAAAGCTTATTAAAAAAAGCTTGTGTTATAGGGTTTGGGTTGTGCTGTGGAATAAAGAAAGTTATCATGGCATGATGAATTTGGTTTTTTACCATGTGCAGAATGTTCATTCATGTTTATACATGTGACACTCACTCACTGGAGCCATTTACCCATTTTTCCACAACATATAGATAAATGTGAGCTGTTTAAGAACAGAAATGCTCAAAATCCCATAACTGATTCATTACGCATCCCAAAGCTTTTAAAATTATTTTTTCTACTTTGATTCAGTTCCCTAAAAGATCAATCGAATATGCCAATTTATTTCATGTCCTGCCTGTGATTCAGTAGAGGGAGATATTTTTTCATAGTTTCCACTCGAATATACAAAAACGCATTTACTTATGACCTCTTGAAGCCTGTGAGCCATGTCCAGTTCAGTGCTGATGGCCACACAGGTAACCTCCTGGTCATGTCCACTGAGAATCTGCACCGGTCGGGGAGACAGACCGCTGGAAAATCCACCCTGAAAGAGCAGAAGTGATACATATCAGGGGCTGGACTTCAACAACAGCAGCTCCTTCCAGATGTGCGCACAGAGAGACGCTCACCTGCTGTAAAACCTGCCACACTATACACGATGTGTCCTTTGAGCCAGAGATGAGGTAGATGCCACAGAGGTCCAGAGCCAAGCAAGTCACAATGTCTTTGGCAAAGAGGAAAATGCAAATGAGTATGTCACACTGACCAAAGCAGAAATCCTTGGATACATGACATCCAAGTTAAGTAAAATACAAAGACATACTCAACCAATCGACTAATTTAAAAAAACAATAATGAAAAAACAATGACTGACAGATTTTTCCAAAGCCTGAAACAAAAAATCTTTTTGATTTAGTGTTTTATACCATGAGGCCAATGTTTTCCTTTTGTGAATTACCGTGAGGTGTCTGTTATAGCAAATTAATTGGATTCACAAAAAGTACACCGACTTCAAGAATGTTTGAAAGTTAATTTCAGTAAAAAAAACAACAACATAATCTTATCTCATGTCATTTATTGTAGAATTTGAAGCCTAAATTGAGGTCTTAAATAACTGTGAGAAAAGAAGGGGGAGAGAACATTAGTCAATGTATGGGAGCAAAGGCTAAACAAATGATCAAATAAACAGAAGTTCATCAGAGATCAGATGAATAAACAATCCTTCTCATTTCTTTATTTTTCTTTGTCCATATTATGTTGGCTGCATCTCCAAAGACTCTTAATCAGAGAGCGCAGTTTTCCTCTGTGGCCACATGTGGCCCAAGAGGGATAATATGGCCGCTGGAAAGAAATAAATAAAAACACAATCTGGCCATGAAACCAGGAGAAGAGGAGGGCTTAGGGATGTCCGAGGTCATTTGTTTGAAGTCTGTTTGAGGGTTGTCGATATTCTTGGAACATCTGGAAGAGTCCCAAAATTGTAGCATCTCACAAAATCTATCCCTTAATGTGTGCCTTCAGATCTGGGGGGGGGGCAGAGAAAAGATGCTGCCCATAGCTGAGAGCAAGGTGTTAAATCCTCCTTCCACTGTCGTAGCACATATCACAGTCACTCCCACCCCTCCTCCTCTTCCTCATTCAGAAATTGACTGGAGGTCGACAGAACAGTTTTACTACCAAACTAACCCACCCCCCCCCCACGCCCCGCTCCTGCTGAATTTATACCCCCACAGAGGTGTTTATGGGGAGGCTGACAGGATGTTCAGCCCATCAGGAGATCAAAGTCTCCCCTTCAAGTACATGCGCTGCTTCTTGCTGTGACCTTTTCAACTCCGCCGGGGTTAACATCACAGACGCATGAGAGGCTGGGATTACAGTGCAGGAGCTGCAGGATCCACACCCGGCCAGCAGATCACTTTACATCCTGCAGGGGTTCAAATGCACCGAAACGAGCTCTGTTGTCAGTAATGGGCGATCATCCCCAAGAGATGAGCAGGAGTGTTCACCGAAGAGAGGATTACTGTAACAGCCCCGTCACATTTAGGAGCAGTGTTTGGGCATTCTCAAAAAAGACCAAAGAAACGTCAGGCACTGGCAGATGTAAGGTAGAAAGAAGGCGTCGGTAAATCAGCAGGTCAGGCTGCAGGATTTTCTACAAGTCAGCTGTATTGTCAACATATTCCCAGATGTGCACAAATGCAGAATAATATCTGTGGAGGAGAAATGGAACAATTCCAATTTCAAGGCAGTGCTGGCCTACACATAAAGCATTCAGTAGGGACTTTGAAACAAATATAAAATACATTGCGCAAAGCATGACTTAAATCTGCTTTTTGATGGTGTACAGTGACTATAATGACCGCAAAGACACACAAAAGGATAAAAACATCAAAGTGTTCACAACAGTCACAACACAAAGTGAGTTTATGACAGAAACTCTTTTAAACAACTGTCCCAGCCGCTCGAGCATTTGCCTTTGTTGTACTGTCGTCCAAAATGTGGACAGAGACAGCCTAAGTCATCATTGAACATACAGATTCTCTTGTGTGGGTTTGCATTAATTATTATCGCTAAAAAATACCAGGTTATTTGTGTGTGTGCAACATGCTTTGAGTGTTGTATTCCCCCCACACAGTTCCCTTTGTCTCCCTCATCATGACACTGCACAGTTACAACCACAGTTAAAAGGAAAAAAAAAAAAGCCAGGCAGGAAGTGAATTCCTATACAGCTCACTCACAGACCTTTTACTTTATGTTTCAAAGTCATCGCGTCTTCAGATGTTTTCACAGTGAGATACCAGTACAGGCAAGCACCTCCATCTAGCCAGTAGTTTACTAAAGGTTTCATGAACTGCGTTACCCACATCAGTGAGTCACAGTGGAGGAGTAAGGCCTGCTCAAATCACACAGATAAAACCTGACACACAGTGGTCCTACAGAGACAATAATGACTGCAATTCAGTGTTTATACAAGGCACTTTTCTAATCAAATAAAACAAGGATGTACATATAGTCGTGTGATGAGCCGCGAAACAAAACAACCTAAGAAGCATTCATAAAGGCCTACTGTGTTCAAGGCAAAAGAAGGGTCCCCTGTTGAGATTCGTTACATCGAAGCACAAATTAGTCTTTAAAACGTGAATATATTTCACATACTTTACTGTTAAAGCAGGTTTTGCCTTAACTGTAACAGAAGAATGCACTCTTTTAAACTATGGTTTGCACGGTTGTGCAGTTTTACAGCAAGAATAAGCATCTGTCAACCACTGAAACCCACAACACAGCATACATTGAAAAGTTAGTTTCCCTTAGCCCCCGTTTTGCTGTACAGAGTCAACCCTCCTGTGGTATTCAGCAGTATTGCAATCTCCAAATCTTAAGCGGTGTTTACTGTAGTTTTTCAAGTTTCCAGGAGTTGTCTTTTTTTTAAGATGCCATTACCAATCAATGGCTTTGGGACATTCGCAGTTGCGCTTCCGACAACAAAGAAGTAAAAAATGTGGCGCCCTGGGGGAGTTCACAGCGTTACTGTTGGAGGCCGTGTGTGCATCAGAGTGAATCATTCCCCTGAAATCTGACTCAGCGCACATAGTTCCCAAGCTCTCACCAACATGTGAAACAAGGCCACTCTTTGGAATGATGCTGATCATAGAAACAGCTCAACTGTAAATGAAATATGCAGTAAAATATAAAATTACTTCAGATTTAAAAGTGCTCAGTGTTTATTCGCTCTCTCAGAGAGACCAGTAGCTTAGGAGGTCGATTTCCCAGCTTGAATGTAAAAGAAGGCCATTTCGAGTCTTTTGTAGGAAGGAATATTTGCGTCCAGCAAAGTCCCCGGAGCTCCTCCACAATTGCTCGTCTCATTTGCCAGCGTTTTCAGTGGGATTGTACTCAGTTTCACCTGATGACACCTGAGAGATGCGGCGTGTGGAGCCCCACAGGCGACGGGTGATGTGTCCTGAGCGTACCTGAGAAGAAAAGGGGGCAAATGTTTGTCTTCACTTGGGGGCTGAAAGAGAGCTTCCACACAAAGGACATTATCATCTAAAAACTTGGTCCCCACTAAATACTTTACATACGATTAGCCCCCCGCTCTATTCACACATGCACCATCCCCCAGTCAAGCTTCTCACCTCTTCTGGTTTCCCCGCCCCCACCACGATTAACTTCCCGTCCTCGAGTCCCACGAGTATGTGGCTGCACTCTTTGGTGACGGACACACTCCTCACAGGCACCCTCAAGGCCAAGGGTGTAACCAAAGCATCCAGGCTGACAAACGGAAAAGCATCACAGGGAATGTCGGACCTTTTGGCTCCCTTTATTAATCACAAAGACAAAAAAAATGTACCGTACCTGCACAAATCTCGTACGTGGAGGCTGCCTTGCATGGTTCCCACGATGACGTATTCAGACACCAGGTGGAGCGCGGTCACCTGCTCCTCCATGGTGAAAGAGGACAGCAGGCAGCCGTTCACTGAGTAAACATGAATGGAGTACTTGCCCTGTAGGAATAAGCAGAATATGAACGTTGGCATAACAAAGAGACGCTGCCTGTACTTGCATGTGCTCTGCAGTGAATCTATTCATGTACCTTCCTGTTGGAGCGTTCCTCCAAAGATGTCTGCACCACAATGTGGCCTTCCATGCCCACCTGGAGCTCAGAGATTTGGGCGGGTATGCAGCTGTCACCGGGGGGGCGGAGCGTCCGCAGGAACTGGCCTCGTCGGACGGTGTGCACTATCACAGTTCCATCCTGACGGGCAGCACACAGCGCGTGGTAAGACAACAGAAACACAGGCACAGACAATATTTTCATAGTTGTAAAGATTCACTCGAACATACAAAAACACTTCTTGAAGCCTGTAACTTTTCTGACCTTTGACCCTGAGACCGCCATGTCCAGTTCAGTGCTGATGGCCACGCAGGTAACCTCCTGGTCATGTCCACTGAGAATCTGCACCGGTCGGGGAGACAGACCACTGGAAAATCCACCCTGAAAGAGCAGAAGTGATACATATCAGGGGCTGGACTTCAACAACAGCAGCTCCTTCCAGATGTGCGCACAGAGAGACGCTCACCTGCTGTAAAACCTGCCACACTATACACGATGTGTCCTTTGAGCCAGAGATGAGGTAGATGCCACAGAGGTCCAGAGCCAAGCAAGTCACAATGTCTTTGGCAAAGAGGAAAATGCAAATGAGTATGTCACACTGACCAAAGCAGAAATCCTCGGACACATGACAGAAAGCTCACCGATGTGCCGGCAGATCCTGCCCACCAGTTTGCCCTTCCCCGTCTGAGTGACACGGAGACTGCAGTCCCAGTGCCCCCCGCTGAACAGCAGACGCCCGTCATTGGACACCACCAGCACCTGGGCACTGATGTCCACTCCGGGAGAGAAAGGCCCGCTCAGCAGACGCTGAGTCCTGCAGCACAAATCAGAATGGAGGAAATCTTCTCACTAAACCAGTTTTTGGAGTCTGAGTTTTTAAAAAGTATTATGCCATTAAATGTTACTGTTTTTCAAAGGCTCTCACTTGGGATTACTCATTGTGGGGTCTTTAGTGAAGGTGAAGTAGTTGGCGATGTTTTTGTCATACGGAAGCCAGCTGTGTGTCCCCATCAAACCGTTTGAACTCACAGTCACCTGCAAAGGGAGAATTAATGATCATGTAAAAATGATAAAGCTCAACTGTCTGAAAAGATTCCTATCGGGAGCGTGCCAAATTACCAGGATATCCGAGCCCTGGATGATGAAGGAGCGATTCTGGCTCTTTGGCACCACGGCTTGGACCAGAGGAATGCCATCACTCACCACCTGAGGTAAACAAACACACATGTAAATCCACGAACACACACAAATCACATAGGACGATTTATATAGTCACAGGGATGGGCTCATGATAAATAGGATGTAATAATAACATTGCAGACCCCACCTCTACGAATGGCCGAAGCTTCTTGAGGTGCTCAAAGATATTTGGGGGCACAGTGTCCAAGCGGGAGAGCCGCCTACTTGCGTTTTCAGCCGTCATACGAGTGGGATGAGGTTCCTGGTTGGAGGTAAATATTCATTATCATATAATATATATCTACATATATATATCTACATATGGATGAAATGTGCAAAGTAGCAGTGAGAGACAGTCTCTCTGCACCTTAAGGAGCTGGCAGGGTGTCTGACCAAAGTTGCTAATGATGCCTTCCAAGGCCTTTCTCTCATTCTCATTGGCAATAGCATCCAGATCTACTGCGCCTGTGAATAGGCCAAACAGCAATGGAGACTGAAGATATATATGTATGAAACACATGCAGTTTCATTACATGACAAGTAAACATCAAAAAGTCATTTTTTTAAATGAATTCTGCAGCCTTACCCTCATACGTGCAGTAATAGAAGACATTGAGGGCGTTTACAGCCTCTTCCCCTCTCTGCTTGTAACCAAATATGAGATCAATCCACTCGTGGAGGTGACTGGACACATGCTCCGATTCCTAGAATTTCAAACACAAGTTTTTTTCATTTGGACCGTCATGCATTGCGAAATGCATGGCTAGGTTTTATGACTCTGGGTAATTGCGTGGGCTCACCAGGGCTTTCATGTGTTTTCTGATGAAGTCCTCCCTTGATGTAGCCCAGCGAGGAAAAACAACATCTGTGACTGGGTCCTGAGATATCTGTAACTGGCCGAGGTCGAAACCTGCAAAGTTCATGCAGAAGCATTGCATGGGTTTAAAAAAATAATAATTATATGTAACCTCTATACATCAAACACCATTTAAAAAAAAGTCATTTAGATCTCCTGAAGGCTGCAGTGCTCCGTACCGTTCATGTTTTGCAGGAATTCTGGGAAGTAGAAGAACTCCGGGATGAGCTCTTTGACGTCGGCTGGACTCTCCATGCGAGCCTGCCAGGCAGCTGCCACCGAGTGGAACTGTCTGTCCGCAACATCAAACCTAAACCGAGGCAATAAGCAGCTGCGTGAGGTCAGAGGCTACTGGAAAACTCAGCCATCGTCACACCCCAGCCAGTCCCCCCCCCCACACACACCTGCCACTCTGCAGCTGGATGTGCAGCGTGGTAAACGGCTCCATGCGGATCATGTAGTGCATGACTCCTGCTGCATTAGAGTAGTGTGTGCCATAGTGGAATTTGTCAATGGTTCCTGTTGGGTCTTCAAAGCTTTCATATCTTGTGATAGAAGGAAACATAAAGGTATTGTCATTAAAAGCCTAAAGGCTTACCAAAAATAAAACAGCCGTCAGGATGCTTTTGATTTGTGTTTTATAGGCTTTGTCAGCTTTATTTCACTGTCAGGTGGTTTCCAAGGCCAGTTCAAAGTGTTTTAAAGCCACTCACTTTTCTCGGACATTCTGAGCGTGCCTTGAGTTGACCACACCGATTGGTTTGGACAAGTCCCTGAAGACGGAGGGGTCATTCAGATCCAGAGTAGGAGAGGTGTAGTCACACAGCACCCAGGGAAACTGAGGAGATACAGAGTGTTCAGCTACACCACCATGTCTCCTCACACTGGCCCAGCCTCACGTTTAGTCACAACTGGATCCCAACTAAGTGCAGACAGATGTAGCACACTCACCACAGGATACTGTGACAGATCATTGTAGGTGCGCCCAGCGATGGTGTTCAGTTGCATCAGATACTCAAAGTTGGATATTTCTCTATACACCCATTTCTGTTGGAGTCAACAAAAGATTACATTTCACCAGAGACATGAGCGTCCGTCAGCTCGGAATAAATCAGCTTCATATTCACGTGGAATGTAAATAGACACCTGAGTGAGGCCAGATGCCTTCAGTAGCTCTTGGGGAGAGCGGGAGCCGAAGTAAAACAGGTTTGGAGGTCGCAGTCCGAGGATCCTGGAGTAAACTTTATTTCGTACCTGTAGAGTTAGAAACTCAACAATTTAGTGCTTAGTACACAACATCAGCATATTTAAAAAACTGATTTTGGTCTACAGTTATGAGAGTGGGGAAAAGATAAAAAAACGGTGGGTAGTTTTAAAACAAAAAAACTCACGAAGATGTCTTTAAGCTTATTCACACAGTTCACAACTAGACCCTTCAGATTTCTGACCATGTGAGGAAAAATGCATCTGCAAACACGGACCTTGTTAAAGATGGACCGGGGGGAAATCTGAATATGTGGTGTGTGTCTTAAACGATGAAAGTCCGCTCGGTTTAGGAGTGTTGTGATTTAGTTTGTAGCTCCCAGAATACAGCTCAAAGCCTCCATTCATAATATGAGCGTGCATCAGTCCACACGAAGGATGCAACTCACACCACAAAAGTAGAACATCCTAATCAGGTTTCACAGCCCTGTATGCCCGCACGACTATGACGTGTGTATCCATACTACTGCAAACCGAATTAAACCAGGTTCTCTGTGTATTCAAACTGCATGACTCTAGTTAGAGACCTCATGTCGAGCCAGTCTCCCGGCAGCACAGATCTTCCGTTCCCGGAAAATGTTGGTTGTAATTAGAAGTTTTGAATGGTTTAGCAGCTGAAGTCATTCAAAAAATGAAATCTGCATCACCTTCTTTCTGAAGTTGATAAAATAGTGAGACTGGTCAATGAAAAAAAGCTCCAGAGCCGACCGTCGCAGGTTGTAGCGCCTCAAATGAACCTCTCGGAGCTGAGACAGAGGTCTTTTGAAGTCAAACCCAATTCCTGCAAGGGGGCACATTTATTAGTGACCTCAGATGGAAGCCTCTGAGGAACAATAACACACCGAGGTGTTGTATTCACGGCCACATATCATTCACCCTCTTCTGTCTCCTCTTTCTCGCTGTTGCCGTCATAGAAGTACAGGTGATGTGTGGTAACCTCCAGCCGACCCGGAACAACCGCCACAATGGTGATGAGCTCACACTCTTCAGACAGAACCAGTTTTTCTTTCTGGCTCTCATCTTCTCCTTCCACCCTGAGCGCATTGAAAGAGGGAATCATTTGACATTTTCCTAACTGCTTGGCGGATCGTTACTGCGGAAAAAAGGCAGCAAATGCTACAGAAACCCGAGACTCACTTATCATCCAAAAAGACAAGGTCCTCCTCTCCCAACTGATCATCCTCCATGTCGCTCACTTTTGCTTCTTTGGCAACAGCCAGCGGCAGGGGCTCAGAGCTGCGGGGGCTTTCAGCTCCTGATGATTGTGGCGAATAAAAGAGGACTTAGCTTTTTTTCACCACTTTGTTGTGAGGGCAAAATAAACATCCGAGACGCTTGTGCCATACCCATGTTGTCCCTTAGGGCGCTGGCCTCGCTGTGGGGATCATGGTCATAGTTGGGCACAAGTTTGAGACGCATCTTTGAGTAGGTCTCTGCGTTTGACAGTTTCCATTTCACCTCTGGCTGAACTCTGGCATTAGTTGTGGGGATAAAAAGAGAAAATTACCTATTTGTTTACAGATAAAAAGGCACAAAAAGAGAAGCTTGGTTAGAAAAACAAGGGGATGTCCTACTTGTTGGCCCACGCTCCTCTCTCACAGGTAAAGAGTCTTCGGAGGGCCCTCCAGTGCTGCCACACCACCCCCTGCTGGCTGGAGTTATGCTTCTGCCAAGTGGAGTACCTGTTGTTCTCACTCCGGAGTCGCTTGAGGTAAGGGTCTGTGATCATCTCCTGTTTTCAGTGAGACATGTCGAATTAGTCACATACCAGGTTGTTCTATGAAGCACCTTTTGTAAAAAGTACCTATGAGCCCACGCGCTTGTGTGAGTGAGCGAATGAATCAGCAGCTCTGCGCGTGCACGCACCTGAAACTTGGATTTGCTGTCAGATCGTTCTTTCTCGCGTCTAAACGCTGTGCTCATCAGGTCATCGAAGCAGGAGTTCCAGAAATTGGACATAATATCGTGGCTCCTCCCAAATGTGTCCAGCTCGTACTGCTCTTTGGTGGGCTGAACCTGCAGACACATTTTAAGCAGGACATTAACAGAGCTGTGGACACTAGGTCAAAGATATAAGCATCAGTTATCTTTATGGCTTTATATTACAATTTCCCTGTTTTACTTTTTGTATAAGAGGAGATATTTAAAGAACGGATTAAATATTATTTAGATAGGTTTTTCCCTTCCCACCCACAGTTTTTCCACTTCAAGGTAGACCAATAATACAAAGGCTTGTATACATTTGACACAAACATACAATCTCTATACATAAACTGTAAGCAGACGGTATACATATATCCACTCAAAGTCTGAGAAAACTGCTTTAGCCAAGTTTCAAAACTTTGATGGTAGCCACAGTTATGCCCTGGCTTATGTATCACCAGATTTGTATACATAAGAAATCTAAACACAGGAGATTTATGAGCCCCCAGTGTCACACAGAGCAATGATGGCCGAGCTGAGAATCGTGTCTGTTTGGCATCGGTTCGTAAAAGATCTAAGTTTCCAGTTCAAGCATAAACTGATCTTTGCCTTTAATATGCCCGAGGTCAGCCAGGGAACACTTGGAAGTTGAAGGATGACATCAAAATCACTGCAACCACTTTTCTCATTCAAACTTTGCATCTTAAATTTCCCTAAAGTCCACATAGAGGAAGGTCAGGCCAGGAGTTATGAATACAGAACTTCTGTGTTTGACATGAACAAAGTGTTCTGTTTCGTAGAGCGCATTGGTTGACGTGACTCGCTGAGAAAAAGAGGAGACGGATCTCTTGGATCTCTACACAAAAGACAAATGACTGCTATCATTTATTTACACAAAAGCCAGTCCAGACACGAACCTGCTGCTGGTAAAAGCCCTGCCACTCCGGTGTGTGACAGTAAACCTTCAGGTCCTGTGCAAAAGTGGTGCTGCCGTTGGTGGTGGGCAGGTTTGGCAACAGGTTCCCCAGCGTGATGGGGTCAGCGTGCTGGTCAAGCAGAGTGCGCACAATAGGCACCAGCTGGGCAAAGGTTTCCGACTGACTGCAGTTGGTGCCGTCCATTACACCCCCTGGCCACAAGGGGGCACCAAGCTGCCCCAAAAGGAAGCAGACCTCCTCCCAGCTCAGACAGAGCACAGTCTGGAGGAGGCTGTGTAGCTTCAAATAAGCCATCACACACACCTAAGAATGAGAAAAAGGCAGACAAAATTTGATTTGACATGTGATAGCAAGTCAATCTAAAACTAGTACTTAATTCCATTCTGAAAATGACTTCCCTCGTGAAAGTTTTCCCTGTAATTTGCACTTTCATATTGGATTTGATCTATCTATGACAGAATCTATAGACTATTTATTATGAAACAAGAACCAAAACAGTCTTGAACCAGGACAGAATAATGAGTGTATGCATTTCTTAAATCAAGATAGTACTCTATTCATTTAGCTGTAACACCTCCAGCTCATCCAAAATCCTGCTGGCAGAGCTCTGATGAGAACTAGTAGATTAAATAATATTCTTGTATGAATCTGACTAATTTTAATCTAATTCATAGGAATGGACTGATTATGATTTTATTATGATGAACTGGACTGCAAACAACTGTCCCTTGAAATTACATTTGTTGTGATTTAATGGATAAAAAATTCATTTAATTTCTATTGTGAATCTATAACTGTACAATCATATTTGTCTCAATTCAAGTTGATTTTAAATCTTATAGTATTAACAGGAATCCCATTTCACCTTCAGTGAAAAACCTATTTAAAAAGCTGCGTCAGATTTCTTTGTATGGAACATCTTTCTTTAATGTTCAATGTATGAGTTTTAAAGTAATTACAAAGTACATAAAGTCCTAAAAGATGTTATGAAAACCCAACATAAGATGTGTGTGAAGGGAATGGACTTGGTTATTTCAATCCCGAAAAATGAACATTGATGCTACTTTTATTCTGCATTTTTATCTTCTTTAAAACAGATTCTTTCCCCTCCCCAAGAAACCCACAACTGTGATATTAGGCAGAAATTAAGCTGGCATTTTGAAATAACAAAAGGCTTCAAGGGAAGTCATTCCACAGTCGAAATTAGTTGGATGTGATGGAAAGCCTGATAGTCAGCCTATTTATAACAGCTGTCTCCCCCAATCCTACCGAAGGAGGAGTAATAACTCAGAGAGGAGCAGCCCTTTCATACAGAACACTCCCTTACTGGAATGACTGCAATGTCTTAGCGAAGAAACCCATAGAAGGCCTGGTATTCGAAAACTGACTTTATCTATCTCTACTAAATGCTGATACTAAACCCTCGTTCAAACTATCTTCTGTGGAAATGTTTCTAGCAGATGTTTGGGTTGTGAAAATGAAGCACAGTGAGAACTATTTGACATTTCTAGCCGGTGTGTAGGACAGTTTCATAGGTGGTGCAGCTGACCTGTGAGTGCTGTTGCTGGATATATCCTGTGATGATACGCAGGCCGATCTGAGCCATCTCCTTCAGTTCAGTGTTTCCAGGGTTTCCAGGGGTGCTGTGCCAGGCCTGTAACCTGTCCAGCAGGTTCACCACCCCCTCAAAGATCTGCACCACAACAGTGACTGTCAACAATCCACCCAAAAAGGCCAGACCTGTTTCCACGCCTTGCAGCTACTGAGCTCACCTTAACCACGGCTTAGAGAGCACCTGAAAGGCAATTTTGACGCAACCCACACCCAACCGCAATTCTATGAGAAACAAACCCTTAACGTTTGATCTGTTTGATAGTGAAAACACCCAGTTAACTGACTGTTCCTACTTTAAATTAAAAATTTAGAGAATTAAATCTAAACTTGAATTGTTTATCGGATTTATTGACAAACTAAAAAAGACAAACTTAACCTTCTCTTGATATAGCCAGTAATTCTGTGTAACAGAAATTGAAGATACAAAAAATAAGCAGCGTGAACATCCGCATATTTTACTTGGTATTTAAACTACAATCTTAAACACACAAAAAAATGATTCTTTGGAAATTTAACTTGATCATCTCTGAGTCATCTAATCATTATTGGGATGGACAAAGGCTTTTCAATAATCCAGGACAAAAACGTGCAGATATTAGTCACACCTTCTCGCTCCATAGTGTGCGGTTGTCTGTGCCCTCTGCAAACAGGAAGTCCTGAAGCAGCCTGAGGAGTCGCACCAGACTGGGACAGAAAGGCAGGGACACTCCCTGGGCACCCCTCAGGTCAGATAGGGACGACTCTAGCATCATCTCCAAAAGACTGACACGCAGAAGACCAAAAAGAATACTTCACATGATAATGTTTCTGGACATTTTGGCTTTAAACAGATGGAGGCGCGGTTCACTTTGCTCTCACAAACTAACCAAACTTACCTGCGCTTGATTTCATCAGGAGGGCGCACCAGCTGGCAGGAGGAGCCCAGTTTGGTGAGAACGGAAAACACCTGGCCCCTCTCCCGCCACACCACATCCCCCACCCCCTCCGCGCCGCTGCCGCTCCACAGCACAGAGAAGATGATGTTGGTGAGCAGGTTGCACAGCTCCTCCTCAGGGGTCTGCTGAACACAGAACTAGCTGAAACAACTGACTCAATAAAACCCCACTATTGTAAAAAGAAGAAACGATTCAAATGGAAAAGTCATAGAGAAACTTGAATCAAAGGAGCAGGTATACCTGAGGATTGGATGTATTAGAGATTGTGTCTCCAGTGGGGGGGTCTGTCCCATAGCTGGCGTCGTCCAGCACGTTGGACAGGCTGGAGCTTTTCCGGGGTCTGTGCGGTGGGAAGGGTTTGCAGTGCTCTAGAGGAGACGGCGTGTTGGTCAGACTCCCGGCAGGGGTGAGAGTGCCCGTCTCCCCCACGCCCGCCAATTCTATATCAAAGGGCGACGTCCCAAAGGGAGAGAGCGGCTGGTAGTCTCTCCCCTCATCTTCAGTCCGAGATGAGGTAATATCAACTGCATTGGAGACAGAGGACGAATGGCTCTCCTGATCCACCGAATCGAACGACTTGAAATGAAGGGAGCCCGTGAAGCTCTTCAAAGCGCCTCCGCCTCCACTGGGAGGCGATTGGGATAGGTCGGAAAACCCTTCAGAGATGTCCCGCTGCCCGCCATCGTCCTCCTCCTCCTCATCCTCAATGTCCTGCGAATTGCGGTAGCTCAGGAAGATGTCCGTGCGCGTGTCGTCGATGACCAGAGACTGGTCTCTGCGCAGCGGCGGCCGGTAGTTGGGCTCGAAGGAGGCGTGGTTGCCTGAGTCTGCAATGCTGGCAGCGTGGGACTCAAAGGACTCTTTCACATAGAGTTTGGTCAGAACATCCTGCCAGCCGGGCTGCTTGGCGAGCTGCTTCACATAATCCTCATTAGAGTAGATCAAATGGAAGAGCTGGAGGGATTTTTGAGGAAAGAGAAAAAAAGGCTTAGTTTGTCGCCAGGTTGACAAATGCAAAAACTTTACATGTGAACACTGATGTCAGTTTTCGGCAGACTGACCTTGCGGCAGACGTCTAGTCGTACAGTGAGTTCAGCCCGGTGGGACAGACAGACCACAGCCAGGAGGTCTCTAAAACTAGGACTGGTATCTGTGGAGCAGCAGAAAACGCGTTGTGTGGTTAGACGCACTGATGTAAGTCAGGGAGCCTTCTAATTATTTTGAAGTTGAATGACTTCTGTGCTTAAGCTTCTGGGTACCGAGTTTCTAGTGCAATTTTGCTCAGAGTTTCTGTAATTCAATGGATTTGATCAGACTCCATTGCTGCCCAGAGGCAGAAACACAAACACAAACCACGATACTGCCTCTACCATGTTTCACAGATACCATTTCTAACTCAAACATTCTATTTAATTTCTGATTAATCCACAAACCATTGTTATTGTTGTGTGTTGTGCATTTAATAAGTAGTAAACTACAATGGGCAGTAGTGCTGCCTATGGGAAGAAGTCACTTATTAACAAAAGCTCATGTGGGAAAGGTCTTTGGCCATTTAGCAGTTACCCCTTGGTTCATTTGTGACCTTGAGGTTTCATTATTTGCTCTAGAAGTGATCTTTGTTGGTCAACCACTCCTGGGGAGGTAAACAATGGGCTTGAATTTCCTCCATTTGTACACAATCCATCTGACTGTGAACAGATAGGGCCCAAAGCCTTCTGAGACGTTGTTGCAGCTGTTTCCAGCCTCGGAGACGCTAGGTTAATTGCTTTGTTTGTGGTGTTTTGTGGTGAAGCTCTTATACTGACAGGTGCACATTTTGACAGAGCACATGGTGCCAAATCAAATTTGATTTTCATCCCAAAGACTGGGATTAAAATCGGGTTGATTTGAGTTATTATTTCGCTAATAATTTAGTACATATTGATCCCCTATACCAGCTTTGATAATTTCATATTCAAAGGTTTGTGTGTTCTTTATTATCAAGAAAATAGACCTTTTTTCGTGTTACCTGTTGCAAGGACCTGCTCGTACAGACAGCGCACGCTCGTCATAGTTACAGGAATGTCTTCAAGAAAACAGACCAGTCCGAGATAACCAAAATCTCTCAACTTGATGCGCTGCTTGTTGCGCTCAGATACCTTCTCACTCTTGAGGATTTTGTATAAAACCTGCAGCAAAACAAGAAATGTGTTGCCTTTTAACATTTATTTGGCAGGAAATCGCGCTTTATGTTAATAAGAGGCCGGATCATCTTTTCTCACCCTGAACACTCTCTCTCTGGCCTCATCCCCAAAGCCCGGAGTGAGTAGCAGCGCGTACAGTTGCTCCACGCCCCACTCCAGCAGCACGGTCTGCACCTGCTCACGAGGAGGGCTGCTCCTCAGCAGCTCGTACAGCACGTCCAAGGCTTTCACCACCTGGAAGAGAGAGGGGCCGCTGATAAACGCTGAGGAAACCTGACCGAGGGAGGGTGAAGTTGAGTCAGGGGTTAGAATAAATAAATGCACGCCAAATGGAGAAGATAAATAGTGAAAGCTCAGATGATGGGGAAGTGCTCAGCTGGAAAAAGGGAGTACGCTATCACGCTGAAAAGGTCAAATGATTGCAATATTAAACTCCTTAAAAAAAAACAGCAATAAAACATGAGAGTATTACCTGCTGCTCCTCTCCAACAGTCAGAATGTACCCGAGGACGCTGTGGAGCTCCTCTGGTGTCGGAGATTTGAGAAAATCTTTCAGGAGGGAAAACAGAGACGCCTGAATCGTCTGCTTCTCATCAGACAGAGAGCTGCCGTCTTTCTCAACACTGCAACCAAAGAGATTCACAGAGGACATTTTTAGAGTTATGGCACCAACACTGAACAGCAGCCTCAGTTATTTCTGGATCCATGTTTCATTTTTGTGTCATGCCGCATGGCTGCTGTGAAAGGCTCACCTGTAATATGTCCGAATGGTGTCCAGAATGTACTGGACTCCGTACTTCCTCTTCATGCGCTGCTTGCTTTTGTTTATCACCGTTGAAAGGTATTGAACATGTGCTGTGAAACAAAAAGGAATACCGTTGTCATGTCCACCCCGGGCCGACATTTCCAAATGTCAAGTTGTTATGTAAGGTTGTTGTTTAAGGAGTGCAGTCATTTTCAGGGTAGTAGTGATTCACTTCTAATCACTCCCACTGTCTGAACTAGAAGCATTAATGCGTCCTATCTCGGACCCATTGTTTTTCGAGTTTCCTCGGGCTCATTTCAGTCTTGTTGTATATAAGAAACACGACAAACCTTCACAGGGACATTATCAGGCAGCGGGGGGCTGCGTGTGCCTTACCCAAGCAAACAGCAAAATGGCTTTTAGTCCAAATGCGGAAATTAAAGAGCAGGTGCTGGTAGAGTTGCTGTAGAAGTGTGCTGTTGCCCTCGTTGAAAACCTGCTCCAGCAGTAGCTGACAGGCCATTAAAACGTTCATGTCCATCATACTGCCTGGAACCTGCAGCACACAAGTGCAAAGTATGTCAATGTAGAAAGAGGAAATCCAAAATCATAAAGCCCCAGAACATATTCAGGTATTTGCATTTATTTACGCTTGTGTACATATTCAGTTTTGAGAACACTTCAAGCTAATAGTGCTCCAGGCAGCAGTGTGTCTGTGTAAATAATTCAACTGGTAATTATTAGGCCATATGCTAGTTTCCTTTCAGGACACTCCACCTTAACATCACATATTACAACATATCCTGCAGCATGAAAGCACAGCTTTGCAGCAGCTATGCAACATTCGCCTGTTTGCACCCACTTAAGTGTCAGTCTATCATGCTATCATGAATTGAAAGGCCTACTGCAGTCACTTTAGTAAAAAATAGCTCTACAGTGAATTGCTGATATATTCCATAGAACTAACAGCAAAAAAAATTATTTGTCACTGAAAGAAAATGAATATTTGCCTTTAATGACTCAGCAACAATGGGAATTTAACAGAAATGTTAACCTGTGAATACTTGGTAACAAGGCCCCGCTTTGTGAGGCATTTTTCTATTTAAAAATTCTGTTACTGATCAACTGACAATCGTCATGAAATCCGACTTCAAAGAAAGACAGTCGATTCTTCTTTTCCTTTGTTTGTTAGCTGGCATTGTTTAATCAAATTCAGAGTGAAACCGTGCAATCTGCCAAAATGTATGACGTCCCCCCCCCACACATCTGATACCGCTGTTCTGATACCAGACCCATTCATTACGCAGAAATTATACATCAGTAATGCAACAGAAAAGGTCAGACACTCATTTTCAATGCTTATCAACTCCTCTTGTGGTTAGTTTCTGGAGTAGGCTGATGTGTGGGGGCACCTACTTTGCTGAGCATGGCCCCCATGATGCTCGGCCCCTGACACTGCAGCAGGCTCTCCTGATTGACGGGGTGATGACGAATCAGGTTTTTCACCATCAGCAGGAAGGCAGCAATACTGTTTCTCTCAAGTCGGCCTTCTGGGGGGAGAAAATAGGGCAAAACAAGGTTTAAGATTTCCTGTGTTACCCACAGCAACATTTTTGCATTACTAAACACTTTACTGACACTATCACATCTCAATATGACTCATATGTCACATCATTTTTGTGAATTTAGTTGAACTGTTTTTCGACTTTGTCTACTTTTTTTTTTACAACATACTCAAATGTGCTGAACTTATGAAACTCCAGTCTTCGAGTAACTCATTACGAACAGGCTTTTTCTGACATATAACCTTGCTTCGATTGCACAATCTTCACCACGTATGTCGAGCAATTCCTGTGTGTCATAAAGAGTGAATGAGCTCTAGCCGACTTGCAAGCAAAACACAACGGGTAAAAATAAACCGGAGAAAAGATTGTATCCATGATACATACAGATTTAATCACACTAAGCGTACTGTGTTTTCTAATTGTGATCTAACTAATGTATTTACAATTTACAATTCAGAGATAACTGCCTCAATCACTGAGCAATGAGGACTCATGCTGAGGATTACTAAGCAACAATATTTTCAACTAAGCAAAAATTGATAGAAAAGGCTACAGCATGGAAATAGAAAAGAGAGTACATAATGATTACTGGAGAAAGGGCTTCCTATGTGGATATAATCATGGACATATGGTAAAACATGTGTTGTGTCATTCCAAGGGGAATCAAAGGCACATCTGACCTGCGGATTTGTTCAGAGGAAGCAGCATGGCAGCAGGGCCTCTGGAGGAAGTGAGCTCTGGTCCCAACAAGTCTGAAGTCTCCTGGCCGCCATTATAAACTTGCTCAGCCTCACAAACCTGCTCGAGCAGAGGCAGCAAAACACCAATGCCTCCGACCACATTTACAACATCCTGTAGGGAGAAGAGAAGGGAAGACACCGTGCACATAACCAGTGTCATTTCTTTTTTTTTTCTTGACAATAAGCACAAACAGAAGAAAGCCAGTTACAGGAAGCCAGCAAATGTGTGAGTAAAACTTATATGCATAAAGCTAGAAGAGCAGGCAAGATTCACCACATATCACTATCATTTACATGTTGATATGATTATACAAATATAGACACCAAAGGTCCAAATCATATTAGTCTTTCATAGCTAACCTTGATGTCCCAGTTCACCACTCTATGTCCTGTAAGTCTGCCATCGTACAGGTGATTGGGCGCCAGATCCAAACATATCTGACTCTTAAATGCCTGAAAGACACCCATACACATGTAATCAGCTACAACTGGCAGTGATGAGGGAGTTGTCCTTGGTTTCAGTGAATCACCTGTGGAGTGTAGTAGAGCAGAAGCTTGCCATTGAGATCAGATAACTCTCCATCCACTTTGAATAGGGACACGTGATTAGGGCCTGTGACGAAAGAGCACATCACAAAATAGGTCATGAAATTTGCAAAGAATATTTGTGCATGCAAAAAACAACAACAACTACACAAACACCATGCACCTGTTTTAAATGCGTACAGGACAGATCTGTTTTGTGGCTTTCTTTACAACCAGTTTACTGAGCATTTGGCTGGTAAATACGCGGCATGGGGAATAACAGACCTGCAGCATGCAGGGCTCGTGCCTGAGCCTGTTGCAGAGCCTCATGGCAGATGAAGGCTGTTCCAAGGAGCCCATCCAGAGATGTGGGTGATCCCCACTCTGTGTCCTGGAGTCCTGCTGGAATAGCATGCACGGAAGATTCTGGCAAAGATCCCCATCGGCCTCCTGCGAAGGAGGCAGGGAAGGACTGGGAACGGCTGAGGGAGGGAGCGTGGGAGGGGAAGGCAAACTCAGGCGACGGACAGGAGGTAAAGGACATGGGGAGGTTGGGGGAGGTGGTGGTGGTAGTGGTCCGGTGTCCCGCAGAGCCGATGCAGCAGGAGGTGAAAGGCTGCAGGGTCAGGTGAGGGAGAGACAGAGGCAGTTGATGGGACTGATACGGAGGAGCGCCTTTGCAATACTGCCAGTAAATATCATTTGACGTTTAAGTTACCTCACTGAAAGATGGAAAGCGAAGCTGAGCGGTTTTACGTTGTTCTCCATCAATGTAGATTGTGACCAGGTTTTGACCAAAAGGACGGCGGCCTGGGATGTGAACTATGGCCACTGAATGCTGGCATAAAAAAAGTCCACATATTTTTTTTAATTGTTTTTCACAATAAATTTGAATCAAATCTTTTTGTGTTTAAGCTAAATAATGAGAAAAAATGTTCTCAATTCATCTTAGGGAGTATTTTGTGTTCACACTCACCCAGCACGAGTCATCAAGTGGGTACTCGGGCAAAGCGACTGCCATGTAGTCCTTCTTAGTGCACACAGCCACCACCAGCACCCCCTCCATTGTGAAGAAGGCTTCAAGCCCAGTTCCGCTTGCAGTGAAAAAACTGTTTTTTGGAGAAAGGCTATTACCGTCTCTGACTATATAATACAGCTGTACCAACTCTCTGCGTCCTTTTTACCTGTAGAGCTGCTTCCTACGTGGTCCTTTTCCCATGTCAAGATGAGGCCCCGTGCCCGAGCTGGCAGGAGCTTTACGGCTGTTGGAGAACTCCGAGTGACAAGAAGGGAAATCCATGTTGAGGCAGAGCCAAGCATGAAACGCGAAGCCACTGCCAGGCCATCGCTGGACCGTGGGTACCATGATGCCGGCCATGGGGGGCGTAAGATCAAAATACTGCAAAGCACTGTCCTGGCCTTCTCTGGCTGCCATGGCTGAGAGCACCCGTATGATGCGAGTGCAGTAGGGGTGCGCCCTACCTACCACCGTACCACTCTCCTGATCCACTCTCAGGAGCCTTAGGAGGCTCTTCAGCTCCTCTGGTCTCAGACACAGGGAGCCCAAGTCCTCCAGGAGGCCCAGCAGGGCGTCTGCACATTGCCTGTCCAGATTCTGAGGCTCCAAGAGCACCTGCAGCAAAGCCCCCACCATGCCTGCTTCCACAGCCACGGTGCGACAGGACAGGGAGCCTCCGCACACAGCTGCTAACCACTGGGCCACCAGCAGCTGCAGGTCCCTCTGACCCGACAGGTCAGGCAGCCACTGCAAAAGCAGCAGCAAGGGCTGGTCGTTGCTGATGCCAAGGTGATGAGCGTGGGCGTGCTCCCCCTCCACTGCCTGGAGAGAAGGCCGAGATAGGAGATAAGATTTAAAGAGGGTGAAACAATCAGGTTAATTAGCACCATCGCAATCCAAATTGGAGCAAGGCCCAAAACGTGTATTTTATCCGTGCTAACTGGGAAGGTGTGTGTGTGTGTGTGTGTGTGTGGGTGGGGTGGGGGATAATGAATAAATGTAGTTTTACCATGTTCATCAGCTCCTGCAGGAGCCTTTTGGTGGGTTGACCTTGGCTCTTCAACACATCAAACAACTGTGAGTAGCCAATCCGCTCTTTGAAAACCTCCTGAGAGGAAAAGAGACAGAAATAGTTTGAAAAGATGCTCCATAGGGGATAGCTACAGTCGCTGGCACAGTTCCATGGCAAGGAAATACAACATGAACGGAAAGCGACTTTCCTCATCAGCCTCTCATTATAGCTGCCATTGTTACAACTCTGATGTTGTTGATCAGTGAAAACCAGCGTTAATGCATAAAAAGGTACACGTTTTGATCATGTAAAAATCAAGAAGGGCCTTACTTTAGCAGAAGGTGAGTTACTCATTATAGCTGTAAGGACCCCCAGGGCATGAACTGTGATATTGTCTGATCCTTTCTCCAACACCTACATACAAATATGGAGGTTCAGTTTATTGTGATACTACATGAGTAAAAAAAAGGGAAAAAAAGCATCATTATGAGTTGACATGAAAAAAACCCAATACATTTTAAACACATACAACCAAAGAAGCAAACATTTCACCCCACCACACACACACACAATAAAAAGGATTTTAACCCTTGTTATTTAAAAACCCTAGAAGAAGCTTACCATAAATACAACCAAAGGCTGGGTCACAGAGGATTTAGGGGTATACCAGCCACCAAACAATCATCGCTTTATTAATTGCTGATAGGTCCCAGCATGCACAACCCAAAGCCAACCAAAAAAAAAAAAGAACCAAGGCAAATTCCAGCTATTGCTGGAAATAAGTCAACGTCAAGCTCCAGGACAGGGGCCAGGTCTTTTACACAAGCACCAACAGTCACATGGAAGGGCAGGAAAAATAGGAGGAAAAGAAAGAAAGACATGCACATAGAGACAACGATTTCATGCACAGGGATAAACACAACATGCCCTTCTTGCCAAGTACTGTAAACAGAGAATTCAGCCTATAACTGCTGTGATATACAGTAAGTCAACACTTAAAATGACCCCAAATAAGGGTAGCTTTGGCAGTAAGTGGGCATTCTAGATGGCCAAACGGGACATGAAAGTGAAAAAGCTGATGACACTAATCATGTCTAGCCATACCTGCTTTATTTACAAATGACTGTAAGCCAGACTTCCTGCCTGAAGCTTCCTGTTTAAATAGCTCAGAGTAGTTAACAAGTTGAGAGAGGGCTGAGTTTCCTGCTAACGGACCAATAGCAACATAGAGTGGGGAGGAAAGTACCTGGTCCACCTCGCCATCTGAGAGTAAACCTGTGGTGAGGTCACACATAACCTCACGCTCCGGCCTACGCCTGTTGCTCTGAAAGAGCTTCAGGACACACAAAAGCACGCAGGCACACACACAGACACACACACACACACAGCACAAAAAAAAAAGACAGACAGTTAGACAAAAAAAATTCATCTGAGGTAAAAGAGGCATGTGCAAATCCCGGCCTCTCCATAGCTGCAGAGGGCCGTGTGGGAAAACATGAGCTCAAAGCTCTTTTTTTTTAAAAAGGTTAGAGGGCAGATGTGACACGGGTAAAAGAAGGGATGGGTATGACTTAATAATCATTAAATTGAAGATGCAGAGGGACAGGGGGAGACAGGTTGTCTTTTTAATGGGCAGTAGCCTGACCTTGCTGTTTTGAATAAGTCTGATGATGTGTTCAAAGCAGTTGTTGTTGAGGAAGACCGCCTGCAGGACCGGTCTGTCGGAGCACTGCAGGATCTCGGGCACCGCAGCTAAAAATGGACAACATTAGGAAGTTGACTCACTGTGTTTACAGGGTACAATTGATTTGTCTTCTATTCTGATGCAAAGACAAATAAAACAACCGATTAGAACTAAGTTAGGCTTCACCCGTGCCGGAGTGGACCCGCTCTTACTTAGCATTTGGCTCTGGAGCGAGATCAGGCTGTCCTCCCAGCTCTGCCTGTCCTCCTGCTCGATGCTGAGCGGCCTGTTCCAGTTGAGGAGCTGAAAGTAGCTCTCCAGTATGGTCCTAATCTCCACCTGCCTCTCCACAGGGCTGCTGGAGTGCAGGAGATGGATCATGGCTGTCAGGCACTGCAGCGTCAGCCGGGGGAGTTTGGTGTCTTTTGGTTCAGGCGAGGTCTGACAGCACCAAGCCCGAAGAACAGAGAACAGGTCCTCAACAGACTGAGGGCTGATGGAAAGTAGAGCGTTTTTCTAGAAAAACAGAGGGAGATTCACATTCACCGACTTCCCTGCTAACTGTTTTCATATGTGCTGCTGGAATCACAGATGTGGTAGCTGACCTTTCCTCCACTGATGACGGCGCCCTGAAGATGAACCAATCTGAGTGTGAGGAGCTCTTGTATCTGCTCGCTTTCCTGGAGACTATCTGTATCAGGAGAGTTAAGCCAAAACAATGTTATGTACTAACAGTGAATGCTGAGTAAAAGAGCATCTAGCCACAAATGACAATGAACAGGGGCTGAGCAGACCAGTTGAATTCGAGCTATTGGTGTTTGTTTACTTCAAACACACTACATGCCTAAATTGTGTCAATAAACAGCGCTGCTCCAAGAAAAAGTGGTATACAAACAGCTTTTGCTTCCCAAGAGGAGAGGAGGCATTCACTGTGACTCCAGGGACATGTTGTTGACTCACACTTTCATCCACACCTTATCACACCGGGGAAATGACAAGTGTAGAACTGTGCTACTTAACTGTGACATTTGCATCATTTCACAAATACTTTCAGTTTTGAGAGTATAGTATTCATCAAAAAGATTGTATGGAGAGATTGAACGACACTGAAACTCCTGATAATAGCTAAACTTTGGTTTAGCGATAAAATAAAAGGCAAACTATTTGGTGCCGTATGACATAATTGGCCCTTCACACGTCAGATTAAAGCTTTCTATCACACCATAAGCCTCTTTAAATGTGGAAATACTGAAACTTGCTGGAAATGAATTTCCCACATGCCTCATGGATTAGGGCTGGCTTATCAATTAAGATTCTGTCATTATGAGTGGCCATTGTTGTGATTTGAGACCTGCAAATTAAAGCTGTAAAATAATGTTTTTAACCAATTGTGATCAGAATACTGGCGATGGGATTTTCTATGTGAGGAAGACAGACTTATTTCATAGGGAGAGAAAAAACACAGACATTCAAGAGTTGGGACAGTGGCAGGAACAAGTTGATTCTGATAGTATGTGAAGTCTGACACAGGTCAGAGAAGCAGTGGCGACTGACTGGGAGTTGCTCACCGTGGAAGAGTGCAGGCAGTTCTTCTGGCAAGGCCAGGGGGGAGAACTTATACTTGTTCCTCTCCAGCAAGCTGACCTCCTCCCTGTAACACACAAAACCCAGAGTCACCACACATCCATCCCGCCTACCGCTAATACCACTGGATCCAAAGAGGGTTTGACTTAAAGGTGTAGGAGCAGCATGACGAGGTATTACACATCACAATGCAAATAATAGCCTTTTAGTCTTTGGAATCCCAGGCCACACATTCCCAGTCTTGAGGATAAAGCAGTGCACACTTACCCTGCCAGACGTCTCCTCCATGTCTGATAAGGGTCAAAGAGACTCTCACAGAGCACGAGTCCATACTGCACAACCAGCTGCAGAGACAGATTCTCTCCTTGTCCTTTCTTTAACTGCACAAATAGAGTTTGGACATGTGTGTATCTCATTCATCTTCACCGCAGATACACCTGCATTAACATTATTTCAACATGCAACAAATTACATAACACTCAATAGAAGGTTAAGTACACTCCCACTTCTCTTTCAGCTTAAATTACATCTGTTACTCCAGAGTGAGTTTGCAAAATCTATACACATTAAAATTCAGTTTGGATTTACAGTCCATTTTCATTCGTTATATGTTGAACTTTCTGGGGAACCAAGACTTATCACAAATCCCTGAACTGTGTGTAATGTTTGTATTAATCTTACCTGTTCCAAACAGAAATTCAAAAGCTTGATAGTTTCAAAAACAAAACTAGGGGTCTTTTCGGGGTCAATGTTCTCCATGTTCCTGGAAGACCAGAAAAATAAATGCACTTTAAGGAGAGCTTCTCTGGTGCTGACCTAATATGGACATCTTATGTATTGAAAGGATACATGCAGGATATACAAAGAGAGAAACAAACTTTTGGACACTTGGGTTGCAACAGCTTTGCACAATCTACATTCCCGTTCCAGGAAATCCTGGCAAAAAATATCTTGATCCCCTAATCACCTCTGGCTGTTAGGTACTGGCACAGATTATACGGATTATGAAGCGAATCAGCCTAACATTGCCACCCTTCCTCCAAATTTAAGTACTTAGGAGTAAAATTTAAACACAAAAACAGTATAATTGATTTGTGAATAATCCAAAACCTTTTTCCACTACCATTTAACGCTTTTTTACAATTCATGTAGAAAACATGACACTATACTTAAACAAGACAATGTCAAGAAGTGTGTCGTTTCCAATGACCGTGGACACTGATATACCTGCAATACCTGCTTGTTATAATGCTAAAAAAACAAACAACAGAAAACAGGTGTAATACAGAGCTGGGATCAGTACTATGCTATAACCTGTTTCCTTTGATGCAACCTCACCTGCAGACAATAATGAAGAACTTGATGAGCAGCAGCGGGTGGGGGGTGCTGCTGCTGGGCTCGGCGGCGCTGGAGAGGTGGAGCGCACTATGCCATAGCTGGGTGCTGAGCAACACCAGCACCTCCCGGGGGAGCAAGGGCACCTCTGAGCTCCCCTCTTCCAGTCTGGAAGATGGTAGAAAAGCGAACAGTAAGAGACATGTGAAGAAAAGAGAATCCCTGAAGTCCATCTGCCTTCAGGAATGTAAACCAGTAGCTTTGTAGTTGGCTAAAAATACTTGACTCACCTACGAGGCTCCAGTGACTGCACGTCAATGAGCCTCTCAAAGGATGCCACAAATGCCTCCAGCCACTGCTGCAGGTAGCTCACATCCTTCTGCAGGAGGGAGAAACATAGCCACATGAGGCAAAGGAGTAGCCTTTGCCCCTCCAGGCAAACAACACAGTAGGTGAAAACATGTGTGGTTCAAACTTTTTTTTTTCCCTGTTTAGTTGCTAGAGCTTCAAGAGGAGATTGAGAGCTATCTGTGTGACACAGTACGTCTGCAAATATAGCTGTGACTAAACCATCTGACCTGTTTTTGTAACAGGATGTTGCAAAGAGATGCAGCGCACAGAGAGGAACGCGTGAGCCAGTTCTTTCCATTTTCTATGAACAGAAACAAAATCGCGACCTTCTTGTTTTTTTTTGTTGTTGTTGCTTTTTTGCTTCAGATCAGTCACTGCTCACTATGCATCATCAAGCACACAGCAATTCCTCACCATTGTCTCCAGCAAGAGACTCAGACATTACTGGGTTTGTACAGTCATGTGAGACGAGGATGTTTATATACAATGACTGTTATCACAGCTTCAATCCGTCTCTGCAGCGCAGCATATCCTGCCACTCTTCCCTCCATACATCAGTCTCTTGATCTCACATCAGAGTAAATACCACAACCCAGGTTACAAAACATCAATTCAACTTTGAACTTCAAACTCTGAAAAGAATAGAGAAAATAGCTCCGTGCAGTTTGACACAGAGCTGAGGGATTAATGGACAGTCCTGAGGACGCAGGGAACTCCTCAGTGTTACAAAACTCAACAAGTGGAAATGTTCCCTGATGTTGTCTGACTGAACGAACCTAAGGATTTCATTAGATTTGCCATGCCACTTGACACTGTTGCCGATTTGTGAGAGAGAAGCCCCTCAAAAGCAAGCGATGAGGAAGAAGCACGAGTTTTTTCAGACGGACTTACTCACTGTTCACAAATAACACAACACATGGTAGAACAATCCACCAGGTACTTCCCCTAAAGCCTGCAAGCGAGCCCTAAACGATCGCTGCAGCTGATGAACAACAACTTCACAGCCTCTGATCTAACGCGCGGGCTCAACAGCCGCAGATTATCCATTAAAAACTCGGACTTCAGAGGCAGAGAAAGCCTGCTAAAAACTAGCTTGGGTTCCTACGTTTTCTGCATTACTGAGGAAAAGGTCTTACCAGCTGGCCCTGACTTATGTGCCAGTCCATCTCTCATGGTCTGGGTCGGAGCAAGGCGCCAGGTTCTTGCGAACCCAGTCTCAGAGGAGTCCACAGTCAGCAGCTCCACATCACTCCTGACCAACAGCAGCCTCTGAGCTGATCGCCCCCTGTCTCCCGTTGTCAAGTGAGGAACCAGGAAATTACATGTCACTTTAAGCGAAGCTCGTTTCCTCCATACTCTGCCTCCCCGTCAAACCCCTTCCTCTTTTGGTTGCAATGCAAGCTGTGAGCAGACAAGAGGGAGGCCTCTCCAGTAACTTCCCACTGCAACAATAAAGGGCCGGGTCTAGTCTACGCTTTAAGAAACAAAACACAACAAGTGGCACGTTTGCGCTTGTTGTGCGACTGTGCCGACGGCACGCCAACAGCAGTTTGATGAGCTTAAATTGCAATCTTGGTCCAGCTGAAGCTGCTGATGCTATCACACAACCGGAATTACATTTCTAATTGGAGACAGCTTAGTCGACGTGCCACTAAATGGTCACTGTATGCGCAAAACGCTGAATGTTTTGGAGGCTGCTGTGAGATAATGGATTGTCTCCACGAGAGATTTCACTCTGAAATAAGTGACAGGAGCGATGGCAGCATCGTTTGGAATGTTACTGTGTGGTTGTGGCCCCTGTTTATTTTATTAACTATTCTATTACATTTTAAGTTCGATACAAGTCACCAAACATTACTTATTGCAAAAGTATCAAAATGAATGCTGCTACTTCGTGGAGAAAAACATCACGTTCTATAATGCCGTTATCTTCTGAGATGTATGCATGATAGTTTTCACTATGACTTTAGACCAAGTAGTAAAATGCTCACTCAGCATGCCTTTAAATTTTCATCTATGTGTTAACTGGGTACAGAGTCAATGCATAAGTTCTTAAGTCTAGTTGCCAACATGAAAGATACACAGTAATAAAATGTATTCAATGAAATGATGCGGTTTGGAAAACCATGGTTTACAACTCTCAGGATGACACGAGGGGTGCCTTCCTTTCTAATTATATATGAATGGAACATTTTCTACTCAGGGGCAGAGCCAGTTTGGCAGGAGCCACACAGGGGCTGGGTGGATGTGCAACAGATATATTCTAGTTTATGATAAAAAAGGACATGAGATCATAAATAGGAAGTGAGACTGTTTTTCCAATGAGAAGTAAAACCAGGCTCTACAAATCTGGCCCCACCTGTAACAAACCCTTTACAAAGTTATCCCTGATCAAACTCAACCCTGGAGAAAATCCTTGTTGCTTCTCATTCGTCGCGTTCTCCTAAACATCGCCCTAAGCATCAATGATTTTAAATCAGGCTTATTAATGGGGCCATTAAAACAGATGTTAGAAACAAGCAGCTCCTCCAGACACGGTCATTTATGGCTTTTCCCTGCACATGTCCAAGCAGCTGTGCGGCTCTGTGCTGCTTGGCATTCTGCTTAGCTCCAGCTTCCTGCACGAGTGAAAGCAAAGAGCACTTTGATTCTCCTGGTTGGCCGCTCCGTTGGTAAACAAGGGAGGCCGAGCCACACATGAGGGGATTGGGATTCGATCACGGGGCTCCTGGCATGAGCTGCTGGGACGCCTGTTGTTGCACCCCTGAGTACATCAATGCACAGGTACCAAAGCATGCAACGAGCTGACTGACTCTGTGAGGAAGTGTTTTTTTCTTTCTTTTTTGCAGCAATCTGAGGGGGTGGTTTCACAGCTGTGTCGATGGGTGGCGGTCAGGTTGTCACTGTGGTCCAACTCTGTTTCTAAAGACTTTAATTAGTCCCTCAAGAAAAGGATCACAGAATAATCACCCACAATCTTCTGACAGCATGGTATCTTCTGCATCCTCACTCTTTTTTAAAAGTGATGCTCATATGATTTTCACGAGGGAGCTTCCGGAAGGTTCTGTTTTATTTCGGCATTGTTTTTTCCTCCAGGCAGAAGAAGGCTAATTATTAACAACACGAGCAGCTTCAAGGCCCCAAATCAAAGATGCAATGTTTTCTTTTTTCTCGAATGCCTAATTGTTTGGTCTAAAATATAGCTATCTATACCTTACTTTGACTAAGCACCACACTGAATTAAAATGGAGTCATTTGAATTACAATAAGACAAAAGAGACAAAGACAAATGTCATACCAGAAAAGCGGGTACTTGCAGTCGTACAATGTTTTTAAAGCAAATTGAGCTGAACAATTGCAAAAACAGATGCTGATTCATTTTCTGACAGCTCATTTTTTCAATCAAATCCTGAATAATGTATATTATTGTGTGGGGCTTTAGCTTTAGCAAAAAGGGTCATTACTGACTGCTTCACTGAAAGCAATCAAATAGACACTGAGATTGAATTGCATCACTTGCAAACTCTATGATCAACTGAGAGAAAAACTTTTCCAAAAGGCCATACCTCTTTTCATTTTTCAGACACGATCTGACAAGTTTTGTTAGTCAGTGATTAAATCAGACTTTTCTAAACCAGTTAGGTATGAACCTCTGATAAAAAACATTCTCAGATATGAGATATGGAGCCCTGAAACAGAGTCAGCGAAGTTGGTTTTAACCCCACAGGATGAAAGCCATGGACTCTGTTTGGTATTGGGCAGGGTTTTGGTTTACATAGAGCGTGGTTTGGTTAGCACCTAACTGCCGAATCCTGAAAAAAGACAGGAACAATTTAGAAAGTAAACATTTAATCTTTGCATTGCCATCAGAGTAGTTTGTCTATTATCATGTGAATGTGTTCACCCGAATGATAAACCACATGATCGGTGTTTTTTAATCATCTGGTGCCTGTTTAGTCACTGTGTCAAGATCTCTGTCTTAGAATTCTGAAAACTACGCTGTCTTTGAATATCTCACAGAAGTCCTTAAACGAAAAAGTCTTATGAGGGGTGTGTGATTTCTTGCACAATTGGAGGAAGCTGAGCTCTCTTATCAATGACATGCCTGCACAAGTTGCACCTTTTTATTGCCAAATACAGAATGACGACTGAGATAGTTAGACCTAAAGCGAATTACAATAAGCTGTCAGGCTCTATTAAAGGTTAATTATACGTTACAGGTTCTCAGTTCAGGAATGTTTAAGCTTATTTATCCTGAAAAGGGCTAAATAATTCCAGAAATAACTGTGAAAATGTATACATTGGTGACATCAGTTGTTTCTAAAGGAGCTTACTTTAAACTGACCTGTGGAATTAGTTCAACCCCTTTTTACAGTCTCAACAAAAAGCTGGCATAAAGCTCAGGTTTGTTGTGTAGACCTGAGTGATTTGCAGCATTCAAAACTTTCCAAGGTGTGTGATGAACAACAGAGCAAGGCCCGTGAGTCACAAAAGGGATGTGTCCATTTGAAAAATGATTGCCTCTGCCAACCTGACAAACAGGGAGATAACAAAAACATTAAGACACAATGGTGTGGTGGTGTCTAAAGGAGAGGTGGGGAATTAGTTCTACTGCCTTTCTGCTCTCTGTTGTACTCCTCTGAGTCACAGAAGGTGGTGACATTTGGGCTGTCCCTCGTTGTAGACCAAAGGTAGAGAGCGTCATTATCTCTCAAGAAAAATACACTAAGGAGACAATCAGAAGATTAGCTCTTTTAACTGTGAGGTCAACTTGAGACAAGAGACAGAGAGCCGACAAAGCCTAATAAGGCAGTGGCCTCATACATAGAGAAGCTACACAATTGTCACATTTAGATTTACTTAAAAAATCCCTCAAGCACCCTAAATCACCCCAATGAGTCCGTCAAGCAATGGACTGTGACCGCTAAGAATCCTACAACTTATTTGGTTTGCAGTACGACCAACAGAGTTCAGTACGTCTACATGAATGCAGCGGCCGCTCGAAGGAGAAGTGGCGGGGTGGATTAGAAACACATTTCCTCCGGGATCAGCCAAAAGTGGCCACAGTGACCACTTTGATAATAAATGCCGCAAGAAACCATGCATTTTTAACCTACATTGTTAATGGAATGTAGGGCATGTTGCCCTTCTTTCACATCTGAGTTCTTCAGGCTAAGAGGTTGTTGGCTGTTTTTCATGGATCAGTCATATTTGAGCAACATTTGGGGTGAAAACTGGGCGAGCGCAGAGCTCAGTCGTATCATTGCTCAGATCAGATCTGCTGTGACGATAAAGGTTTGGTCTGAAAGTCTGCAGTGAGCTTCTGGCTCAAGCAAACTTGAAAAAAGGTCTATCCTCAGGCGTGGAAGCAGATTGCAAAGACATTAAATAATAATAATCATTTACTCACTGCCAAACTGTCGATTTTTTTTGTCCTCTAGACGGACATGACTTGAAAGCATGTGCAATATTAATATGATTAATTTATTTCCATTGGTAGGATCCTGGGCTTTAACAAACACTGAGACAGCTGAGCTGCAGTCACTCCCACACCAGTGCAACATTTCAGACCAGATTGCCACTCAGAGCAGAGAGAAATCAAATGATACATCTAATTCACAATGTGGGCTTTGGTGGCATAGATATTGTACTGCTGGCAGCCAAAACAGAAACGCGAGCCAAGTTATGAATGTCAATCCTCTACAAAACCATCAAACAGACTCTATAAGTAATTTATTCCCACCAGGGCTTGGTCTGCACGTGCTAGACCGTGGAAGAGAAGCAGGTAGAAACAGGAAGAGGAAGTAGGCACAGAAACACCTGCATGGCAGGTAGATGATCGTGTGCTTAAAAGAGCAGTTTTTGCATTGAAAAAGCCAAAAGGCTGGAGAAGAAGTCCAAAACCGAAACGCGTTCTCCCCTATCTGCTTTGCACTAGGAAGCTCTCGAACTGTTAGGGAAATAAAACCAGCGTCTGCCAAATAGGGGGCGAAAAATAGCAAGACTTCCTCGATTGGGAACGATTTCATATCAACGTCGAGACGCACGAGCCACTGGCGATCGGACAGAAAATGCATCGCGCAGATCGTTATCGTGTGTTTATCGGCTCTAGCTGTAAAGTTCAGGGAGAGGACCGGCGGCCACAACAACAGGTGTCACCCCCGGCCCTTCCGCACTCGCGCTCACCTTTGTGTAATACAGCATCCACAGCTCGTACAGCCTTTCCTTCGATGCCATTCCGCCGCCCCGGTGGTTGCTCATAATCTCCCTTTGTTTCTTTCTTTTCTTTTCTTTTCTTTTTTTTTTTTACAAACGCCTGAAAGCGGCGGTGGGAGCCGGGGCTGGTTTAAGTTGCCCCCTGATGACAGGGGGGACGCGGCACGCCGGTGGGAGCCATTCCTGCAAATCCGCACGCGCAGTCCTCCGAATGAAAAGTGCGCCCCGTCCCTCGACGCGCAAAGTTCCTCAGAGTGACGAGGAAAACACGCAAAGGCGACGGTGCAAACGGGGCCACGGTTTTGCGGTCAGTGTCGCGACTGAGAGATCAGGAACAGATATGCGTGGAAATGCATGCCCGGAGAAACACCCATGTCCGCGTTCACAGCCAGCCTGTAGGATTCCGATTGGAGAGAGTTCCCACGGAAGCGACAGATGCCATCCCCTCCACAATGCCGCGCTGTCTGGGTGGATTCAGAGAGCAAGGGAGGACAGCCTCTACTGATGCGAGAGGATCGGCAGCCAAAAACAAACTACTGTCAACAAGAAATTCAGTCAGGAGTTGACACACAGGTAGGCTGGCTTTCTTAAAGACACACGCGCAGATTAACGCGCCCAGAAATTCACATCGGCAAGAGAGAGAAAAAAATGAATGGAGCACATAAGTACGCCCACTAAAAATGGTGAATAAATAAATAATATTGGAAAATTTTACTCGGCGTTCCTGTTTAAAACTGTGCAATTTCTGCAGGCTGACCCTGAAGATGTATGTACTCTTGGTCATGTCGAATTCACATGTGAACTTCAGACTTTTATTAGAATAGCTTCCTTATTGCTTTACAGGTTGTAATAAACAAGTATTAATGCCAACACAGTACACCCATATGTGAAATCAGCAGCTGTTTCAATGTCTTACTTCCAAACTATTGCAAACACAAGCATGAGTAAAGTGTGAAAGACAACATTTGAGAGAAAAGTGTGTTTTATTCAGTGTTGTGGCACTTGCAGCAATTATAATAACACAGGCACACACACAGTTCAGCTCTTTAAAACAATCTCTTTAATACTTCACTAAAGGTTCATTTGTATTTAGGTTTGTCGGCCCAACTCTCTGGTGCCTGACATTTGATCTTGCTTTATGGGGCTATTTATTTTTGTTTTGATACATAAAATTGATGTCACATTTACATGTGTGTTGCTGTATTATTACTGCCATATATTTTTCATATAAATGTCACCAACAAGTATGACTTGAGTTTAGACATTTGTAGATATGATCGTAATCAGTTTTGCCACTTTGACCTGGGTGGCATCTTTACCAGGATGTGTTGTGACACAGTAATGTTGATCACCAGGAGGATGGCCTCAGTGCAGCTCCAGGCAGCTGGATTACCATGGAAATGGCCTACATTCCCAAACAGGACCTGACATTGTGACCGTAAGTAGGAGGGACAGTGAACCAGACAAGGCCGATATCTAAGGAGCTGAAAAATATTCTATAAGTACCTGAAAATTAAACGAAATCCAAAAGTAAGCAATAGATAGAGGCAACAGTGGCCCATGTGTGATTGCTTCAAAACGTTTTTAACCCAAATATAAAACCTTACTGGTTATGCAAAAAAAATAAAATAAAAAAACACTTAAACTATGTTATTCATGGATATGGAGAAAAAAAAATAACCACAGACTAAAATAGCTCAAACAGGCTACAGGTCAGTTCGATCGATGTGCTCGGTTGACGGTTTGACAGCCTCAGGCCTGTTAATGGAGGTCAGAGCGAACCGAGCGGCGTGTGGAGATAAACATGGAGAAAAATGTTGGGTCGCTTCAAGAGCAGGCTCTGAAGAGAAAAGAGCGGCTAAAAGCGCTTAGAGATAAACAGCTACATGTAAGTTTGTTTCTCATTATGGTAAAGCGTCTGTGGAAAGTGACATAGCTCTTCAAATTCCGTCACTTTGCCATGGACCTAACGTTAACAGACTTAGCTTGTGGCTAACTGTAGCATGAAGCTGTAGCTAGCCAAACCTAAGAGTATAGAAGACTGCAGAGAGAAGAGCAACATTATGTAACGATTTTTGCCTTTACAAAAAGTTAGTTAATTTGTTTGTCTGTACAATTTTCTATTAGTAATAAGCAGAAATAACATATCATGAAGAAGAACCAATCGTGGCTGAAGAAATCTGAAACCTATGAAAAATGTAACATTTTTGTTAACTTTTCCATTGATGAAATTGGAGATTTCCTTTATTTAATTCAGTTGTGATAAATGGAGAAGGCATTTCACATCACAGAAAATGTTGGAACCCATCTGAAATAGTTGCTAACCCATGATAAAGCTATCGTTTTGATTCCTGCAATACTCTGCTAGTAGTTGGAAGCTCCACACGTGTATTCAGCTTCTGAAAGAGGAGGGGTTTGTTATGGCCAATATTTTCCCACAGTTGTTCTTAAATTAACTGATTAAATGAATGGCTTACTCTGTGACTCTAATAAAAATGTTTATGTATCTTAGCAACTGGTAATCAACACACTTAAATCCCACACAGCTATAAATTGAAGTATTGACAAGAAAAGAAAGAACACTTTATTTTCTAGGCTTAGCATTCAGATTTTTAACCAGGAGCTTAATCAAGATTACTGGTAATGCAACCTCAGATAAACAACTGCACAGACAAAACTAAAGTGAAGAATGTTGGTCATAAAACAGAGAACAGATTTGATCAAATTAAGCACAGGAGATCAGAATAAATGCCACGTGTATTCAAACATGGAGGTGGAGGACTGATGACCTGTGCCTGCTTTTCAGCCACGGTACCGAAAAACCTTACAGTTATTGAATCTCTATGAATTCTTCTATATGCCAGAGTATTCTACAGTCAGATGAGAAGATGCATGTGTGAAGGCTAAAGCGAAGCTTTTGAGATCATCAGCAGGACAGTTATCTGAGTTTCTGCATCACGTCTACTGCAGGGTGACTCATGAAGGAAAGAAGAAACCTATGCAAAGACCAAACCTTAGTTAGCTTAAGCAGTCTTGTAAAGATCAGTGGGTCAACATTTGTAGACAAAAAAATAATTAATTTTATCGCCCTAAAGATACTACTACAACCTATTGAATCCTAAGATGTGCTTACTTTTCACACAATCTGCACTTTGGTTTAGTTTTGTTAAATGAACAGTGACACATTGTAATGTATCATGTGTTATTGTTGGCCCAAGGTCATATTTACCAAATTTTAATACCTGGTAAGAATTGAATGCTTTTATATTACATCTTGGAACGTGAAATTTAAGAATTTATATGGGGCATTTTTCACATCGCTGTAGAGATGCGAAAAAGTAAATGACCTACTATTTTAAAGGGGATTTGACTCAATTGTTATGCACGTCTGATTTGAAAAAACAATCACATGACAGCTAGAGTAAATATGAATACTACCCTTTGGACACCACCATGCAGAAACTGTGTCCTTCCTGAGCTCCTCTGTAGGTTTCGTTGAAACATTTTAAGTTTATACCGTTGTATGGCTCCACCAAGGCCATCTTTCAGTTCTGAAATATGAATTTGTTAAAGGAAACCCTGTTTGGGGTGGAAGCCACTGTGTTAGCAGTTAGAGCAGAATGTGCTTCACAAAGCAAGCAGTGTCTGATAAATGATTGTTGACATTCCACAAGCCCATAGCTGTTGTCCTTCTTCAGTGCACTTCAAGAATGACTCAGTGCCCCGAATTGTTCTAGCAGGTGGACAGGAAGCCTCTTCAGGAAAGTGCAAGCTGGGAGTGGTTCGATTTCCTTTCTTACAAATTTTCGCTTGGGGTCAATAATTGTTTTTCCAGTGTGAATTTGTGCAAATGTTTTTCAGAATTCATTTGTCTGTGTTTAGACAGCTCGGAGCTTGCCACACTGAGTGGACTCAATTATTTTGCATGCAACAAGTTTTCAATTTTCTTTTGAAGGGACAGCTAGAAAATACTGATCTTATTTCCCTGATTTATGTTCCTCTTAAGCCTAGAGCTCTTAAAGAACAGAAATAATGATGCTGAAAATGTAAATTCATTTATTTGACTGCCAAATAATGGGAAACACAAGCAGACAATATTTTGTTTTTCTATGCAAATATTGACCTACATGTTCACTGTTTGAAATCCAAAATACGCAGCCACTAGCTTCAACCCTTATATCTTTACATCAATCTTTGTGGTAGCTTTCAGAAGGGGATGGAAACTTATGAGTAAACAAACATTTTTGTTTTTGATTATTACAACTTCAAATAGTCAGAATGGTTGTTTGATACATGCTTTCTCAACAGTGAAAATGCTATCACTGATAGTAAAAAAAAAAAAGTCTTAAAGATTGCATGGTGACATTCTCACAGGGCCGAGAGCAGGAAGACGGGGAGCCAGAGAGCAAAAAAGCTGCACCGGAGGAGTCCACCGAAGAGAAGCACAGGTCGGTTCATCTGAACCAATGCACATGTTACTTCTGTGTCTTTCTCTCAAATGTCCTTCATATTTGTTGTGCTTTCATCATTGTTTGCTCACTATCGCTCCCCATTTTGACCAAGGTTCTTTTAAGTTACACAAACGGAACTGAAACTGATCTGGAAGTGCATGTTCAGAGCGTTTATCTGCCCTTTATCTTCACAGCAGAGCATGTCTCAGAGCAGGTCGTGAGGCGCAGTGTTTACACTGGGCTGGACAACAGCCCACCGCTATTAGCTGCTCAAATATCCCACAGCTCGCTCAACTTCATGTTCGTTGGTAGGCCAGAGCAGCAATCTTTCCTGTCCTGCAGGAGCTTTTTTTTTTCCATTGTGTATATTTAGGGACTTAGCTGTGAATGCCCCTGAGGGAGTGTTGCTGTAGTAGCCAGTACAGCAGGACAGGTCGCTTCATGAGGGTCAAAATAGCTGCAGGGGTAGTAATAAACTACTTTTTGAGATTTTTGCATGAAAGACTGTTTGAGTGCAGTTTTCTTGTTCGTTTCTCTCCAGTAGGGTGGGAGTATAACGTATAACGTATCCTGTGAACGGCATTAAAGTTTCATAGGAGCTCAAATTGCCAAACTAAAGCAGGGAAGTGAAAAAACAAAAAACAATGCAAATGTTTCTTCCGTCTTTACTTGTTTTAACTGAGGGATGTTTAAAATGTTAATTTCAATTATTGCTGCCATGCAGAAGTTTCTCATGCATCATGTGAAATGTAGAAAATGTTTCTTTTTTTAGTTCCCAGAGAAGGAAGTAAGAAAATCCCATGTTGTTTCAATTAAGATGAAAAATACTTATTTCTTTTACATGGTTTATGTTTTTTATGTCTTATTTAACCCTGGAGAATGAGGCAAGTAGGTTGATGAAATGTGTAGTTAAACACACTTTAAAGACTCAGAATCTTTAAAATGAGGACCAGCAAAGTGCAACAGTCATTACAGGTCAAACATTCACTCACAGTCTGCATTCTCTGCTATTTATGACACTTAAAATCATATTTTTCCAGTATATCTGTGCCCATTTCTATTTCAGGCTTGCAGGAATTTTTTTTTACATTTCCAGTCTGAGCTGGTGGCCTTGAAAGTCCTCAGAATTATTCTTTGATCCCCTGACCTGCTGTCCCAGAGTAAAAGGTTACATTTTCTTAATGCAAGCTCGGCAATGATCTTAGAATTAAATGGCCCAAGACATATTTTCTGTTGTATTCATGGTGATACCTTCATGTTTATGCTGACCTTTGGACATGAAGTTCTTCTTTTCTGGAAGTACCTCAACCTCATAGTAGAGCCAGTACATTTGCATGACATGTGGTTCACACTTTTTCAGCTGCATCTTAGACCAGAGAGGACAATTAAAATCCACACTATTTTGCCTGTTCTTTGGCCATTACCCCCCGCTGTACTTGCCTCAGAATTGCCACACATGAAATTGCATAATGTCGTTTAAGAATTTGCAGAACACACCCAGGTTTGCCGTAGTTTTATTTAGAACAATTTGATGCCTTTTTAATGGCATCATCAGTTGTAGAAAGGCGACTGGAATCGTTGGGACAATGAAGGGAGATGAGGTGTAACAGTTCCCAGCCAAAGTGGGGATGTTACTCTCATTGTATTGTACATTATATCAGTTTGTTTATATTCAGCTAGATACGCTTTAATCTCGAAGCCCTTTTTGTTTTTGTTGCTTTATTAAAACTGGCACGAAAGTTTACCCATCAGGCTATTAGGTGTTTGATAATCAGAGAAGAGAACAAGACACTATGAACTCAGACTGGTCCTTTGCTTGCCAGCAGCAAATCCCGACCAGTTCCCCTGCCCATATCCATCCATACAAGGCATTGTTCTGTCCGTCTGGTAGCTTGAGCATGATGAACATATCACAAGCTTACCTTCTTCATCTTAACTGCAAATCCCTGTAAATGTCAGCAAGTATTTTAGTCTGTGCTTGTACAGAAAATAATTTACCTCCGCTTTTGGACCCTCAGTATGGTCTGCAGAGATGTCAGCTAAACTCGCCAAGAATTCCTCTGTGTGTAGACGTGATGAAAGACAGCATAATTCAACAGTAAGGGAAGAATTCCTCAGCTGTTCGCTGCTCTCCTCAAGTCTGTGGCCAGGAGCAGGTGGGACATGTTAATCAGATGTGTGCACAGAAATAAAGGGGGACATTATACCTCCTTTAGACATTGGGTGTGCAGCTGTGAAGGGAATTCAGATGGTCCTTTATGCTCCTTAGTCCATAGAGAAATATATTTGCCAACACTGCCACCTACTGGACTATCGACAGGGAGGCGATGTCACTGGACATGAAAAAGTATGCTCAGATTTATTTGTATTTCTGTCTCCAGAGAGCTAAAACTGAGGAATTACACTCCAGAGGACGAAGAGCTGAAGGACAGGCAGGTGCCCAAAGCTAAACCCGCATCAGGTGAGAACTCCTCAATGAGAAAAGAGCTTCAAAAGACACATGAACCATGGTCTATTTAAGACCATTTATGACCTAACTGGCTGCATATTATCACCCAAATGTGTTTTATATGTTTTTGACATCTAAAGTGAGCTTTTTTCCTCTCGTTGTTGTGGGTGCTGTGCTGGTTGGATGATTTATCACCATATTCATCACATGCAGTGGAAGATAAAGTAAAGGATCAGTTGGAAGCAGCTAATCCAGAGCCAATAATTGAAGAAGTGGTAAGTATTCCTTTTTGTCAGAACACTGTTTATCGAGGGATCTTTACTTTGGCCAATAAACTGGTAACTTTCCACAGGATTTGGCAAACCTTGCTCCAAGAAAACCAGATTGGTAAGACCTTTTCTAAAACACTTGTCAGGCTATATTATAGTGCACAGAAATAGTTACTGACTTTCTCTTTGCTTTGCAATGCTGACTTCAGGGATCTAAAGCGTGATGTGGCAAAGAAGCTGGAGAAGCTGGAGAGGAGAACACAGAGAGCCATCGCCGAGCTCATCCGTTAGTATTTCCCATCTCGTGTGTTTCAGTTTAACCACAGCATGTTCATGACAGCACTCACAGAATCCTGCCCGAGCTGGGCAAGAATTAATAGGCTAATTGCTCTGGGGCTCCCAGACTTTGGTGGTATGTTTCCATCTGATAACATCACTGATGAGATTTCTCCTCTGATGGGTCTAAAAATAGGTGGAAGCTTTCAGGGGAATACAGTCCACATTTAACAGTGATGAGAGTTTTCCCTTGTTTCTAGGAGATATTGTTAGACTGTATTTAAAAGCCCTGAAAGAACAAAAAGTTATACAGAAACAGTCCTCCCTTTTGAAATTGTCGGATTTGTGACACATGACAACAGACTATTGGGAATATACTTGAGGAAATGTGATTTGACTTGCAGTGTACCATCAATGAGCAGTTTCTGACCAATGCCAAACTTGAAGGAGGCAAGAAATGAATGAATGAAACACATTGAATCTTTGTTTTTTCTATGTTTGTGCTTTCAGGAGATCGCCTGAGAGGCAGCGAGGAGGAGTTGGCCGGAGCTGTGGGAGCAGTAAGAGCTGAAGATGGAGATTCAGATTGAATAAAAGATGTAAAGAGGGGACAAAGGAGACTGAACAGGGGGCTTAATGTGAAGACGAAGGTGGCTGGAGTTGTACTTTACATATCATAGCATTTTCTGTATATGTGGTTAATTGAGGTGCATTATAACTGGCGATGCTTTTTGTCATATTTTTTAAGATTTGAAGTAAAACAATGTACATTTTGGCTATTTCTGGTAATTTTGTTTTTATTTTAAGGTGGGAAATGACCTGGGGATGTTGTAATTGGTCAGGTCCAGTAATGGGATTTGTACTAAAAATTTGGTCATATTCTGTCTGAATCCACCAAGTTACCCAATATTTCGAGCTATATGTATATATTTCTTTCCAAATGGAATGGACATATTACAAGTTGGGCCTGACAGGATTCAATGAGGATAGCCACACTGGCAACATGTAGAATGTGCTACACAATACTGGTTATGGTGATTAGGTTTAGCACCAAACCTAAAATATATATTTATATGTTGTAAATTTGTCCTGGCCAGGTATTGTATATTCAGGTACAGAGACGGTTTATTTGGAAAGGACTGTAAGATTGGAAAGAAAGGTACTTCTATATTTACAAAAATCAGAGTTGAGATGATGGATTAATAGAAATCGTTCCAATTTATCCGACTAATAGTTTTATATTCTACCAAACCTTTTGAGCAGTGGATGTCACGATCCTCTGATCTCACGCCGAGCATCCAAAAAGGCAAGAACACACATTTTGTATACATATTTATTGAGAAATTACCTGAAGATTCACTCTCTATGACTTAGTGACCCCTAAGCACTCAATGGTAGGTAATGCAACATCAATGTCTTGCTACATTAGAATCAAAAGCTGGTTTTGATTCAATGGGTGATAAATAGAAGAACAAATAGGAACAGTAAGCAGTATTTGGTATGACTTTTACTAGTGATATCTATTGCAAGCGTTGATCTGAAATGCTCGTGCTCCTCCTCAATAAAGTGCTTCTTCCGTCCACATAGGCCCAAACGGTCTCCCTCAGCAGGAGATTATTGCACATTTCATTCCATGCAAGGCCACCTTCTCCCAAACAACGGTCCCCCCCAGTTTCCTCAAAAGGCGAGTGATAAAGGCTCTAAAGAAATACTGAGCATTGAATTGCTGCTCATCTGAAAATCACATAAACTACAAACATATCTGACTTGGATGTTGCATGATAAGCAGCCCACACCATAGCTACTCCTACGCACGACAACCTTCAAATACATAACACACTTAGCAATGAAGCTCACAAACTACAAACATTTATAGGAGGATGAGTAATACTGGATAAACTGAAGTGCTGACTGTGGCTGTGGAGGCCTCTCTTGACCCTGATGCAGCCTCAAACACTGTGATGGCTGCGGAGGATGTGTCATGTCTGTTTTGTTTTGTCGATAAAAACCAAATGAGATACAGTGGTTCAAACAAGTCCCTAGTCTTACATCATTGGGAGGTTGGCTCTCAGATTGGAAGAATAAATACGCCAGCATGCAGATTATCTAATGGTAACGTTTCACCCGTGACAGAAGCAGATGGTGGCGAGGAGGATCTATAGTTGACCTCAACTGCAGATTTAGCCCTTGTTCAGGATTGCTGCCTCCTTTTTTTTTTACTTAAGTGTAAAATTGGCTTGTAGGGTGGATGATAATCTGATTCATTTATGAGTCCCTGGGGATTCATGGCTGTTAGTCAAGCTGTGATCCTCCAGATTCAATCTTCCTGGCTGCAGGGCCCAGTTCCACTTTGCACACCCTCTGAGCAAACTTCAGGGAGCATAATGTCTCCCCCACATTACTCTCCAGAGCAGACACCTTTGTTGGGACAAAATCAGAACCTTTATAAGAACTGGCATTTGCTGTGACGCAGTAGTGCTGAATGGGGCTTGAGGAGGACTCTTACCTGCACTACCATCGCCGTCTTGCTGCCTTTACCCAGGGAGTCTTGTAAAAGGTAGGTGAGGCGAGAGTTCCTGAAGGGGATGTGAGTCTGCCGCGCCCGGAGAGCCTGAATGACGTCTCCCAGTGACAGCAGGGAGCGGTTGATGTTTTGGGCTTCTTTTAACCTTTCTCCCTCAGCTCCGGACTTCCAGACCCTCTCTGAGCCTGCCAGGTCCACCAGGTTCAGTTTTCCTGGAAAAGGAATAATGGAATGAGGGTCATAGTGCATTGGTACAGTCATGCTCACAACAATTAGTGCACGCCCACTCTTGATTTTGACCCATTCAACTGATACATCTGTGGAGAGTTAGGTATAAAAACCTTTCTACCCTCTACGCAGACGCTTTCGCTCTGGAAGGAGATGATGGATTCATGACCAACCTGTGGTTTTTGAGCCGCTGGCCAGGTCGGTGCCCTGAACAGTGATGCACAACAGAGCATGAGAGCGCGAGCTGTGCTGGTTCATCTGAGTTCCAAAGGTGATGCGGTTCCTTCGGGCTGTGGCTAAAATCTTCATTAACGCAAAAATAAATCAGCACCAGTGTAACAGTACATTCTTTTTCAATCATGCTGAAAGATGAGTGAGACATATGAGGGACATCCAGCACCTTCTTGATGTGCTGAAAGCTTTTAACTTCTATAACTCTGAGGCCCGGAACATGCAGCTGTCCCGTTCCATCTGGGTTGATCTTTATGTCCAGTTTCTCTCCATCCTTACTCAGCAGGTCTCTAAAAAAACAGAACAGAAGTGTCACCATCGAAAAGCAGTATATTAAGACTTTTTCATCTAAAGTGCTGTCAAAAGTGAGAAACAGCTAACTACCTGAGCACCTCATTGTAGATCTCCACAGAGTTGACTGTGACAGAGTAAGACCACATGTCCTTTCTCTCCTCGATCTCACTGAAGAGATGTTTAAGAGCTCGCTGGTTTATTCCTGGGTTTTCTACACTTCCCTGGAAAGCAAAGCTTACTGGATTAATGGGGCATGTTGGGGCGTGTTGCTGAACGATCTCTGTCAGAACATATAGTAGCATACCTCCATTGTGTATGTCTTTCCCGAGCCTGTCTGCCCATATGCAAAAATGCAGACGTGGTAGCCATCAATGCAGGACGTCACGAGGGGCTCTATCTCCTGAAAGACCTGATCAAACCGAATCAGGGGTTAGATGAAGGGTTACAGGTCGAGCCATTCTGACTATTTCACCCACTTCCTCCTCACTACCTCTTCCTGAGTGGCCTGTGGGTGGAAAGCCTTGTCCAGCTCAAAGACGCGGCCCTTTCCTTTGCTGAGCACAGTGAGGGAGGACTCATTGTTGGGGTCTGTGGTCACAACCACAGACTGGCCCTCTTCGTGTTGGTCTTCCTTAAGCACGGGTTTCACCCGACACAGCACGCGGATGTTACCTTACAAAAAGCAGCCAAAGGCCTCAGTCAGTGGGGGGGTTCAGTTTCTGGAAAGGACTTTGTGTTTCCCGACTTCATACCTTTAAGCTCCACCAGCTGCTCGTGATACTTCCTGCGCAGTGCAACCTCTTTCCTGTATTTCTCTAGAAGATCTTTGTTGGCTTCAGACATCTCACTGATAGCGGCTGAAACCTTAGCAAAGACAAAATGCAGAACAACGGTTATGTAGGTGCAGTGTCTACTATCCTCAGCTCCGAGTTAGAACACATGTGTGAGACTAAATACCTGCTTTTTTGCTTCACTGATAGCTGCTCCATAAAACTCAGAGAAATTTCGGACCTGGCTCCTCAAGCTGGCGTAGTCGGTTTTCATGGAACGTAAAGTTGGTGGAAGTGCGGTCAGACGCTTCTGCAAGGCTGACAAAGGGAATAACCTGTTGAGAGACCTGATCTAATCCTATTAAAATATCTTGCTTTCCTCCAGCAAGTCATGGACTCACTGAAGAATTGGTCCTGCAGGCTCTGAAAGTGTTCGGCCGAGCAGCTGGCCGCAGCCTTGACCGCCTCCTCCTTCTTCTCCTCCAAGTGGCCGATCTCCCTCAGCAGCTCCTCCCTCAGTTTGCCGATTTCTCGCTCATATGCCGCGATCTGCGTTTGAGAGATATTTTAAAATCTAGAGGACCATTTGTCGGTCTTTTGGCTCGAGCATTCCAGTTCGCATCATTGTATTTCACATGCAAGCCCGCTTAAAACCACGTTGAAAACATTTAGTGCTAAAGAGAGACCTGCCCTCCCTTTGTTACCTTGTGCTGCAGATTACAGCTGTGTTCATCCGACTTCCTGATCTGTTCCTCCAGATGTTTGCACCGCTCATTCTGACCGGACAGCCTCTCTGACAGCACTTCATTCCTCTGCCTGGCTTTATTCAGCTGCTTTACTGTAGCAGGTGATTCCACCTCCACAGTCTGGGTGACATACTGGCAGACACGGTCAGAATCTGATTAGGACTATGTCCTTTGAAGTAATAAGAAGAAACAGTCAATTTGCCCCACATATAACTGCACTGGAATTGTGTCTCTGAAATAGTAAGCTCAAACCCATCTCAGCCGGATGATTTACCTTAACAACCGGCTCCTTGCCTCTTTCTCTGTCCAGCTCCAGCTGCAGCTCCCTCACTCGGTCTTCTCGTTTCCTCAGCTCCTCGCCTTTCCTCCAGTCACTTTGTTCACTCTTTCGCTCCAGCTGTGAGAGCTGCTCAGCGCGCTGCTGAAGCGAGAGCTCCAGCTGCTGCACCCTGCTGCGGAGATTCTCATTCTCCTGCAACGCAAAATAAAAGCAAATTACGGGTCGGATGTATTCTGGAATAGTACATAGGAGAGCCCTGGGCCCGGCCGACGCCTCTCACCTTGATGAGCATGGTGCTGGACTGGGACGGGATGGCTGACAGCTGCTGCAGGAGGCCTTGTGTGACGCTCAGACTCTGCTTGAGGCCCTCGTTCTCCGCAGAGAGACACAGCACCCGCTTCTCTGAGTCCGTGGCCCCCTGAGGGCATGAAACGTACAGCTGAGCAACAGCAAAACATGAACATTATCCTTGCCGCGGCATGTTCCTCCACCATCATAATCAAAGTGCTGCATGTGCGCCTCTTGGCATTGGCAGCTCTTTTTTTTCATTGCTGACAGAGTGGTGGCTTTGCTGATGGCAGGAAGACGGGAAAAATGCTTAAACCAGTCGTTTGCTGGACTCACAGTGGCTGTCTTTAGCCGTGAAAGCTCCTCCTCTCGCTCCTCTATGCAGTTCTTGAGCTCGTCAATCTGTGAAAAATTGGAGCAGTTAAAGATCCTGCAGAAAATATAATAATTTACAATTATAAATAAGATCTATGTTAAATCACCAGAGCTTGTAACATTTTTTCAAAGAAAGAGGAGGGACATTTTCTTTAGCCCAAGCAGCAGTGTCGAGGCAGTTGCACAGAATCACATCAGTTATTCAACATTTGGTATTTATATAAAACATCAGATGTGAGAACTATAATAGGCTTTAGAATATTAACTTGTTCCCCGACTGTGTCTGTCCATTATTAAATGAATTATGTAAAAACCAGAGGTATACCTGCTGTTGAAAGGATTGTATCCGACAGTGTCTGTCTCTCTCTTTTTGCTCCAGTTGTGAATGCAGCAGACGTAGTTCTCCTCTTAATTTACTCCTCTCGCCCTGCAGGCCATACAGAGACTCTACCAGCCTGTGAACCCCAGCTTGAGCCCCTCCATCACTGCAAGACTCACCTAAGGTGTAAAGAAATGTAAATCTTTTTAATTTCTTTCAACTTTTCTGTAATCTTTTCATTTAAGAGCGCTTGCCACAGCACACTGAGGCACCCACAACTGTGTAGATTATTAATTCTATAGAGATATGCACAAATTATCAAGCATTGCATCTAAAAATATAGACTGCATACTGCAATTGGGTTGCCATCTTTGTCCCTGCGTTTAAACACCTAAGCAGGATCAATGCATCCAGAAGCATGAAATCGAAACAACCTCCTAAATCCTCCATTTTTGGCTATAAAGAGCATGAGCAGGATCCCCAACTGCATTTCATCATCGTCATTTTCCTCCCCTGCAGCGATTTATCAGGCTCTGTCACCTCTGATATTCATTGCCAGACTATTTTTATCAACACAGCATGTTGGGTTAGCAGAGTCACAGCACTTTCAGGGAAGGTGGAAATGGCAGAAACAATTTTAAAAAATGGAGAGGAGGCAGCTGCACAAAAACTGAAATGGCACAGACAATGCTATCTGACACGGAAGAAATGCACTTGTTTCTGCTAATGAAACAGAAAATGTTCGATATTCACCACAGCCAAGCAGAAAAGTGACAGACACTGATGCTAACTGCATGGCACTGAAACTCGGCATTATTCTGTCCATTTTTCAAACAAACCCCACGGCTTTAGAAACGCTGGGATGTGGACCTCCGGCTATTTTTATCCCCACACATTTACACGTGCTGGCCAACATGTGCCAGACCTTGTACGTGCTCTTGCAACACATAAAACAGCACTAACAGACATGATTAATTCATGCCAGCAAGTCACAGAACCACGGAGTCGCTGCTCACACACTGAAGACTCCCTTTGCACAGTCATGTATCTTTACCCAGCAACTAAAGCCAGCTGTGCACTCATGCAACATTTAAGCAGAGATCCCTTGCCTAAATGATCTCACATGCTGAAATGTGCATGACCTGACCTGAATGCATGTCTACTGAATGTGCGATCATACATATTGACATATATCTCTGAGGATTCATCGGTCATCGCACGGTCAGGGATCTGCCTGTGGCTCCATGGCACCTGTTAACAGGCCGAGCGTGGGAGAGACCGAGTGATGCAAGAGGGAGGCGGTGGGTCCTGCTCTGAAGTGAAGTACGGTCTGGTTAAAAGCGAAACGCCACAGACACACACATCTGAGGCTCTGAGGTCTGACAGTTGTGCAGGATTTGACTGGTCTGTGACATCACCGATGGCAAACCACACACACTCCAGTTAAATCAAATCATATACTAATAAAATCTAACAAGCATCGTGTTTCTAACATAAACATGTTGTACCAGCAATTCCTTAAATTTCCTCTCAGTTCAGTTCAGGTTATTCAATGGAGGCTGAATATTTCTGGACTTCCAGTCTAAGCGAAAGCACAAATTTTTCTCATGTTTATTGCATTAGCTCATGAGTTCATCTATTGTAACATGTATGAGAGAGCGGCTTCGTCCACTCATCTTCCTTTAAAGTCTCATATGGTAAATCTACATTTAGTCCTATGCACAATCTTTAGCTTATTTCCACATGAGCGGATCTACATGTGAGTGCTGTCCCAGAAGAAGCTTTCTCATCTTTTCATTATATACACAGCATGGGAGTGGAAACCCGTCCCTCCTGCATCTCTTCCCCCTCCCCCTCCGTCACACCTCCCCCTCTGGCTGCTCACCCTCACTGAGGGAGCTGGGGCTGGGTTGCTGACTGATGGCCTCCTCCAGGCTGCTTATGATGCTGTTCTTGTCCCGCAGGCGCTGGCGGTAGGAGGCCCTCAGAGCCTTCATCTGGCGGCGGTGCTGGACGCGGTGCCTCTTCAGCTGGACCCGGTACTGGTCGGCTTGTTGCTGCAGCTGCTGGAAGTGGGAGTACTGCTCCAGAAAACTCAGCAAGTGGGACATCACGGCCACCAGGGGAGAGTCTGCCAGCTGCGCGGTACAGAGGAAGATGCAGGAGGTTTAATGTCGGTGCCAAAGTCCTACTTAGGGAGCTGAGATGTATGCTGCTCCGCTGCATCAGGTGGGCGGTGCGGCAGCGGGGACACGGCAGGATTACCTTTCCTGCTGTTTCCAGGTGAGCCTGGGAGGCTTTCCTCTTTTCGGTCTCTTGCTTGAAAGTCAAAAAGGCGGCTAGAGGAGTACATGCTGGGATGTCTGAAGCATTATCCTCAATCTCATCACTCAGTTCATCACTGTCGCTGCTACTGCCTGAGTCACATCACAGAAACAAATGAGTGACCGTCTGTACATTTACTGTAATATTCAGTAAATTACCGGAAACAAAAAAAAATTATGTTGTCATTCCTATGCTGTGCAAATGTTTTGTTGACTTACTTGACTCACTAAAGTGAGCACAAGCTTTTTTTCTCATCCTGGGGGTGTGGCCATCTCTCCTCCTGCTCCCTGTTTCCATGGAAACAGGTCCCGGCTCCTGAGCCCAGAATCATCATATGCAAGGGTCACAGAGTACCACATAAACATACACTTGGAAGAGCAGTGCACATTTAAAATAAAATCACAGATATGTTCAACAGAATGGAATGGAAGAAAGTATGGGACACCTTTAGCCCCATGCAAACAAGAAAATAAATCGGATAAAAGATCCCTGAGGCAGACGTACGTCTGGGGAAGCTCCACTTGCCCCTTCCAAGGCATCCTCCTCCTCTTTCTTAAAGACAGTGTAGAAGATGTAGACTAAAAGGGAGTAGAAGGCATACATCTTCACACCATCCAAGAGCCCTGCCAATGACAAATGACCTCATGATCTCACATGTTATTTCCCAGATATTACTCTTCTAAAAAAAATAAAGTGGGCAAATAAGGCATTGTATGTAAACAAAATCGGTCTTAATATACCAGGATTCCTCCTGAGATTAAGCATCTATTCTATTTTTAGTCACCTCATTCCATCGTGCTAAATTCCCCTCGGTTTTACCTCATCAAATGCTTTCTCCTCCTCGACTGTGTGTTATTCCGGCCGTTTGTTTCCTGCTGTCACGCTCCATCCCCAGCCTTCCCCGAGCGTCTCTTTCTCTCTGAGCTGCAGCAGCATCCCTGCACTGTGTGCAGCTCCTCTGTGGCACCTTCTCACCCATTCTCCTCCCCTTTTCTCCTCCTCCTCCTCCTCCTCCTCCTCCTCACCACCTTCCTCCATCTACAGGCTGCATCTGCAGCGAGCATGCTCAGTGTGGTTTCCTGATCCGCTGCAGTGGTGAAGTGACAGATGCAGGCTGATATGGAGACTGATGGAGGCTGGGGGGCTGATGTTGGTACCAGCAGAAAGAGCGAAAAAAGGACATGGAAGACAAAGCTTTGATTGTCTCATGCAAAATAAAAAACGTCCATGTTGAGCAGATTAACATTACTAGAAAGATCTGAAGAAAACAACAGATACGTTGTAGAAGGAAGACAACAAATGATGTTTTGTTTTGTTTAATTAGTTTGTATTTATTTAGGTTACAAGTTATCTTATAATTGAGACTCCTGGGAAATATGAAACAAATAATTAAATAACCTGAGCTTTAAACATACACTTGAAAAATACTAATATCAACTCATACAAACGTACATGTGCTAGCTAAATCGTTGAAAATGTTTTTTTAAAAATCACTTTCCCACAGATGATCACAGAACCACAGAGGGCTGCCCGTACGCTGCAGTAAACCAGCTGAGGCTGCTCATTCCCCTGAACTCCTGGGAGACAATCTGCAGCATTCAGTATAAATCTGAGAAGAGCTTCAGTGTCCTGCAAGGAATGTAGTTAGGCTACATTTAAAAAATCCATATCAAAGTGACAATGACTTTTACCAGCAATTCAAATAATCACAAGAGCTGTTACCAACCAAGACTGTTAAAAAAAAGCCAGTAATACGAATCAAAGATGATGATGAGGTAATAACTGGGCCATGAATGTTGATCACTGCAGATATTCTGACCGATGCTGCTGAGGCTGCAAAACAAATATTTCCCAGGCTCAGAGGTAGGGCTGAAGGTTTTTTGCCCAAAACTGTTATTAAGGAGATGTGTATAAGGTGCATACTCGTATATTCCTGTACTATATTTGCACATAATTGTGCACATTTCTTTCAATCACTGCATGAATGATTAATCAAATGTAATTTCTAAAAACAATGTACAAAGAAAATGAGCAAATCTTACGCCTTCCAGATTTTAAAGTTGGGTGATATCTTACTAATTTACGCAGGTAAATTAACTTTGCTTATTTGTCGAAACTCAAACTAATTAACATTTAATAGTCAGTTATATAAATAGATCTGTAATCATTCAAAAGTCACATTGATCAGTCACATCCAACAGAAACTTGTGAAGAGCTTGTTTTGAGGCCCAACAGCCTACCGTTAATGAGCCTTTCAAAAGCCATTTCGTCAGTCCTTCTGAAGCTGCCGATAGAGGATCAAGAGCTTTGGCTCCCACTCTCTGAGCCAGAAGTGATGGAAGGCTGAGGGCCACCCCGCCCAAGGCCCCTAAAGCATTTCCAGCAAACAGACACACCGTCAGGCAGCAGGACATGGATGTCAGACCCAGGCAGCGAGTCATGGTGGTGAGGGTGTCTTCGGAGAGCCAGTCGGAGAGTCCCAGCAGCAGACAGGAGCCACACAGGAGCACACGAGCAGTGTTGTGGTCCTGACTGAGCCAGAGGAAGTCAAAGGAGACCAGCGCTGGGGCCAGCACCTCCGCGGCCCACTCTGCTTCTCTCTGAAGGGAGGCCAGGTACGAGCTGAAGGGATGGAGGATGCAAAGTGTTGCAGAGAGGCCAAGCACAAAAAAGCCAACCGAAGGGCCCCTGTGGTCCTGCAAGAGAGGCAAGTCCAGAGGAAGAAGTATCATTACAGATTGGTAAGTTTAATATTCACTGATGAACTCCATTCTATTACAAAATGTAAACCATAGGTGTGTATTACAATTTCAAACAGAAAACCTTGATAAAAACTGTCAAATGTCCACTAGTCATTTCAATACGTTAAACGTCTGGTCGTTGTAAGCTAAGCGTTTTAAGTTAAAACCTAACTTTGTTGACACTATTGATGAAACAATTAGCAGCAAGTCAACAATTTTGATACAGAAAACGCAACATGTGCTACACACTTTACGAACCCACCTTAAATAGCTTGTAGGACGCACGCAGCGCTACGGCAGACAAAACGGCGTCAGAGCAGCGCGTGAGCCACGCTGTGGCGGAGGACTCCATGGATGCCGAAAACTACCCTCCGCGACCCCAACCGACACCCAGGTCACCAAAGCCAAGAGAGAAAGTTTAAGTTAACGTAGCGTAGCGAGTCGGTTAGAATAGCTGGAGCTGCCAGGGAGTGGGTCACCACCACCAAGACAGAACACAACACTGAATCTTGTGGAAAGGACAGTTGCTCGTTTGTTGTTACACGTGACACGTTCCAACGTCGACAATGCGCAGACTCTTGGAGAGGCGTTGAGGTTACTCGTACTTCCCACGGCTTCCTGGCCGTTTTCTAATCTTCTCTCCCGTCATGTTCAGCGAGATCTTCAGAATTTCTATGACGTTGTACATCATATGCAGCACAACATACAATTTCACGTATAACAGAAATATTACAACTTTCTGAAAGGTGTTGGTATCTTGGTTTTGAGAAATTAATTCAAACAAGTTTGATAAGTATCCAAAGGACTACTTTTTCTAAAATTAGGATTTAAATATTTTAAGTTTAAATGGCTGAATGTTTACACAAATAACCAAGTCATTACGCCAAATTAAGAATAATTTAATTTATGCTTATTGAATAAAAAATAAAAGTTGTTTACCAATTTGTCTGCTTGGTTCTGTGTTCTCAGAAAGATAACTTGTGTTCGAACAAGTTTTTTTCAATTTTATTTCCAACATTCGTGAAGGCATCATATGTTCGAAAAGTATGGCGGCGGAGACTTTAACAACACTGACTGAGCAATGGATACGTGAGAGATTACAGTTAAAACATCCATATCTCGGTAAGGCTATCTTAACATTGTATACCAAAGTGTTACTATGTACCAGTATACTTCATGGGTAATACGCCACATTTAGTTTGTTTTGTTTTATAGTTGTACTATTACGGTTTTGTCAGGCCTTTGCATTAGCCAACCACAGCTAACATAGCATCAACTGTCACTAGCTTGAAAGCAAAGAACAAAAGGAAGGCACTACAGCACATAGTCAATTCTAATAACGTTTTTCTATCTTTGAAACAGGTGATGTCCGATCACTGAGGCTTCCGGGGACGTGTGAGGAGAAAATACGACATTTGGGAAACGCATTTACAAACTTTATCCGTCTGAAATCTCTGGATCTCTCCTACAATGCGCTCGTTTCTGTGGAGGTTCGTGTAATATTTAAACATGCCCAAGTGGAGTGTTTAAGAATCCTATCCGTGATATTTCCAATTCATCATGTGAAAATATGTTTCCTTCATCAATTTATATAACGTTGTTTTGGATGGTGTTTGAAGGTGTTTAAAACTGTTGCAAATCGTTGGATAGATATGGTCCAGCTCCCCTATGAAATAATACAGCTGTCTTTCCAGGGGGTGCAACACCTGAAAATGTTGGAGAGGCTGATCCTCTACTACAACTGCATACCTTCCCTCGAAGAGGTGACAGTGCTCTTTGAGCTTCGGGCTTTAAAAGAGCTAGACCTCAGGCTCAACCCTCTGACCAAGAGCTGCAGAGACTACCGTCCATACCTGGTGCATTGCATGCCCAGCCTGCGAAAACTTGGTATGATCTGACTGCAGTGCTCACGTTTACATTTCTGGTCACAATTGACCGTTAATAATGGCACACTTTGGCCTTTCAGATGACTGCTCAATCAGTGACACAGAGCGAAAAGTCGCCATCGTGCAGTTCTCCTCCGATCTTCCTCTTCAGCCGAAGGGCTCCTCTCTGAATGTGGCTGAAAATCTAAGGTACACTAAACGGGACTATTTAAATGAGTTTCAAGCCTTTCTGCATTAATATTTAGTTTCAGTTGTGTCTTACAGTTCCTCGGAGACCTGTAAAGGATTTTTTTTTTTTGGTATAAAAATGAACCCTATCTTCCCTTTTGCTAAGGATTCCATAAATTAGTCTCAAAGTGTGGAAGTATTTTACTAAATCAAGAGAAAAGAATGAGTAATCTTTGGAATTCATCCCAATAATTATAATCTATATATATGCAGATCATTTGACCCAAAGTCAATCAGAAAAAAAAGTTTTGCTGCTGTTTGCTTAAGTTGTGTCTTTGTCTTGTTTGTTGTGGTCAGAAGCAGTGATCAAAGATCGGCTTTAGTCAACAGCTTGACCAAGAGGCTTTCTCTTCCCACGGACACTCAGGATGTTGTGTTAAACTTTGTCACAGCAAGTCACGGAGGCCAAAGTGAAACCATCTATGACTCTATTTACAATGAAGCAAATGGTAAGAATTCAAATTCTAACCGCAAATCCCGAAGAAAAAACAACTGTTGAGTTTCTGGCCTTTATTCAAATTTCAAATATTTGTTTTATGCTTCAGAACCTAAAGAGAAAGATCCTGATTATAAAGAACAAAGGAGTTCAACTCCAAAACAGGTGAGTTTGATTTATTTTCTTTCCCCCTATGTCTTACAATATTTGTAGTCTGTTCGCATTGAACAAGCAGCTGTTCTTTGACTTTTAGGAATATGCCAAATCCATCCTCAGGCATCCCTACACTAAACGCGGTAGGTGTGCACCCTTTTAATTAGAGCCATGGAGTCACCTGTGTCTGTCAGTGGTTTATTAGCACGACAGGGCTCGTAACGTTTTTTCCACCCTGCCTTTGCAGTAAAACGTCATTCTAAGTGTTTTAAAAAAAGAAAAAGTCTAGTTATTTTGTTGTATGATTACCACTAGGGGGAGACAGAAGCCCAAGTAACTTCTCTTTTTTACAGAGCGTTTATGGGAGGTCAGTTAATATCACTTCTCTTTTGTGTTATCTATCATTTTCCAGATAACTCTGAGTCCAAAGGGCAGCAGATTAATGAACACACTCACAGAAATAGCTCTACCTCATCTAAAGTGGCTGAGAGGCCAAAAGTGTCCTTCTGGCCTTTTATAGAGAAGCACAGACCTGTTACAGGAAAACAAAAGGACCTGCCAAAACAAAGCCGACATGTAGCCAAGGGGCATTTTACTCCAAACCCTGGTAAGAATTGAATCTGTAGCTAACAGGCTCACGCAGATCCATAAATGCCAAAATTCACCTTCGCTGATTGAGAGGGAATGTGTTTATAATATTTTTCCAGGCCAAAGTGTCGGTCAGGGCTCTTCACTTATTAATATCCGGCCTCCCAGTCCACTGCGCCCTGGTTTGAATCTGTCTGATCCCTCTAACCCCATCTTACATCCGGCAAGGCTCACCTACGCTAACTTCAACAAGACAGAAGGGAGCAGCCACCAGCAGCCTCAGGCCGAAAAGAAAAAAAGGGTTTATACTCTTAATTTATTTATTTATTTTTTCTCTTAATTAGGAGCTTATTTAAGGCATGTTTTGTTAAGGGCTGTCTTACATAAACTTTCTTTGAATTTCCTTCTCAGGGCAGCTATAGGAAACCCCTGGAAATGCTTCTCAACCTAGTGGACAAACACTGGAGGGGAGAGAGATCTCTTCATCAAAACAACAATTTCCTGAGTGGGTTGGAGTTTGGTTTGGGCAATGTGGTGTCAGATTTCAAGATGCAGAAATGGTCAGTGTCTTCTCATCTCTATTTTTGGCTCTAGCTCAGGCAGTTCAGATCCTCTCCATGATGGAGAGTGATATTTCCAGTCGGGAGGCTGAGGTTATGACCCTAAGGCGGGATGTTGACGCACTTAACCGTCAGGCCATTTCCCGAGAGGAAGAGCACAACGCTGAAACACAGAATCTCTCTGCCCAACTGGAAGATGCTCACAAAGCAGCAGTAAGTTCACTGAAAAGTCAGAAACAGGGTTTCGCTTTTGGAGAGCGTACTTCTGATCCCTGTCATTTCAAACACAGGGCAAACTTAACGAGCAGCTGCGGATCGTCTTAGAGGAAAATGTTGCTCTGCAGAAGCAGCTCATCAAGTTAGAACGCCAATATCTCAAGTCCATGATGAAAAGCTCGCCCATCAGCCAGATCAGAGGTGGGTGAAACTGCTTATGGAGAAGAGTATTCATGTTGTCTTCACCCAGCAACTGTATTCCCTTTGTACTGGGCTGTCCTTAGAGGCTCAGTCAGAAGTTGAGGAGCTGAAGAAAGAGATCGAGGGCCTGAGGAACAAAGTGCAAGAGGCTGAGAAAGTTCAGGAGCTCTCAAATATGCTGCAAGAAAGCCACAGGTATAACGATACTGCAGAAGCACTGCTGACTCAGGGATCTGCTGTAAATACACGCCCACACGGGACACAATCTCATATCTAAATCAGCCGCCATGCTGGTTGTTTACACGGTTGGCGTGTGTCGGTGTATGTGCTGCAGGTCCCTGGTGGACACCAACACACGTTTGCTGGCTGAGCTGAAGGACGGCGGGGACCAGAGAGACTAAGTCTGAAGGAAGAGAACTGCTCAGGGACAAACATTTCCCAGCAAGTCCACGCCAAGCATCAAACTAGCACAAGGTCCCGCAATTCTAGAGATTGACTTTATTTACGTCTCTGCACTGTATGGAGTTTATCATTTATAATAATCAATGATGTTGTTTAAATTTTGCGTGCCTCTTTTTTCTTCTTTTAAAAGAATATGCAGGCGGTGTCATCTTGATGTAAACAGTAATAGGGAAAAGTCATTCATTGCCAAAGCTTTGTATATGAGTGCGTGTCAGAGTTGTTATGTTATATGATTTTAGGGAGGAAAATGAGAAAGTCCTAATGTGTTTCCTGGATCTGTTGTGTGATCCTTTTGTTTTCTTCATTTTTTTCTAGGTCAGTCGTGTCTCCGTCTGCTTTGCACGGCGCAGTGGAATGAATGTGCAGAGACTGCAGCTGCACTGTGACTTTATTTATACGTCTGCCTCAGGGCTGGCCCAGCTCCTCACCGACTCTCTAAAACCCTGATCCACGACCTGGCAAAGCTGCTTTGAATTTGTACCGCACAAAACCTGAATGGAGCTTTTCTTTTTATCTGAATGTTGCAGGTCTTCGGTTGGTGCTAAAGCTTCACCACACTCCTACAGGAGTCATAAAAAGAATATAAGGCATGTTCGACTTTTGACACCTACTAAGCAGAGGTTCTGGGACGGTTTCTTTTATTATTTTATTTTCAATAATGCACTAGAAATCATGAACACACTTTAAGAAGTCTTGAGAACAGGAACAGAAAAGCCACTGCATGCACTGGGGCACAATAGTACATTAAAGGTTATTAGAAAAACAAAATGACAGTATTGTTCGTCCACGTTAAAGGTGCACAGTGTTTGGCATTAAGCACAGAAAACAGACCGGAGCTACTGCAGCGGACATAAACAAACACATGAGAGCTGCATGTTTTGCAAATGATGCTTGATTCTTCACCAGCTGAGGCTACATGAAGTGTGTTAAATGCACCACTGTCATCTTGGAAAAATATTCTACAAAAGTACAATGTTTTGAGATTTCCCTTTATCTGGTACAGTGTGTAAGTAAACAGTAAAACCCTGCTGTTTTCAGTTAGATCTGTGGATTACCGTACCACACATAACAGGTTCAAACTAACAGAATATCATTATAGGATACCCCACTTTGTACATGTACAAGTTGATACATATTGATTTCAGGCAATACAAGATTTGACCCCACGGTTTCATTACATGATGTTTATATCAAGGAAATTGTAAATCTGTCCAGTAGGCTGTCCTCATATCAGGCACAGCCTTAACGGAAAGATAGACAAGCCGTTGGCTGGGTGCTTCTGAATCAAATGCAATATACATCACATGCACAAAATACCGCAACACCGAAAAGCTAAAACCATAAAGCCAGTGTATTCAATTAAACTGTTTGGCTTCAACATTTTAGAATATGTACAAAATCTTATCACAAATATATTAGAACTACTGTGTATATAAATCTGATGAGGAACTAATGCAAGTAAAATGTTAAAAATACAATCTTGCACAGCTAAATGAACTGACTGGGGATAGAGCTGCTTTTGTTTGAATTCTCAAATTTGTGACTCAAAATCCTTTTGGAATGGTCTGTTCTGTGTAGAAATGGACAATTAAAGAATGTGGAGCAATAATAAGAGAAGTCTATGTTTCAGTCTCTTGGATAAGATAAATGACAGAGGAAAGATTTGAACACAAACTGACACTTGATGTATTTTTTTACTAAAAGCTGAAGTTATGCTAATGTATGGAAGCCTTGAGAGGCAGGTAGGATTTCTTCTTAATGTGAAGTGGTGAAGAAAATTAGCATGAATTAGCATTTAAATTATCTTTTTTTTTACAGCAGTTGAAATGGGACAATTGGACTCAATAACCATTACATAATGTTTTAATGGGAATTCATTTTGGTTTTTAAAGTTTTAAAACAAAGGAAAGTATAGATCACGTTCTGGAAATTAGTTTCTATTGGTTTTTTGGGGCTTCAGTACCAATGACGTGAGCTTTACAGTAACATTTCTGAAGACGACAGCTTACAGGTGAAGCAGGTGAAGAATTAAATGGAGAGTTTTGGTTTAACAAATAAAAAAACGCTTCATTATATCTCAGTCAAAAATATGTGCCAATCATTTTAAATGTGTAACTTTTTTTTCACTTTTGAATATGGTCATCGAAAGATTTCCGTTAAAAAGTGCAATGCTGTTAATTCATCAAACTGTTTTCCCACTTCTGCTTTTCTTGGCACGTTGTTCATTGTGCTCGATAAATATTATAAGGCCCTATCATAACAGAGTTTCAGTATTCATGGCATGGCAGTTTTTCTCATTTGTTCTCTTCAGTGTTTGGCAGTAACTTGCTATCAAATAGGAATGTACCAGCTGGTGATGACTTTGTAAAAATAGATGTAAACAGTTTTCCAGTTCTCACACAAAGAGAGGAACTCAAAAACATCTCTTCCACTCACACACACACACACACACACACGCACAGACACACGAAATACATGGGCGGGAAAGTATAAGAAATCCTATTTTGTGCTTTCTATGAGTACTCTTGATAGAAAATCATCCTAGTTGTTGATGAAATGTTTTTTCCTCATCGTCGGCCTTACATGGGTCTGCCATCGGTGGGCTTGGTCACCTTTTTTTCATACGTCCCTCGATGTTTGTATCCGGAGACGTATCCTGAAGTGTCAACCATGTCCACTCGCCCGGCCTTGCCCTTCCCGCGGCCGCTCTGGTCAAAGCGCTCCTTGTGCGAGCCTGTGAACTTGGTGGTGTCTGTGAGACGGCTCACTGTCGGCGAGGCCACGGCTCTCTGTTGCAAAACATTTGAGCTGCGACTGAGCGGGCTGGAAATGCACACATGAATCTTGTAAACGGCGCGTTTCAAATTCTTACTGTGACTCCCGCGATGATTGGCGCCTTCCCCTCTATGAGCTTGAAGACCTCGGCCTCGGCCTCCTCCCCGGCCTTCTCTTTGTATTTCTTCCTGGCCAGCTCTCCCAGCGCGGCCTTGAATTCATCAAATGTGATGGTGCGACAGGATTTCTTCCTGAAACGCAGGAGGGAAAGGAGCCTAAGTGCTGGACAACATTTGTCACACTTCAGAGCCTAAAGCCTGGAAAGATATATCTGTTTAACTGTTCCTTAGGAGACAAAAACACAGCTTTAAGGACTCTTTTATCCGCAGGGGTCTTCAATAATTGTTAAAAATACTCTTAAAGATATACAGCTCTGATTTGATAAGTATTTCACACTGAAATCTGTATTTGTGACTTCTTGGTTTCCAAAGTGGCTTTAGCTCCAGCTGTCACTTGACCCTGATGAATTAAACTCGGACGATATTTAATCACCGTCTATTCATTAATCGGGTCAAACTGCTGTAAGCAGTTTAATTACCACAGCACAAATCATTGTTGGTCCTCCTCCATTTGAGTGCTCCAGTTGTTTAACTGGCTTTTTGCCTGCTTCACTTCCATGTTAAAAGTGCTTAGTAACTCAAACACAAACAGCCATTGCTGTGGTGATAAATCTCCCAAACAACAGCCTATAAAGCCTACAGTCTCCCCAGGCAACTTGCTGCCATAGCAACTAGCTACAGCAAACATGAGATGTTTGGGTTTATTATCAATTTGACTCGTTCGGGGACGGGTTTTGTTTGGGCAATCCTTCAGTGCTGAACATCTGAGGGCTCCATTCCTCTGCGTCTGTTCCATGCTGGACATTGTCAGAGGAGGAACTCGACTTTCAGCTGCTGCTTCTGTCCGAGGAAGATAACTGAGTTTAGTCTGTAACCAAGCATGTCACTCCAAGGTTCTGTAAAGTATGTCAGTTCCCCTTAGCTTACAAAGGGTTTAGCTGAGCAAATAAGCAGGAACTCAGATGCTAAGAGGGCGGTGATAGGTTTAAGGGGCAAAGGTTAGAGGGTTATCACAACTTATTTTCATTAGAAAAAAACTCTACGCACAGTGTATTTAAACCACCTCAGTGGAAGTGAGTCTGTTTTGTGTAGTAAAAAATCATTTCTACACAGCCAATGATCATGCTCACCAATTTAAAAACACGCCAAGGTCTGGAGAGCAATATGTTAAGGCTAATTAATGAATCCACATCCATAGTTTAGACCTCCAGACCCAGAATAAATACAGACTCATTCAGCCATGCTGTGATTAGTCTGTGCTCATTAAGATGTTTCATTTTTTGTGTGCAAGCAGAGGGCCTTGACACTGATTAAAGGGAAAATGGTGATGTGCATCTCTGGCATGGCAGCCCTCCCCCCCACTCAGTCCTGCCTGGAGTTAGAAGCTACATGAAGATGAGCACCTCCCCCAGTGCTGAAACTCTTTTTATTCTGTGGGTGGCTCTGGAGAGTGTGCACAGCACATGCTTTACTCAGATTTTACTGTACTACCCTGCTAAACATACTCTAGAGCCGTATACCTGTTTGAAAATGCACAGTAGACCGTCTAAGGCTTTATAGAGTCTCCAGGGCTTGCGTAATGTACACAACACTGCACAGAGCCTCTGCTCACAACACAAAAAGACAGAAAATCTGCACTCTTTCCTGAAGTCTTTATAGTGATCCTACTATGATGTAAAATATTTTCTAAATACTTCTCACTAACAGTGCAGGATGCAAACAAGTCATCTTTATATTAACTTTGGAGCATTGCCAAAAAATATTACAGACAACATAAATATTGATCACCATGCCAACAATGGAGGTGTTTATGCGGGTGACTCAAAAAACAAAGACAGTTCTTTGGCTTGAGAAACGAAAGAACAGTCGTATGTGGAGAAAGTTGAAATGATACATATAACATGACTTATATAACAAGGTTTAGGCCTCTGCAACATCAGAATTTACACCAGGAGACTGACTAAAGCATGACTGTAGCAGACCCTTGTAAGTAGAATGAACACTGGCTTTTGTCCATTTGTCCATTCCGTCAACCTAACCAAAGGTTTTGACTGCAAACTGTGGAATTGGTTCATTTGTGTTTCTATGGTTTAAGGTAAATTATATGTGATGAAAACATCTTGTGCATATGCAGAATTATTATACAACTGGAAAAACAGAGCATTTCATTCTGTGTTGACTTAAATGATTAAATTTAGGGTTGTTTTGCATGCATTTGGTCAGACTAGTGGAGACAAGATGCCTAAAATACTAATTCCAATGTTCCCTTATATAAGACATATGTAATACCATAAATTACTCTCTGTAACCAAGCTATCAACAGGGAAATGATGAGGTGATATCTGATATTGCCCCTGTACTAAATACTGTGTTGGTCTTTCCACATTTTCCAACAAAACAATTTACCTGTACTTGAAAGATAACTAGAAGTTTTTATCAATCTTTTCTTAGGCTTTCGTTTCTAAATGTTCAAGCAATTTGTTAATCATTAACGACAAGGTGGAAAATGCACAAAATTGATGTAAAATTCCCCAGCTGATTTGTCCTACACCCTCTTGCAGTAAGACACGATGATGAATGGTCTTCTACCATACTCCACTATTCTGGGGCTGTCATGCAGAATAATCCCTATTCAGATCATTCCACAAGGATAAAGAAAACACAAACTCAAAGCCGCTCTGTGCATGAACAAAATCTTCAGAATAACTGTGCGTTAAACCGCACTGTAAAAGCTCTGAGCCTTTAAAGAGCACTTTCATTCTGTGATTCTACGTTTAATTACAGTGACATTATTCAGAAACGCTAATGCGTTGATAATCGGAATAATTTACAGACGATTACTACACGGACGCGGATCAAAGGTTTTCCTCCGGTGGTCAGACAATGTGGAGGTCAGAGCTTACTATTAAACTGCACATCACTGAACCCCAGCAGCACAGAGCAGGAGTCTGTGAGGCCTGAAGAAATGAGTCAAGCTGGCCTTTTTGCCATGGCTGCTGTTTCTAACAGACTGCCTCTTCTCAGCCAATTTAAGGCAAAAACGAAAAGCACCTTTTGGAGAAACTCATGAAAACGGTGCTGCACGTGTGCTTTGTTTGTACCTTTTTGTACTTGACTGCGTGCTAAAATACACTTTCAACTCTGTGACCTCAACGGTAACAAATGAAAAACTTGTATCTACGCTGTGTGTTTCACTGATCTCTGCTCTATTGTTAAACCAACACTTTTCGAACCATTTGTACATAGAACTTAATGCAGCAAATAGTTTCGATCTGTGCGTTGGAAATGAAACAGCAACTGAATCCTGGAAATTCTACTAATCTAACGGGTCACAGGTTACTTTGTGCGCAGTGAAGTTGGCGTCTGTCTTACTTGACTTTGCTGAAGACGATGTCCACATCGGTGAGGGTGATGTTCTTGCCGTCAATCACGCCGCAGTCTTTGCAGAGCTTGGACCAGTTTTTGCCGTGCATGTCCTTGCCGGTGGCACGGGTGTCGCCGTGGATGGCAAAGCGTCGGAACGACTCCTCCAAAGCGGTCAGTTCCACCGGCGTGGACGAGCCCACGCCGCCATCGCTAGTTCCATTGGAATCAGTGGAGAGCCTTTTGGAAGCTCGATCTTTAGACTGGTCATTGTGGGGCCGTAAAGAAACCGAGCTGATGTTGGGGTGTTTGGCTGTCTGGACCTTAAAGTCATCTATGCTGTCTCTATGAGAAAAGAAATACAACATCATTTGGCCATCCGTGTGATGTTAAATGTGGAAGTTACCTGTTGCAATTATATCATGTAAATGCCAGGAAATCCACACTTCAAAACAAATCATTGACTATTCAAGCAGAAAAGGCCGTTGAGTTCTTAGGAAAAGAATAAAACACAGTAATCACAGTCTATAGCTGGATACCAGGAAAGAAGGGGAGGATGTTTTGCAGCAAAACGTCTGATGTAATACCGTTCTGCATGACTTACATGTTCACCCTCCTTGGCAGAAAGTAAACAGTGAATCATGGCTTCAGGTTGAGACACAGCTTGCCAATTTGCTTTTGGCTGCGTCTTTTTATATATTTTCCTCAATGAAACAAAACAAGATTAGCTTTCCTGCGGCTCTGATTGTCTGTGTGAATGGGCTGGTATTTTGTGTTTTCTGCCACAGACGTTGAAATTGTCAAGAGATGTCTGTGGAAGTCCTAGGCATAGATAGAAAAGAACCAAAGGGCAGAAATAGGAGGCTCATGAAACAGATGGCTTCTAAAAGACGTACTTCTGGTCTGCCATGGCTGAGCAGGAATTCTGTTCCCTCTGTGTAGTGTTGGGATTAGCCGACTTGTGTTTTCTCTTTGTGCTGTGGAAAAGATGAGAACGGAGGTGAGAAATTTGAGGGAACATGCCTGTACCAATACAATTGCCAGAGAAAGGAAAAAAAGATATTAGAATTAGGTTATAAGAGAGAACACATATGTTTCTAAAGCGCTGCACACACCATGCTCATGAATGTTGCTGCATCTTGGAAATATGAGGAGGGAAAACCATTTAAATGTCTCTCAAAAGATCTTATGTGAATAGTTTTTAGATGAGTAGCATCAGCACATTTTGAGGCCACCTTTAAGCTGCAAATAAAAAACAAACTACTCATTGGTCCGTGCTATTTCCTTTGACTTCAAATAAATGTGTTTCCACAGACAAGCTCATTATCAAATCAAACGCATTCTGTAAGATGCAAAACCAATTTAGATAGGATCCCCTACATCAAAATAAAGAAGATTAAAAAACACTTTTTATGGGTAACACAGTCACTTAAAGCCACAATCTGGCATTCTGGTTTGTTAGGTTGTGATTCGCTGTCACATATTTGCTCGCGGTGCACTGACTTAATTCCTCTATCTTGCTTTGGGTGACTTCATCCAGTCTGAACTCAGGGATTTCTCTCTAAACACATCATCCTGATTCACATCTCTATATAAATAGCAGCAGCTTCACTCCCCCTCAAGTCAGCTTCAAATAGTCATACTAAGAGGTAAAAAACAGAGAGCAGTTAGTCTTTCCTTTGTTTCTGTGAAGATAATGTAACTGCCTTCAGAAGATGTTATACAAGACTATAATGTAACAATATTGAATAGATATCTGCTCACCTTTCAGCTGTTCCCATACTCAGCACAGCATCCTTAAACAAGCAACTGACACAATATATCCCTGCAGTGGTGTGTCTTAATATAGCTCCCTCCCCCCCAAAAAAGTTTAAAATCAAGCTGAAAATCGGAAGGAGAAAGACAATCTCTGGTTGAAACTAAGTTTTAACAGCTCCCTCAAGTTGGTAATGAAGGTCTCACTCACCCCCGGTGTCAGTGGTCAAGCCAGGGGCTTTGTTTGCCCAGCGCTGTGTCCAACAACCCCAACCGTGACCTCACTGAGTACAGTGGACACTTAAATACAAATGTTCAGGTTTGCGCACAATATAAGATTGACAGTGAATGAAGACATTATGATAAGGATGTCAATTCTCTGAGGGAGGGTGAAAAAAAGAAGAGATTATCAATGTGTATGAATAATGGCATTCACAGCTATGAACACTGGGATCCCATTGTCCTACGCAAGTGGCTCCTCTGTGACCCATGCCCATCTCTTCACCCATACACACATGGCGACATCGCAGAGTACCACTATTGACGGCAGAGGTCTCTGTCATATGCCTTCGAGTGCTCGTGCCTTGACAATTGAGAGTTATTGAGGTGCCAAAAGCCTGAATGTAATATCAACGAAGTACAGCGTAATCAATATGATTTACAGTACAGAATGCAACATAACTCCTGGCCTAAAACCACTCTCCACAAAGTGAGGAATTAAACAAAAAACCTTTTTTTAAAGTTGCTTGCAGGGGTTCTCAGTAAATTATCACTGTAAAATCCACAGGTTGGGCAAAATCAGCTATTTACAATAAAAGGCAAATGTTTAAGGCATTATTATGGTCTCATGTTTCTAATGATTGACTTTAGGGCATTTTCATTGCATATAATGGCTCTCTACGTCCCCCACCTATTTCCTGTCTCTAACTCTGCTTATACAGTCCAATAAAAGACCATGTAATTGACTTTAAAATCCAGAATGGACAGAATATTCCAGTTTGTAAAGGCGTGCTTTGATTACATAGGGACAAAGTTCCAAAGGTGATGTTCAACACAAGGGTGGGCTCAAAACCCCATGGATGAAGGGGGCAGGGTGCGTAGTGATTGGAAAGGAAGAGAAGGATGCAGGTTGGGGAGCAGATACAAGGAATTAATGACTTACGAAGTTTTTTAGATACATGTTTCACAGAAAACTGCCAGACTTGAAAGTTTTCTTTTAAGGCAAAGCATTTACTTCCAATGGCTTAGAAAGCCCATGTCATTGACATTTTCTTGCTCACAGCTTTACTTATGTGGTCTAGTTTTACAAACTTTTACAAGTAGTTGTTTCAATTGTTTTTCTTCCATGACTGCAGTTTTTTTGTTAAACACTGTGTTTCAGCTCCTTTTTAAGGGCCTGAAAGGCCTGATCTGCTACCGCTGGCCAGCCGATTTCTCACAGATGTCAGAGGCTGCTGCAGCCATTGATTACGTTTGATAACAAGCTAAACCCTATACTTAGGAATCATGTATGTGCCTGTGATGATGTAAATAGATGCAGGAAAGGACAGCAGTGCAAACAAGACCTTTCAGGAATTTCAGGAGCACTGTCCTCTGATAAAGTTTCTGTGACTCTGGGCTTCTGCTGGTCTTTCACATGCAGAACAACTTTGTTGTTTTATAAATGACGTGGGAAAAACACCAAGAGCAACGCTCTTGAATGGGTTGAGTCCTTCTTCAAATGTTCTATTGAGCAACTAAAAACACGTCATTTGAGATATTACATTCAATCAAGCAGTTTGACCACAATATCAAGTTCACGTTGAGGTTTCATCATTGTTGACTTTCCTTTCAGTGGTGATCCGCGACCTTTCAATGAGTAGCTGCTCGCTGTGCATTTTCCTTTGTGCTTCATTGACATCAGTTAAATCTATGAGAAACAAAGCCATCTTTTCATTAGCCTCCTATAATTTATTGCCAGCAGATTCAAGTGCCTGAGTCTTTAGTACAACAAGCCTTCTCCAGAGACATCATGAACAACACATAAAAGAGAATTCATTAACACTGCAGTCCTGGTATGAACTCATGGTGAGATTAAAGCGAAAGCTGTTTCACAGCATGTTTTTTATTCTTCATTTGACCAGATTTCTGCTCTGACACACAAATAAATTAGACCAACACAACCAGAGTTGTTTTGCCATGTGCAGCTCTTTTTCTGCTCCACTTTTCCACATGTATGTATACAAGAAGCCATTTGGTTAAGAGCAGATCTCCAGAGACAAATCTATGACTGGATGACAGCATGCTTACATACAGTTGCCTTCTGGCATTACAATGCACAGATGAGTGCTTTCACCATAAACTGACCCATTTTGAACTTGGACCTATTCATAGCGCCACAACAGCAGCGTTACAACTCATTCTTACGGGGAGGAGACAATCTGCAAGCTGATATGCAGAAAAAAAGGTGTTAAGATGTTAGTTTGGCAGATGGTGTTTAGCTCATGAAATGAGGTCACTCTTGTTTGTGTGAGTGTGTGAGTGAGAGGACACTACTCCTCCGCAATGTCATCACAGTAAGTGGGCAGTGGAGATCCCATCTGCTTTCTGACGCTAACAAAATCGTCTCCAGAACGTTGTCTCTGAAACTGCACTGTGTCTGTCAATCATAAATGAAAAAGCTGAGACCATCAATGCTTCAGCGAGACCCTAAAGTTCTATGTAAGACTCATCCCTGTCTGGTATTCAGTAGTACTCAGGTGTGTCCAACCTTTTTACTGGTACTGTCTATAAGCTTTTCTTCAGATGCAAATACTTTCGAACAGCATCAGCCAATTAAGCCACAAAATTATTCAAAACTAGGTATGCTCACGATCTTCCATTTACAGTAGATCCATGAACTCAAAGCGTCTTTTTTTATAGTTTACTCTTCGTCTGTGTTTTGTCTCGTTGTCATCTGGAACAGAGAGGATCCAGTAGGGATTATATAATGAGTAACCACATCACGGTTCAATCAGCAGCTCACAAATAGTCTTCAAAAAGTTTCCAACGAAAAAAAAAACCCACCCAGACTCCTGCTTCCCCATTAAACACGGTCAGCATATCCAGCCTCTTGACCAGTTCCCGGTATGCCTCCGGTGTGCAGAGCCCCAGCTCTGAGTCCACCGCCCTGTCCCCTTAGCCATTCAACCTGCTCTGAGACGCAAACATCTTGGCAGGCAGAGCGCTGCAGAGATGTTTTAAACAAGCTGCAGGAGTTATTGTTGGCAGCAGCAGCACGCAGACAAATAGAGGTAGGCTATAAGAAAGCCCAGGTATTCTTGTGTAACCGCACATCAGAGAGGAACACGATGGGACAGCAGAAAGTATTGTGGCGTGGCTCAAATCTAGAAAGTCATGTCGGACGAGGGGAGGATTAGCTCAGAATACAGTCCAGTTCGGATTTTCAGAAGGATGACTGTTTTCAATAATCACAGTAATGTAGCTACTTGATTTTTCTTTAGTTTTTAAAAAGACGTGAACTTTGTTTTTTTCAAATAAGTAGAGAAGTCAAATCCAGAGTCAAATTTCAACTACCTTGGGTTTGAATTTAAACCCTTCTAAACATTTGGTTTGAATAGAAAAAAAAAGTAACAGTGAAAAAAATTGGTTGAAACTGAAAAAATTAACGCCATTATACAAAACTGGAGGGAATTTCAGCCACCGTAAATAAAATAAAATAGGATAATTTATGATCTGAGGCTAATTGCCAATGACAGAACCCAGAGGCTCTTGTACTGGTACAATGAAAGCTAGAACGGGGAAATCTGGGACAAACTCAGTGACTGTATCTTCATCTCAGGCATACCTAATTCAACCTATAGGGAGAGGGCCGGAAAGCCATTCAGAGGGGGGAAAAAAAGGATATGGCCTTTTGTTAAGCAGACTGTCAATAAATGCTTCTGCTCTCAAAATATTTTCTTTTATATGATATAACCATTGTCAAAGCTGCATTTAAACAATTTTGGACGACATTAATCTGTTTTCAAGTAGCAAATAAGCATTTAAGTGATGCAATCACTGTGTGTGTTTATACATTCAAGAAGAACATGTTGTACTCCATTCACACACACTCAAGTAGAGCTCCATTCATCAAGAAGCACGTAAAAGAGGGCATCCATCTTTTCATTTTTTCATGCTTAATTATGTAACTACCAACACTTGTCATAAAGGTTGCAACGAGGCTGCAAAGCCTTGCCGATTATTCTTTCTTAACTTGAAAGATGTTTATAGGAGGACTCAGACGCCCTCTGAGCTCGCGTTCAAATGATAAACAGTGGACAAAAAGCTCATGTTTACATGACTGAATATGGCTGGAAAACGCGGAGCGCCTGAGCGCGTTTCTTGAGCGCACCATGTTACATAAACTTGCAATTGCCAGATTCACACAGAGCCCACGTGATCCGTTTGTTATTGTCAGCCCTTCAATGCAAGTCTGCCAATGCACCACAGGGTAAAACACAGGTAGGCGAGAAACGAGCTCGTCCTCGCGCCTTAAAATGGGAATTCTGCAAAAAACCAAAACAGGCATGCACAGTCATGCAAACATCACCTCCGGGGATCAGCTGGATTTTCCATGGAGATCCATTAAAACCACCCCCCTTTAAAAAAAAGCAATATTTCAGTTTATACTATAGAATAGTACAGACCAGTGCCGTTTGAATCAGCTGGTGACGTAATCCTTAGGCTCCTTGTCGGTTTTCCAGAAGCATAATTTGACTGTGAGGTGCCTTGAGGTGTCTTTCCTCCCGCTGCCTGCGCTCAAATAGCTTCCCGATGGCTCAGTCCCTCAGAGATGCTGAAGAGAAACCAGGGCGCTGATTGGCTGGCGCCCTGCACGACGTGCTGTTTTCTTCTTGTGGGTTTTTTATGTTGTTGTTGTAATCGGTATTGGTGCCACAATGGTGAGCTGAGCGCTGATAAGCAGGCAGTCCCTGTGCTGGAGGCCGAGGTGGAGGATGCAAAAGACGCTGATGGTTTTTCTCCTGGAGATGTTTACAGCTCCACGAATAAACAAGCCTCCATAACATCAAGGGAAGGAAATGAACCACACAGGCCAACATTCACATCTCGGCTCTTGTCCAGGCTCAGGATGACCTGAGGTCCTGCTGGTTGGGTGGGCTGTGGGTGACCGGAAGGAACAGTCCTCAGGGAATACAATAAATCCTTCAATAGGAATTTTTCCAATATCTAAATAAAACCAAGGGAATCGTTGCATTCTCTCTCAGTGCACGATGGGTTACGCAATTAGAGCAAGGGCTAGACGTGGATGAGCATTATGTCATCTCTGGAGTCTTGCTGATGGCTCAACTGTTAAAGCGCTGGTACAACCTAAACTGGGAGACGTGCTCTCAGGATAGGGATATTCATGATGAAAGCAGCCTGAGCGGAGTGCAATCACTGAATGACACAATAGTTTGGCGCAGCCTGCTGCGGCGGCACCACCGTGTGGCCGGCAGCGGCCACCGGCCTGAGCTCCAGCCCTCTCTGGTCCAGTCCTGGCCTCATCTTCACTAAATTGCATGTCTGATCTCCACAACGGCCACACACTTTAGTGAGACCAAATAACAGGATTGTTGGAGGCAGTCGTCCATGGTTTGATGGTTACTGAGGTGTAACATTTTAATAAGGATGAGATCTGTGGGAGTAAAATCCTGAGGTTGTTCATTTAGTGTAATATATAAAGTCATGTTAAAAAAAATCAAAGCATTTTTATTGAGTTTGAACATCTGGTTTACATTTATATTCTAGACATATTTAGTTGGAATTTGAATACATTTTTAAACTCAAGAAATTGTACTCACAGAGGGCCTAAACAAATTATCATTTCAAACAGATATGCATTTCTGCAAGTAAGGTAGTGTTCATTTCATTTACATTTTTCTTACAAGGAAAATGTGGTAAGGATCCACCACCTGTATCTTTCATCTCCTTTTGAGTTAAAATGGGAGTGGCATCTAATCCTCCTTTACTTAAAAACACAGCATCTACAGTCCTCTAGTGGTAGGTAATATACCACATATAACTTTAGACTTTAGACAGATTTAAGCTTTTAACAAAAATTAATTTCCCATTTTGGGGAACAGAACTAATTCAGCAGAAAATACAATTTGTGTTTAACAAATGTAAGAAGGGGTTTCATTGTAAAGTCTGGTAGGAAGTTGAGAAAAGACAAACTAGGTCATCAGGATGTTTCCACCCATTCCATGCACTAAACACTGCAATGAGTACTGCGAAATAGTCAAAGGTATAAAAAAAAGGTGCCACAATTCAAACAGAGGGTCAAAAATGCCAGAGTGCTTTAAACAAAACCTTTAACGGAAAAGCCTGGAAAAGTGTCTGGAAAAGGTACATTTACTGCCTTTTTAACTGGAGTCAACAAATAAATAAAATGAATGAAATGAAAAGAGAAATTCGCTCCTCTGAAGCTCAAAGTATATACATTAACAAAAAAACTGGATTATAGGTGGTGAGGGTAAGATGTTCTTCAGTAATACAATAAGCTAAAATATAAAAACAAATTCAATATCAAAAAGGAAAAGGATGGACTGTTCTGTTATTGTCCAGAGTTGCCAATAACTGACCAGGACTGCCAGTCTTTCCTGAGATATCATGATCAACCACTTTTCAGGCAGAAGTTTCAGTCAGTTGCTGTCTTGAAGCATAACCGAGCTGCCCAGAGGGTTCTGCACCTCAGGAACAGAGTTCCCACTCGCACTCGGCAGTCCCTCATCCTCAGAATTGCAGCTTTTGATCACACTCAAAGACATCTCACCTTCAGGACACAGAGAAGATAAAACCATCAGTCTTCTAGAATTAATATATTAACATGCTTTGCTAATTCATTCAAACTAATAACCCCAATGTATGTATATATTAGACTAATTCAATTGTTAGTTTTACAAAAGAGAACACCATAATGAAGCTGTTCAGTTTTTTTTATGCAATTCTTGATATTCTAACATATTTGTTTTTTGTTTATTTCTCACAACTGGTTGACAAACAAAGTTAGATCTTTAGTGTTCAGAAACATAAGCCAGATACTCACGCGTCTCTTTTTCTGTGGGATTTTCCGTGCCATAATGGACACTATTCTCTTTTTCTGCCAATTTATTCAAATTATCAAGCTAAACAAAAAAAAGATGATTATTCAATTCAATATCAGATAACTGATAAAAATATTTTTTGCGTTAAACGTGAGTTTAAGAAGATATGTATACCTCTGAACATATGGACTCAGAAAATCCAAAGTTGAATTGGTCTTTGTTGTCAAATTTGCAGGAACTGCAGGAAGACCCAAGTATTAAACACCATTCTTTACTAAATAACCTAATAATTTCACAAAAAAGGCATGAAGATCTCTTACCTTGACCTCTTTGATTCTGGTTCACAGTCAATTGAGCCCTCCAGCTTCTTCAACAGAAATAAACATCTTTAAACACGAAGGACTGACAACTTAACAGCAGTGTGAGGCAGAAGGCGGTCTCACCTGTGGAGTCTCACTTTGAACTCGAGTTTTTTCAGCTTCAATGTCACAACTTTTGGCTTCTTTTTGCCGCCTTAATTTGACATAATCAAATGTGCTCATGCCTTTATAAACTGCAACGTTCAAATGGAAAAAAACAGCTGTGAGACAAATGAGGACTGACAACTGGAGTGGGGGGGCAAATGCTGTGTGAAACTCACACAGGTAAAGGTGGAAAGCCAGCAGATGAGTGAGCAGCAGCAGGCAGATGGTGCTCAGAATGACTGTAAAGAAGGCCAACACCAGCAGACCAGCCGAACTCGTCTTCATAGGAGCCAAAGGTAAAAACACCAGCCATGTTGTATTCCCCAGAGCAGCTAACAAAAAGAAAACTTTTCACTCTTTTCACTCCTCAGGTTCTCTGTACCAAAGTCTAGACTTAGGTAAAGGCAACACCACATCTAATACAAACACCGTCCTATCATATAATGACCCAGTATAAAACTAAATCAATAAAAACTAAATCAGCAGTGTGGGAAAATCTAAGAAAACCCCTTTAGTCATTGGCTTGTGAAACCTCTTCTTGCAGCAATAAGCACTTTTTAGATCTTTTATCCTCATCTCTTTCATAAGTCATGTGGTTTGTTCACCTGCAGCTTTACAAACCCCACTTGTGACACTGTTATTTTTCACAGAGAATCAACACCCTCCTGGGAATCCTTTCCACAGAGCTTTTTTTTGGATGTTAGACTGTGTTGTGATAGGAAAAACTTGAAGGCCGGGGGTTCTCTCTCTTTCACACGGCTGTGGGAAACTCACTGTTAAACTGCGGCGCAGTTCGAAGGCTGTGTGGATCCAGGTAATGTTGAACAAATATGAACAAGATGACAACATTAAGCAGAAGGACACCCATGGTGGCGGAGACGAGCGCGATAAAGAAGAACCTGCAAGTAACACAGAGCCTGATATTAGTCATATTATCGATATTATCGCCATTTTACATTTGGACAGCAGCCATTGAGTCAGGTGGACAAACCACAAGTTCTTTCAAACAGGGGTCTTACCAATAGTTTCTCCCACCCACACACGTGTTCAGCCATTTGCAGTGGTGATCAAAGTTCTCCACACACTTGTTGCAAACACCACAGTGTTTTACTTTGTTGCCACTGAAAGAAAATCAGGTTACATCATTAGACACAATTCAGTCTTTTCTCTAATTATTAAAATATTAAATCTGATGCAATAATAAGTATCTCAATAAATTATTTCATGAGTACAGTTCGTGTTAGATAGAGATAACTAGCTATCTGAAGTCCAGTTAGTGTTTTCCTAACTGCAGGTAACCCAGTTTCATCCCCTGACAGACTCCTAGCAAATAGGACATTCTGCAGGTTAGGCCTGGAGGAGGCTATCCACAGACATTCAGGAGAGCAAAGCAGAGATTGCCATTGTCCATTTCTGTGATGACCCCGTGGACAGGATTGGGATGGCATCAATGTCTGCCATAACATAGACCTGGCAAGGTTTTGCTCGGGGAAACAAGAGAAAGTTCGAGGGGCTAAAACTGGATGTTTTGTTTCTCGTTATTCAATCAATGAAAGCCGAAACGTTACAAGATGACACAATGTACCTAAAGCCCAACTTTAGTATATTCAAGTGCAAACATTATTTCTTTTTTTTTGGGACACATACACCTTGACATCACATAGATAACAGTGTTGATCCTGGATGACATGCGGCTGCTTTTTCCGGTCAAAAAGAGGCATCGGATTGGAATAGCTCTTTTTGGCCCTCACACTGGCATCTGCTGGGTCTATGCTCACAGCTACAATATGGGTGAAGAAGTGAACGATAAATGATACGCCCATGAGCTGCGTACAACAAAAGTCAAGGAAAACAGCACACAACAGTCATGTTTCATAAAAGTAGTTTGCACGAGAACAAGAAAGTGAAAACACAGACTGTCCCCTGTGTGAAAAATAAAGTCTTACGGCCCAGTGGAGCTCTGGTAACGCTAACTAGTGTTTTGACGTGCGGGAGCATTCAACATGCAACAAAAAGACCACTGATCATTCGGTTCCAGCTTAAGATAGAGCACAGAAAAGGAGTCAGTCATGTCTGGTATGACTGAGACACACACAAACACACACAGGCCTCACAACAAAATCCTTGTCTGGGCCACGACTCCAAACAGACCACAGAAGAGACCAATGTTTGCTCCATATTTAGATAAAAGACCCACTGATGAGACTCTGAGAGTAGGTGACACTGACAGACAGCTTTCTGCTGGGGTGAGGATACAGCATAGGCCACTTGCATCCACGGCCGAGGCAGAAGAGGGATGTGGATGCCGAAGCTGACCACGCCCAGGAAGGTGAACACAAGCCACCCGGCCACCTGGAGAGCTTGGGGGGGCCACGACCATCCGTTGACCCTGGGGGACTTGGAGGGGACCAGCTGATTTTTGCTGCTGCCGCTTGCAGGAGCGGTGCGCCTCATCCTCCATCTGAAGCATTTCATCTGCAGAGCACAAGAGCACACACTGTGTGACACACAAACCCAGTTCCAGCAGAGTGACGGGTCATTTGTTGGGCAAATGTGTTAGGGAAATGAGCTGAAGATAAGGACGGCGACTGTTACACCCGCAGATGGACCAATACTCTGGTAGTTTATCCTAGGATTGTCAGAAGCTCTATTATTACACCACTTTACAAGGCAAAATCGTAGAATCGAAATAACAACACAGAGCCAACACATCCCCCTCCAACTGGTACAGAGGGAAAAGGTGACAAAAGGTCAAACACCCCAGTCTCTAGTCACATTATGTCCTTTCGCCTCCAAATTCTTCTGATAGCTCTCAGGATCCACTAATGTACCGAAGGACTATTGTCTCAGCAAGCAATCACTTTTGTTTAAGTTTAGAAATAAAAAGTTTTCTTGGCCTTTGGTTTCTGTTGCGTCTCTGTTGCGCATAACAACTAAAGTAGACCTAATCAACCACCGTCTAAATCAACGACAAACATCCTTCAAATTAGCGTTTTATTAGCTGTTGTCGAAAATGAATTACTTACTTTTCAGAGGATACACATCACCAATTTTAGACAAAAAAAACGCTTCCCTACAACGCAAAATATTTCCACTGCATTATATCCCGTAAGGGTTTCTCAGGATTCCGGCAGGTGTTTCAAAATAGATCCCCATGCTGAAGAAGAAACCAATCTTCCAGAATCAACCAGAAATAATTGAAATACAAATAAAAGCACTGGTTGTAATTTGACGTCTTTGCCATCGAGGGACGTGAGTCAGAAGTTGCAGAATCCACTCACTCAGCAGCTCTGAGCAGCGTTATGGTAACTGTCCCGCCGCGCATGCGCAGCTCCTCTCATTACGCGCTGCTTCTTAATGGAAGTCCTGCACTTACTGGATCAACAAATGTATACGGCTTGCCAGTTAAAACACGCCTTGGCCGCGGGGAAAATAAACCCCCAATACAGTCCCATGAGAGAAGGAGGGAACTTCAGATAAATGCTCACATCACACTTCTGCTTTAAACACAAAGCCTGGTCTTCAGACTTAACTTTCAGCCCATCTTCTTCTATGTAAACTGGGCTTTAATTCACACTTCTTTATTTTCACTTCCTTCACACAATACCGCAAACAAAATAGAACACTAACCAGGTCTCTTTCTTAGTGTGTGGCCTGTCTTACAACATATTTTAACCAGAAATGAGGTTCAAAGTGCAGATGTACTATTTCTGAGTGTGTGCTGCTAGCAGACAGTTAAAACTTTTGCCCTCTGACAGCACACATACTGTAGATTAATAATTAAGACCACTTTTGGCTCAAGAAACCAAACACACACACTTATAAATACAGGTACAGGCTTTTTTTAATGAAAGTTTCACTAATACAAAAACATACAACTACAATACACTCTGTACACGTATTTTCAGTCTTTAGAACAAATCTGAAGATCCTGTTGTATCCACAGTGTTTTAACAGTCCAGCAGTGAGTACCCGGTGAGGTCAGCACTGAGGCAACAGGCCGGCTTTGTGTGGTCAGCTGTTGGCTGTGCCCTCTGGCTCCGGAGACTGAAGGAACTCGTAGGGGTCGTGAACCATTTCCGACTGGTCCCCTACTCCCAGGTGTGACGGGCTCCCTGTGGACACGGAAAATGTGGCTCTCAAATAGAGGAAGTGGAGTGATTGATTCATGCAAAAATGTTCCAAAACAAAAAAGGAACAAAAACATTTATCTTGCTCCAGATACCTAAGTGGTGCTGGTCCCTCTCGGAGGCGTTGGATAGGGAGGACAGGTTGGAGGAGGGTCTGGAGCAAACTCTGTCAACCTGAGCCTCCTGGAACTCCTGCAGAAGCTTATCCGTGTCGTCAAAGTGCTGGTGGCCATCCTCGTTCCCGGGCTCTTTTTTCACACTTTTACCTGATTGAGACAGAGTGAGATAAATGTAAGCAATTTGAAGAAAGAACAAAACAGGGGACAAAAAAGACAATTCTTTTTAAATTCTCTTTTTTTTCCATAAAAGGATATTCCATCTATTTAACTGATAGATATCTAACCTATTCATATTTCTACATCCTCAGAGTGTGTTCCACTCTGTCTTCTTTAGGGTGCTAACTGAACTACTGGTGCAGGTGTAAATGCATACACACAGTGAAAATCACCTAAGGGGTTAAGCATGGAAATATCCAGGGACATGTCGGGATAGTTCTTCATTGACATGAAGTCAAGCACAGAGCTGCTCTCTCCCAGGCCAGCACCATCTGGCATCTGAGCAGAAATAAAAAGGAAAAAATGAGAGTGACAACCCATAACCTTCTCGTCACCTTTAAATGATGGCGTGTTGTTGGGTGTCTGACTGCATACCTGCATGTCACAGATACTGGACTTGGTTTCATCAGGTTTCAGCATTATGTTTCTTTTCTGAAAGGTTAGCACGATAAGAAACATATGTTCCTCAGATGTTAACCCAAGACCAAGTTCCAATTGTTAAAACAACAGGGGGGGGAAAATCCAATTAACTTACCTGTCGAATCTGATTGACGGCTTTGGTATGATCGCCTGCCGTCATCTTGTCCAGGAGTCCATCAACCCAATGCTTTGTGACATCACTACACCCTTTGACAAAGTCCTGTATACTAATGCGGTAAAAGAAAGCAGAATAATCATAAGATAACCAGCTGGTGAATTCAACTCTGAGAAATTTGCATTACATTTGTTCCACCATAGCCTACCTCAGAGCACACTGTACTCCGGTGTCATCTCCATAGGCTGAATACAGCATGTCCACTTCGTCAGACTGCAAGTCTGAAAAGACGGAATTCTTCTGAAGGCTCTGGGTGTTGTAAGCACTGCTAAGAAAGGTCACTGAGAAAATAAAAACAAAACATTCAGAAAAAAAAGACAACGATCACTGTGGAGTTTTTCCATTGTTACTAATTAAAGGGACAATTAAAGCTACTCCCATCAAGTAAAGGGACTGAATGACTTACCTTTATGTCTCCTGTCATCTTTGAAACCTAATGTTGTTAAACCAGGCAAAAGCTTGTTTGACAGAGAACTCAGGTCTACTTTATGGGTCTCATCTTCTGCAAAAGAAACCAAAAGCGGACAAACTCCATAAACGCATTCAGCTTTTTTGATGAGAAGAATACTGATGATAAGTTGATACTTGTGAACTATATGTGGTTGTAACAAACCTTCTGCATCAGGATCAAGCTGATTTACAACAGTATATAAAAGAGAGCCATCTGGTTCTTTACGCAAGTAACCCATCTGAAAAAAGAAAAGACATACAGAGCAATGACTTTAAGCTTCATGCATAAGAGGTGTAACACCAGTTCAAACAGCACAATAATGGGTTCTTGTCACTCACTAATATGTTTTGATTGTGGATTCCCAGCTACTATTTTAGCAGTTTGTGAAATTAAATGAGCCATATTCTCGTTTGTGGGAACACCTTGTGTGATTGGGGGATTAAAAAAACGGTATGGAAGACCTTGGAGTTTGGCATATATCTGTTGATGCGGTCCCGAGCTTCATCTGCAGAGTGTTCAACCAGCGCCAGGACGTGCTCCTCCGCTGTGCTGTCAGTCAGGCTGCAGGCGTTTCCCTCCGGCTCAAACAGGTAACTGAGACAACCAAACAGATTCCAGCAATGACACTCCTACCATCTGCACCGCAAGCGCCGTTTTTAATCTCAAAATAAATGAGCTGCACCTGATGACTTCCTTCATGTCTTTGGCTGGTTGTTTTCTGGACTTTTTAAGAGTGTCCATGGGGATGGGGATGGTCTCTGGAGGAGGGAGATCAGCCGTTAGGTCCTCATCGCCCAGAATGGCAGCCTGCTGGGTACAATCCATGTCCTGCATGAAGGACATGCTGCGCTTCAGAGCCAAAAGACGCTCCTGGACACAGAGGACAACGAGAACAAAACCAACGACCAACTCAGATGGAATCTCGTTGCCTTGTTAACACTTAGAAACTTAAGTGGAACATAAGCAGTAGCAGAGAGAATCTTTTCCCAGCACAGAAGGATGTATAACAACCACTGAGGCTTGCTTTTGAGATGGTTCTACCTGTTTTAACTTTGAATCATAAAAAAGCTGTGTTCACATGTAGGGCTCAAACCCTTCAGGACTGTGTCATGATCTGACTGCAGGTGACACCTCTGTTTGGCAGTTTCTGTCTGGAATCCTTCTAAATTCAACCTCATCTGTATAAAATCTGCGAGCATAAAGAAACCCTGAGAAAAAAATGCACGCCTCTTTAATGGCCATGACCATGTAGCTGCAGTCAAAACAGTTTACATGTTTTGTCTGTAGTTTGTGTGACGTCATACCTTGCTCATCATCTTAAATCCTGTATGGAGCAGTTTCTTGGCAGCCTTGTAGTAGACTGTCTCCGGTCGGTTGTACACCATAGCATTGTCGCACATCAGTTTAAAGTCCGCCTGAAGGCCAAAACAATGTTCAGTCATGTGAGCGATAACGTGTTGCTTTACTTCAAAAACTCTCCCCCCCCACTATGGTAACACTTCTGAAGTTACCCCCACCTTGAACTCTGTCACTGTGTTGTAGTCATTGTTTATGATTTTGTCCTTCATGGTGCTGAAGTCCATGGGATGCTTGATGATGGACGAGTAACCGGGAGCGATTGCATCCGTTACTGGAAACGCAAAGAATCCATGTGGATCTTTCCTGAAAAGAAAGCAAAACCTGTCAAAGCAAACCACTGATCCGCCCAATGGAATAAAGGAGGGCGCTGTCAGCAAAAAGAGCATTTTGAACAAGAAAATGTGTTCAAAAAGAAACATTTCTAAAAGATTCTACGTTTACACTTCGCACGATGGTGAACAAGTATAGATTGTCTATCAGTGAGGATAAGTTTGTATCGTGGAGGAATTTTTCCCCCGGCTTGATCTATTTTTTATGTTTCTGAACTCTTAGTGTTGACTGCTATATTGAGCCAATGAGCAACGAGCAGTGCTCCTCACCTCTGCAGCTGCCTCAGGAAGTGTTCCAGCAGTTGTTGACGTGGAGTGGACTCATTTTCTGAAAATATGTATAGAAAAACAACCAGGTAATTTACTAAAACATTTATGAGAGAGAAATCCACATATCAGATGTTGTGCCGGCACACTTCTGTCTTGCCTTGTTGAGTGCGGCATGCTCTAACTGGCCTGTCTCCTTGCTGCTCGACATCCACCTTCACATTGGGGTGAAACTCCTCCACTTCAGGTTCCACCTCAAACCTCTCTTTCTTCTTTTTCTTCTCCTCCGGCTGAGCAGATACAAACAGCGTACAAATCAGTCATATAAGTTATGATGGGATATTTCTTGCTCAAAAGCTCAGATTTTTTCCCCTCTCACCTCTAATCCAATAGCCAAACTTTTCGACAACGTGAATGGCTCGACGGGCACGCCGACACCTGTGGCTGAAGCAGCTGCTGCTGCCTCCGCCTCAAGCTGCTCTCGTTCTCTCTTCTTCCTTTTCTCCTCCTGTTGAAGCAGGAAGTGATTTTACAAATGGACCAACAAAGTGATGCAAGTCTTACGCAGCCTTTTTCTTCTGTGCACAAACCTTCCGCCGCCTGCGCTCTTCGTCATCCACATATTTGTCTTTATCTTTCTCAGACTTTTTCTTCTTCTTTTTCTTTTTGTCTTTGTGGCGCTCTCGCTCATGGTCCGACCTGTCATCGTAGTAGCTGGAATCATGGCCCGACCCCGAGAGCTCCGTCACCTCACTCCCCCCGACTTTGAGCTTGATCTTCAAGGGCTTCTCAAGAGCTTTGTCCTCGTAGTCTACGACCAAAAGAAACAACGAAGAAGTTAGTTTTCTGTTAGGGGCCATGATGAAATGCAACATAAATATATGACTCACTAGCATCTCTAAAGTTTTTGCCACTATTGTTTAAGTTTATGAAGCCTGGTTGAATGCATACTGATATACACAGTAAATGAGAGCTCCTTAACAAATATGTAAAGAAAAATATTCAAAGGGTTTGTTGGTCTGCAGAGAAGAAAATTCAAAGGTACACACCATGCATGAAAATCAGATGCAACTTCACCCACTCACTGCAACTCATTCTCTAAATTCTTAATACATTGTCAGTTCCATTTTGAGGTGTTGTGCAAAAATCTCCCAAATGCATGTTCAGATTTGAACATTTATAGCTTTTGTTTCTTTCCGCAAAATGATGCATTGAATGTTAATCTAAGGTTATGAAGAAAACAAGAGGACAACAAAGTGTGAATAAAAGTATTTTGGGGTTCCTTGGCTTCATCAAATGTTATTTTAATAAGGGAAGGTAATTATTATATTTTCTGCAATATATCGCTGCATGTCCATATTCAAAACATTGATTTAAAAAAAGCTGGCACTGCCAAAAATAACATTGTTGATATTAATTTTTGGGTGATGTGTACTATTTTATAGTTCAATTCACCTGTTGTATCGGCAATTATTTTGGGGTTTTGTAGCAGATAATTTTGAAGCCTACAGTTGAAATGCAGAGCTGAACACAGTGTTTAAAACGGTCATGTTTTGAAAAGTACATAGACAATTCGTGGTCTTGACCAGCTGAGCTCATAAGCTAAACAGAGCTAGCTAGCATAAAGCTAGCTGGAACAAAAGCGGGGCAACTAAAGCTAAAAGTAAAATGTGTAATCAGGTACCACCAACTGTTATCCATTCCGGCTTATGCTTCTTGTGTTTTTTCCCCATTCTCCTCTCCTTTGCAGTCGAAGTTCTGTATGTAGTCCAATCAAAATGCCACTGGCTGCTAATTGATTGAAACGAGCTATCGGCGTTAGCAACAGGAACAGGAGGTCGGATGTGAAACCCAACCATTCTTGTTGTATTTCCGGTTTAACAAATCAGCGCGCTGAATTCGACTGACTGCTTTCTGACAACACAGCACGTAGTCAGTAGTTGATAGCTCTGAAGATTCTGGTTGAAGCAACTTATCACATTGACAGCTTAAATGCTATAAGGTATTTTTTTGCCAATATGGTAACCCTTTTGGTATTACTAAGCTAACCTTAGCATCGATAATGAACGTAGGTTAGCTAATTAGCTAACGCAGGACTGTCCGGCTTTGGTACAAAATATGGTAAAAGTGAGACATTTGTCATTCCTCTAGTGTTCTCAGCTGTAGAAGAATGGAGGGTGACAGAATGGAGGTGGTACAAAAACAAAACGTCAACGTGGAGGTCCACGTCAAATCTCTCAGGTGAGTCTTTCGTTAAAGTTGTGTCACATGTGTTTAAGGCACGCAGATAAACTCTCGGTGTATTAACGTAACCACCTTACCGCTGTCTCACATCAAGGAAGCACGTCACTTACTACTACAGTTATTTATCTGACTGTTTTAATGTTATTTACTTGGTGGTCTCTTTGAACATGTGTAACGACCTCATTGTGTATCCCGACAAAGCATCAGGATACTGTCTGAACTTCATCTAAAAACAAAATGTAAAGTTTAAACTAGTATACTTTGTGTCAACCTTTCAAGATGTGTTATTTTTGGGAAATGATATTGAACCAGTCATAATACCAGGGTGGTGTGGATTCTCACCCTCATTACTTTTAAACATTAATTTATTTTCTAATGGTAGCTTTCAGAAAGATAATGCTCCTTGTTTAAAAGCTAATGTGACATGATGCTGCTTTCCTCCATATTCAAACGAGTTAGACATTTGAGTGTAGATCCATGCTTTTCTGTGTGTTGTCTGAGAATATCCCTATTGGCATTTCAGTACAGCGAAACTGTCTGAGGTGAGATTGTACGTTCAGGATCTACTGAATCGACACAGCATGGTTTTCGGGAACTACAGATGGACTGAGTTTGATGAAGAATTCCTTCGGAAAAATGTGGAATCTGTGACTATAGCTGACATTGAAGAAATAATAACACAGGTCTGTTGTGGTGGATTCGCTTTGCTTTGATCAATATTTATTTAAGGCTACAAAGACACATTGAACGCATTTTCGTTATTCACTCATTCAATCTCCTCTCCTTGTTTAGCCAATTGATTTAAAGAACTGCTCTGTCTCCATTCACATCTTCACTCTGAATGAGGATGGGCCCAGCATGCTCAGTTTGGAGGAGGATGAGGAGCTTTCTGCAGCTAATCATTGGCTGCTACCAGCAGGTGTGACTTTGTGTATTGCATTTTGCAAAAATAGCTCGAGCAAGGTGAGCAGCTCAAGATCTAAGATAAAGAGCCACTGGAGCTCAGAGTTTGGTCAAATCGTAATTTAAACCATCAAATCTGTACTATTACTATACTACTAGTTTCTCTACTATCTTATAAGAATTTGGACATTATTTATTATGGTGTAAACCCTTAACCCTTAACATCAAGCACAATAACCATTCAAATCTGATCTGAATTATTCCCCCTGAAATGACTCTCTTTTTGACAGCTGAATTCCACGGAATCTGGGAGAGTCTAGTGTATGAGACTGGCGTTAAAACCAAGGTAATGTCATGAGCAGCAGCTGAAGGTCAAAAGAGATAAGAATTGTGTAACATTGCCATCACACTGCGTAATTTCTCCTTGCTGGTGTTGCCCCTCAGCTCCTGGATTATGTTACAACAACAATTTACTTCTCAGACAAAAATGTAGACAGCAACTTGATTTCTTGGAATCGGGTGGTGCTGCTTCACGGTACGCTCATTTGAACTTACTTGATTGAGAACCCTTCGGAAGATTAATAGAAAAATCACTTATTCTTCTGTTTTCTTTATTTGAACATTTAGGTCCTCCAGGCACAGGGAAAACATCACTGTGCAAAGCTCTTGCCCAAAAGCTTTCAATCAGGCTGTCAAACCGGTGAGATAACTTCCTTCTCAGTGAAAAGTCTTCAGTGTTTAACGACACCTGCTCTTTTCATTTTGAAATGCCCTTTTCTCCCTGCAGCTATTCTTATGGCCAATTTGTGGAGATAAACAGCCACAGCTTATTCTCAAAGTGGTTCTCAGAGGTACACCTGGCTTTTTTTGTATGAAATTGAGGATGTCTTAGAAGAGATTGATATTATTTCAGGAGTGCATTGTCTCCCTTTGTTCCAGAGTGGTAAGCTGGTCACAAAGATGTTTCAAAAGATCCAGCAACTGATTGACGACAAAGACGCCCTCGTGTTTGTTCTGATTGATGAGGTAAATCCTGCTTCCTGGGAAATACCCTGAAACCGAATCGTTAAAACTATCATCAACTATTTATTTTCTTTGCTTTCATATTCGCTTGAATAGCACATACCTTCTTTTCAACTTAGTTCACTCTTATCCCGATCATTGAAATGACTGCTTTTGTCCACCTGCGTTGTCACGACCAGGTGGAGAGTCTGACGGCAGCAAGGAGCGCCTGCCAGGCAGGAACCGAGCCCTCTGATGCCATTCGAGTGGTCAACTCGGTCCTCACTCAGCTGGACCAGATCAAACGGTCAGAAACCACTGCACCAACATCGGTTTTTCTACTTATGTTGTGTGAAGAGCAGAGGATTTTTTTTTCTTGCTGTCACTTTAAATTATTAGTACTGTGCCTGAAAGTCTCTATGGATTTATTTATTTGTTTGTTTAAATACTTATTGGTTTTTGTGGTCTTTGGTGATATTTTCCCTCTTCCTTTTTTTTTTAAAGACATTCCAACGTCGTGATCCTCACAACCTCAAATGTGACAGACAAGATTGACTTGGCATTTGTAGACAGAGCTGACATCAAGCAGTACATCGGGCCCCCGTCAGAGAAAGGCATCTATAACATCTACCTCTCCTGCCTCGAGGAACTGATGAAGGTTAGGCTGCGCTCAGGCTACAATCATTTTCAGTTATTATATAAAGCATAAATGAGTAGCATGAAATAAGCTGAAAAAAGAAGCAACTGCAGTGTGAGGGATAAGGTGTGTTTGTTTTCATCTGCATACGTCTGTGTCTACTGCGGTGACATCCGCAGTGCCAGATCATCTACCCCCGGCAGCAACTGTTTACCATGTATGAGCTTGAAACGATGGGCTTTGCAAAGAGCGAGGTGTCAGAGCACAGTCTGAACCTGAGGAGCATTGCCCTGTGAGTACACATTCCAGTAATGCACCTCACCCAGATCACTGCCAGCGGGAGCCCATACAGCCACAAGCTCATGCTTTGTTTTTCTTTTCTATTCCAGAAAAAGCAGAGGTTTGAGTGGAAGAGCACTAAGGAAACTCCCATTTCTCGCCCATGCATTATTTGTAAAGGTAAGCATTTCGTTTAGTTCTTTTGCACAGTGAAAAATGGGACATAATGGATGTAAATCTGGTTTCTTTGTCTGCAGGCTCCCTCAGTTACTCTTGAAAGATTTCTGGGAGGTTTAAGCCAAACGGTGGATAAACAGAGGGAGGAAAAGGCTGATCTGGTCAATAGCATCTGAACCTATTACAAAGACTGACACCTGATTGTTCATAACAGTTAATCTCATGTTTTTGGTTTTGTTCTAAAGCTTCATGGGCTCATTTGGTCGACTAGATTTAAACATTGTCATAGCTATAATACAAATGCTTCACCTTAATGCCTTTATTCAGGAAATCTTGTTGGTGCTAATATCTTAAAAAGTACCAAGAAAATGTCCATTCAGGGCTCATGGTTTGAGATGTGGTTCCTAATGCTTGAACTTTCAGCTGTTTACTTGCTTTCATTGTTTTAATGTTTCATATTAAAAAGCTTTAACAATGGTTTTTATTTTTATTTTATTATTAAAAGCTTGTTTTGTTGGACCTCAAAATATAGTGAACATGATACAGTATGTTTTCTTTCTGTGGTTTTAAAAACTGCGGTCACCGGATTTGACTTTCTGAGCTGTTTTGTTTAAGAGAATGTATTTTTTATCTGTATTTTTGTTTAGTTTTATCATCAGTTTTGTAGTCATAGCACTATTAAGGTCTTTTCAACCTGAGCTCACATGTTTTCTTTTGCATGTAACATCGTAATAAAGAGTTTGTGGTTTAATTTCAGCAGGAGATGTATTTGAAATCACCACTTGGTGGCGCACCGATTCTGCCATGCAGTGTCATACTTAGAAATGCCTTTTTTCTCTAATCAGTATATTTCATGAGTTGAATGATGATTCATAGTGAGGGCGATAAATCAAACTGGGAACAACAGTAATGGAAGATTCCAGCTAGGCCTGAGTCCATCTCTCTAATCTCTTTACTGAAGGTCTCTTTGCAGAACTGCAAGTAAAAAAGTTTTGCTCCTGGTGTAACTTGCGTTGCAGGAATGAAGCCACTCCTGATTCAGGCCCCTGCCCAGTCATATGTTTAGAATGCATGCCCGTTACTGTTTACATATGATGGGCACAAGTTTGACTTCAAAACAAAGCAGTGGATAGATGCCTCCGTGTGGAAATGTAGCACCCCTGTGCACAGTTTACATGAAGTGATCAGTGGAGCCATTGTTCGTATGAACATGTTTTGCATTCTGTGAATGCTCTGCTGCTTTGCATGTCAGCTGCCGGCTTCAGACAATGTGCCCTTTGTTTGTTGTTGGCAATGCTTTTTCATGCCACTTCAAAGGTGGATCCTGTGGGCTGTTCCTGAATGTGAAAGGAAGACAAACATTGAATTCATCTTTATTCACACGCTTCAGACAAACTCATATCTGTCACTTTTTTTGAATGAGCCCTTGGGTTATTTATACAACGTATTAGGTGTTTTATTGGACTAGTGGATTTTAATGTCTGTCATTAAGATGAAGTGAAAAGTTTATCTTCTCATCCAAATCATCCCAGAATGGATTTCCCCTCATACAATTACCCTCATTAGTGACACACAACCCTATTATATGTGAATGATACATTTTAATACCACAGTATCTTTTTACACCTAATTGTTTGCCTAATTAAAAACATTTTTGTGCTTGGTGCATCTCTGGAGGAAGCCCAACCTTTATCTGATCAGTGACCACGTAGTGGAGAGAAAAGCAGAGCTACAGGAACAGCACCGTAAATAAAACCATAATTGCTCTGTCTGGAGGCCTTTTTCACTTGACTGTAGTCTGTCCAAAAACCAGGCAGCTGCTAAAAGGCAATCAAGCCGGAGAAGGAAGAAAAGTCAAAAGCCTTATTGTTACAGGATTTTATCACTGTTTCAAGCAGTTTTAAATTGTCAGAAAACTCCAAACAAAACAAACAGTCTAATGTTTATCCTTTCAATCCTCGTTCAGGTACATTGCTGAAAGCAATGGAATATCTCCCCATGTGCCAACGGTGATTCAAACAGGGAGGGGATTAGCTTACATACTTACAGGTATGTCAAAAGGAAATTGAGCAGAGTTGTAAGCAAACTACGGAAAGTATCACTCATGCCTGTAAAGTTTAAAGTGGTTATTCTGCACATTGTTGGTTTCAGCGGTTCATAATGCTCTGATTAAATCGGGTTTAGAAGTGCCATTGACTTCAGCTGGCACAATGGTCCACATCGTCTGCAAAAAAAACATAATGAGAGCCCTATAAAATGCAAGCTGCCAGGGTTTTTCCAATTCTTCATCTACACAACAACCTTTGATCAAACATCAGTACCTCCGTCCAAATGAATACTTCCCCTAAAAGACAACCAAGCAGCCCTGTCTCAGTTTCCAGTCAAAATTGCCCTGTCAGACACTGATGTTTGTCAAATCTGTGTCCCAGACATTTGACAGCCACTTAAACAGAATGTGTCATGGTGTGGGAAAAAGAGGATAAGGGAAGAAGCAGAATCCTGGTAGTCAGGCTGCCTTAAGAAATGGTGATAATTAGGCACAGAAAGTGGGATCAAAGGCAGCTGCGATGGTTGAGTAAAGCAAATGTCTGCGCATCCTGTCAACAACAGACAGTGATCTGAGAGTCCCAGGTTGGCAAGCAGTCACAGCAGAAAACAATAACGGGACAAAAGAGCTATAAGAGAGCTCCATATTCATGAAGGAATGGAAGTGTAACTGGGACACTGGTGTACTTAACCACCACTGCACATGATAGGATGAGGATTTGGAGGCGCAGAGTTTTTACAGTATCTTCATCTATAGAGCTGATCCGTTTTAAGGAATAAATGTTAAGAGTAGCAAGGTGGAGAACAATTGGATGTATAGCTGGAACGTGGGGTATCGAGTGAAGTGCATAAAAGAACAGTTTATGTCTTGAAAATGTGCAAAGATCCAAGTAAAATCTCCCCTGGGTTCCAACAGGAGTGGAGTTTTCCTCAAGACGTTAACAGCACATCCATTGTTTACACAGAGCAATAGACTGGCAAAGTGAATTAATATTCATAACACTTGGCATGTGTTGCGAGACTGGTGTCTTCCTTATGGGCCTGCCAAGCAAAACAAACCATAAATTCCAGAGAGACTTTTGATGTTTAGTGGTTTCAAGTACAAAAGTCCTTCCTGGTTCTGTTCGTGAACAACCGTTTATCCTCAGGGATGGGATATTTTCAAAACCATTTATCAGTGTGCCGTAGAGACAAGTGGCACCATCTACTTCCAATAATTCCTCTGTGGGCTGAAATAGCATTGGCAAGATTGTTCTGATCTGGGATTTTATATGATCATAGTTCTATGTTTAGATTCAATTACATCTGAGGAGATTAGTAATGCATACATTTGATTTGACTGAGAGATGAGTGGTACTAGAGAGGTGGCAAGTGACTACAATAGATATAAAATATCCAGACACAAGTTTGACCAGAACCCCTTCAATGGGGCTGAACATAGACTGTCCCCAGCGGAGGACTCGGTTTTTCTGTCAGTTTAAGAAAGCTGCCAAACCAGTGATCAGTGCTTGAAAAGGGCCAAAAAACAACCGGAAAACTCACTAATTGTCCTTTCAAAATAAGTCAGATTCGGTGCAAAACGTAAAACAAAAGTGGAGGGACAAAGTCGTCTCACAGCATGATTTTAAGACGATTTTATATTAAATTTACATTTGATTGCTCAAGGAAATGAATGGAAAGCGTTTGAAAGTGCTAATAATCTTGCTGTCATTGGCCAATTATATCACAAACTTTGACTCGAGCACCGCACACTGCTGTGCATGGAGGGGTGATGGAGACAAAATCATTACAGTTACTGTTTATTATTACTTGCTGATTTGCTGAACGTTGGAAGTTGAAAAGTGAGAAACAATGTGCAAAATCGACATTCTTTTGCATTTGAAACTACTTGAATCAATCTGTACAACTCACAAACAGAACAAATACAGTTCAGTAAGAATTCGACCACATTTTTTTTTTGCTGAACTCTAAATGCCTAATGAGCTATCGCAGCCTTAACTAAATTTTATCTTTAGGCTCCCTAACCGGAAGTGTGGTGTGAGTACTGCTGACTTGATGCTGGTTCTCCGCTCCACTGCGTAAAAGCAGACTCCCAGCAGTTGGATTGAAGTTAAGTCAGAAGGCAGACAGCGAGTGCGCTCCTCACAGATAACGTGACTGACATTTCCCCTGCTGTCTCATTTACAATCGACACTCCAATGAACGCGCAGTTGGACCAAATGCCTTTGGATGAAGTTGGAGCTTTTTTCTTGCAAAACGAACATAATGTGACCATGTAGAGTGAGCGTCTGTTTCATCCCTGCTGGATTTCGGAATACCTATACTGTTACAAGGAAGAGGAACTTTAAAAAATGGGCAAACTTCAGTCAAAACATGGTAAGACACGCCGAGTCCGAAAGAGAACATTTAAACTTTGTCCTCGCTGTCAAACTAACGATTTTCTGTTTTACATCCTTGTGTCCCTGTGATCCAAAGCGTGCAAGCGCAGAGAAAACCCCGAAGGTGAGGATAAACGGAGATGTTACTGCATGATAAAGGCTCACAAATGAAGACGATCGTTTAAAGCATGTGTCTGAGGTTTGTGACCGCTAAACGGTGCGTATTCTTGTCCCAGGAGACAGTTTTGTAGTGAACGCCTTCCTCCGGAGAGGGATGGAGGAATGTGAGAGGTACAGCGCCACTGATCACAAGCTGAAGAACATGCAGGTAGAGCTTTATTTATAGTTCCTCTGCTTTCTTTCTCTTTGAGAAAAAATGGGAATTACTTGTGTCCTTATGTCATAAGCTTAATGATCACAAGGCATTTTAAATTAAATTTATCTCTTAGTCAGTGGATTTTTACAGCTCAGATCCCAATATTCCCTGTTGTTACACATGCAAATTGAATTTATTTTATACTTTTGCACAAACAGAATGACTCAATGGGAGGAAATCAGACAGATCTGAGAACATTAGAATTTGCTGATGAGAGTTCTCTGGATAAGGCTTTAACTTTCCCTTTTTTTTCTTTTTTGTTTTCCTGAAAGCTGATCTGAGAACGTTTTGACCAGAGTGGAAGTGAACTGCATTCCCAGGCATGCATGAGGACATCCTAATGTCTCTGCAAAATTGTGGACTGTTGTTCTTTCTG